GGACACGCCCAAAACAGTGGTGCTGGGAACCAGTTCCCCTTCCACTCTGCAGCCCTCAGTCTGCTCTCTTTTCTGAGATCCCAGGTGGTGCTCAGGACACCTGGAACTACTCCCAGCAAGGCCGGCCAGCTGCATGCTGGGCCCGTAGAGGCCCTACCACTCGGACCCTGAGGTGCCAGGGACCAACCAGCAGTGCTTGGGCTGCCTGATGGTGCTCAGGGACCCAGGTGTGCCAGGGTCAGCAGGGTTGGTGTGCTCGGGGCATGTGCCCTACTGCCGTGCAGGAGACGGGCTTCTCTTACAAAGCCCTTTTGGTGTGGGAGAGACTCAACAGGCCGGGCGCAGCTTTGTGAGCTGGAAGCTCCGGTTTGACCCCAGCAATGCACGGTCCCCTGAGCCCTGCCCTGTGAGACCTGGAAGCAATGTTTTCTGGGGCCTGGGACATGACTGAGGATGAGGAGCCCAGTTTGGGCACCCTGCATGGATGGTCCCCAGCGCAGGTGGGTGTGAGAAAGACACGTGTCCACGTGTCCAGCAGCTCAGCCATTCTAAGGCCTGGTGCATGCCTGAACCCCAGGGATTGCCCACCCTGTAGAGGTCCCGTTGGCCTCCCAAACACAAGCCAGCTTCCGAGGCGGCCTCCCACTGACCTGCCCTCAGGCCTCGATTTGGGGACACAGTTGCTCCTTCCATCATTCTCCACCTTAGAGACGCCCCTGCCACCCGACCCCTGGACTCTTGGCTTTGCCCTCCCGGGAATTCCCTCCCCGGTACTTGCTTTCTAAGCAAATTGTTTTTGTTTGCTGTTTCGGGACTACCCGTGACTGTGCTCAGGGATAACCCTTGGCGGGGCTTAGAGGACCTTATGAGATGCTGGGGCTTGACCCCGGTCAGCTTCATGCAGGGCAAGCCCCCTACCCACTTACAGGGGCCTTCTGCAGGCAAGTCTTTCTCCTTGTAGACGTTTTCCTCACATCTTCACTCAAAGTCGGCCTTGGGGGCACTCCTGGACACCCCATGAGGTGGCAGGGCCTGGGTTCTCGTGGGCACCCCACTTCCCTCCTGTGCTTCCTGTACCCCTTACCCTGCTGGTCACTGCAACTGGGGGGCGCAGGGAGAGGATGGGTGCGGGTTGGGGCTGAGCCGCAGGTTAGTGGGTGGGGCCCTCAAGGGACCCCACTCCCACGTTCACGCTTGCGGGACCCCTGCCCCCCAAGACTCATGCCCAAGGGACCACCCCAACCAGACACTGCTAACTGTGGGACACCCTCAGGTCTGGGCTGTGGGAGAGCTCGGGTCTGGGCTGTGTGGGCCCTCTCAGTTCTGGGCAGTGTGGGCCTCCTGGGTCTGGGCTCTGGGAGAACCCCGAATCTGGGCTGTGAGATGCCCCCTCAGGTCTGGGCTCTGGAGCCCCCCTAGGTTTGGGCTCTGGAGCCCCCGGGTCTGGACAGGGCTGTGGAAATCCCCACCTCCCCAGGGTGGGCTGTGGAGCCCCCGGGCCCCTGGGATCTGGCTCCCTCCACACGGCCGGGAGGATCTTCAGGCCTGTGACATCCCCGGGCCCTCTTCTTGGTCCGGCTGTCCCGGCCTCTCTGGGTGTGGCCACGCTGTCCACAGCCACAAGGACACCTCTGAACAGCCCCTCCCAGCTCCTGAGCCGCAGGAGGTATGTGTGTAGGGGGGAAAATCTTTTTTTTTTTGCTTTTTTTGGGGGTCACACCGGTGATGCTCAGGGGCTACTCCTGGCTCTGCACTCAGGAGTTACACCTGGCGGTGCTTGCGCGACCATCTGGGATGCTGGGGATCGAACCCCGGTCAGCCGCATGCAAGGCAAACGCCCTCCCTGCTGTGCTATTGCTCCGGCCCCTCGTCTGTAGAATCGTGGGCACACAAGCATCTCTGAGACCTGGCAGGCGCCTCAGCTTGGTCACACCAGAGCAGGCCCAGAGCAAGCCCCACTGTGGCCAAGTGGCCACCCTGCTGGGGACAGACATGAGGCCCCAGAAAGGCGCAGAGGATGGGCTTGTGGGCAGCAGTGACAGTCCAGGAGGGCAGCGGGGGGCTGCCCTCTGTGGCCTTGCGGGAGGACACAGGGGCACAGCCTGGAAGGTGCCGGAGCACCAGCCCCAGACTCCCCATGAAAGCGGGACATAGGGCTGTCCACCTGGACCCAAGCAGAGAGCCGCAGCAAGGTCACTGGGACGGGGCCTGCGAGGAGGGCTGTTGTGCTGGGGCAGGACGCCGTGTGGCCAGGGACACTGACACGCACACAGCTTCCTCCTGAGATAGCAATTTCCTGCCCTGTCACTTCCTGTGCCCCACAGCAAACCCTGACCACAGAGTGACTCCCGGGGACAGCCCTGCAGTGGCCCAGAGGTCTGACCACTGTGGGGCCACTGAACACCCCCCAGCCTAAGCCTGAAACTCCCACTGCAGGGCGGGCAGGGCCCGTGCCGGTCACTCTCTGTGGTGGCAAGGGCTGTGCACTCTCAGAACCATGCCTCTACTCCCGGAACCAGGGCTGTCCCCCAAACCAGGCCTCCACCCCAGAACTAAATCTATCCCAGAGCCTGTAGTGGCTGAGTAGCTGAGACGTGCTGGTAAGGGCCTCTCTGGTGCCCTTGGGAATTTTCCTAGGTTGGTTTTCTTCTGGGTTTGTTTGGGGGTCCTACCTACCTGTTGGCTCAGGGTCGCCCCGGGGCTCCTGCATGTAAAACATAATTCTGCCCTTGGGCATCCCCCAGACGCCCCCAGGGCCTGTTTTCTAACTATTCCAACTGAGACTCGCCCTCCCTGGCCAGGAACACTGCCTGCCCAGCCCCCGCTGCTCTGGGCCGCCCCCAGCTCAAGGTCATTCCGACTGTCTCCTGCAGAATGACCAGGGCTGCTCCTTTTCCTCCAGCAGCTGCTGGGCCTCAGGGCTTGAGAGTGTCCAAGGCCCAGCTGTGGGCGCCGGGGGCCCACTGAAAGGCAAACACAGCCTCGAAGCTGGTGGCAGAGTGGCACAGGTGGGGATGGGCTGGGGAGTGGGGCCCACCCTCAGCGGCCAGTCTTCCTGGACACCCTCTGGGGCCCAGGGGTCTTCGCATGAACAGGCACGGGGGTGGGCGGGGGCTCAGCAGGCCTGCGCAGCACAGAACCCACACCCCAGGGCCCCACTCGGAGCAAGCCTGATGGGGACCCCACAGGCATGGCCGCCCCGGGGTGGCCCTGGACTGAGGCCCACCCTCCCCGCCAGCACCCCCCACCCCTGCAGTGCGGCGGTTTCCCCCAGACACCCACTCAGCCCAGGGGGCACTGAGCTTCTTCAGAGCGCCTCGGGTGCTGCCCACACAGGCCCGGAGGGGGCCGGACAGGCCACACTCCCCACACCAGAGGGGCCTGCACACTATCAGTATGGCGGAGGGGTGTCGAGTCCCCCCATGACTCATCAGCCGCAGCCCTAGAGAGTCCTGGGTCCTGCAAAGATGGCCAAGCAGTGCAGGGGTGAGTGGGGGCAGGGGCAGGTGGGGGCGGGGCAGAGGGCCTCAAGGTCAGGCCAGGCAGGGCCGGACCTGGGGCAGCACCCTGGTCCTGGCTGCAGGGATCAGTTTGTGCTCCCTTAGCGGCCTCCCTCCCCTCAGGAGCAGGCCCAGGGGTGACCGCGGGACACCTACAGTGTGGGGCGGGTCCTCGGGGACAGCACCCTCTCTGTTTTCTCTGCAGGACACACAGGACGGCTCGATGGCCCCAGGCGTGTTGGCCACCGCCCTGCAAATGCCCGTCTCCGAAACCCAGAGATGCAAATTGTGAAAGACTTTCCTGCTGCAGCCTGACACCCACCATGCTGGCGGGGGCTCGTGGCCGCCCTTGCGCTGCCAGGTCACCCCAAGCTCACTGCTGTCACTGCCCGCCCTGGCCCGCCCGCTCAGGGTGCTCCAGTTGCTGGGCCCTGTGTTGCAGGTGGACACATAGGTGTGCAGGGCCACCAGCCGCCGGGGGGGCGGGGGGAGCGCTTCCCGATCTCTGCGAGCAGCACTGCGGGTGTGGGGGGATGATGGAGCCCACAGTGGCCACTTGGCCGGCCACCCAGCCGGCAGAAGGCTGGACCCACACTCCCCGCCGGTGCTGACATCCTGGGCCCGGTGACGCTGGGCAGCTGAGCAGCTGCTTGTTCAGCCACTGGGGACGGTGCGGGGGGAGCGCAGCATTGCGGGGAGACGGCACAGGCAGGGCAGCTGATTGCGGGGGGTTGGGGGGGGTTGGCTGCCTGCCAGCCACCGGCCAGACTGATTCATCTAGGCCTTGACTGAGTGCAGGAGAGAAACTGTCGCCTGGCCCATTTCATTGTCATGGGGCCCTTCCCTGCATCAGCTAAGAATCTGATGCAGTGTTTGCACACTGTTGTTGATTTAATAGGAAAGCAGATTTCAATTGTAAAAGTGTTCGGCTCTGCTGGTTCTCGGGAGATGTGGTCCTGCGGGTTCCAGAGGCCCAGACAAGAACGGCCCCTCCAGGGATGAACTCGGCACGCACAGCCGCGGGCTTCTTTCTCTCCCTGAAGCTGCTCTGAAGTCCTCAGGGCCGCAGGGTCACTGAGCAGAGCATCCAGGCCTCACGTGCCAGGTCTGAGCTGCCACCAGCCACAAAACCACGCTTCTTAAATCTCACGGGCCAGACACTCACGCAGGAGGAACTGTCAGGCCTGAGGGCTGCTGGGTAGCCCTGTGGGGCCGAGGACAGGCTGGAGGGGACCCATCAGGGCGGACAGCCACACTCGGGCCCCCTGCAGCCTGTCCTGGTGACCGGGGCTGCACAGGGTGTGGAGGGAGTGTGCAAGCTGCAGGGACCTTCAGGCAGCACAGAAGTTTTGCTGAGGGGGTGGGGAGGGGCGTGAGCCTTGGCTCCGCCTGAGACTCGAGCCCAGAGGCGTCTCTGGGACCGTGCTCTTCTGAAAGGATTCCCCGGCAGGACACGCGAGGGCCAGGCCCTTCACAGTGGCAGAGGAACATGCAGCAGGTGTGCTCGGCCCACCCAGGGGAGCTGAGGCTCTCACCTCCGCAGGACTGGGGGTTTCAGAGCCACCTTCGCCCCCACGGCTCCCTAGGAGGGAAAAGGCGTCAAAGCTGATGGCTGTTTGCTGCAGAGAAAGCCACTCACTGGCCCCTAGCCTGCTCCTCCCTGTGGAGAGCCTGTGCCGTGTCCTGCAGCGCCGTGGACACACAGGCAGCCCTGAGCCCCCGCCGCACTGGCAGAGCAGGACACGCCCAGGACAGTGCATCACCTCTGGCTGGGATGGGCCCGAGAAAGACTGCCCTGGGGCCGAGGCTACGTGGCTCTCACCTGAGTGGCTCCAGCTGCCGGCTTCATCGGGGGCACCGGGGGTGTGGTGGTGGGCTTCACGACCTGGGGATGCCAGCACAGATGAGAGCCCCGCCTCCCGGGCCTGCCCTCCCCTGACCGCCACCATCCCAGGCAGCTCGGACGCTGTTTGCTTCTGGGCTGCCCTAGGACCCTGACATGCTGCAGCCCCTCTACAGCTGGGTTTTGTTTTTGCTTTTTGGGCCACTCAGGGGTTACTCCTGGTGGTGCTCAAGGGACCCTATGAAATGCCGGGGATTGAACTGGGGGGACTGAACCCACGTGCAAGGCAAATGCCCTACCCGTTGTACGGCTGCTCCAGCCCCTCCTTTAAAGCTGTTTTTACAACTGCTCGTCCCTATAAATCCATCCCAAATGAAAATGTAAAGAGGGAGAGAAGAATGTTCAGCAAGCCAACCCCAGGACGGGCCGTGTGGGCGCACACGTGAGAGATGGAGGGGGCTGGGTCTCCGGGTGCACGCATGAGGTGGGGGCAGGGCTGGGTCTCCAAGTGTCCCCCAGACTGTTGGTCACCCAGAGAAGCATGTGACAGGAGGGGTGCCTCAGCCACGCTGGGTGGGGGACCGCTGCCACCCCCCACCTGAGGAGGCAGGCAGGCCTGGGCACAGGGCAGTGCTTGGAGCCTTCAGCCAGCCCTCGGCCCAGGGGCAGGTGGAAGGGAGCCCAAGGGAGGCCGACAGGGGCCTAACGCAGCAGGTGCCCGGGCCCCAGCACAGCTCCTCTCGCAGCCTTGGGCACAGGGTCGATGGGCTTCCTGGGAACGCCCCAGGCTGGGAGCCACGCTGGGGGACGGGGCACAGTGCAGAGGGCTGACCTGGACAAGCCCCTTGGCATACAATTTCGAGACCCTCCCCAGCCCCACCCACCGATGTCCTGGGTGCTCATTTGGCCCAGCCTGCGGAGCGTGTAGCTGGTGTTGGTTGGCATGGGCGCTCGAGGTGTCCCTGGATGCAGCTCGGGCACACTTCTCCCCTGCTCAGGTGTGCCCCTCCCCTGCTCAGGTGTGCCTCTCACCTGCTTAGGCTCCCCTGCTCAGGTGTGCCCCTCCCCTGCTCAGGTGAGTCTCTCCCCTGCCAGGTGTGCCTCTCTTCTACTCAGGTGTGCCCCTCCCCTGCTCAGGTCTCTCCCCTGCTCAGGTGTGCCCCTCTCCTGCTCAGGTGTGCCTCTCCCCTGCTCAGGTGTGCCCCTCTCCTGCTCAGGTGTGCCCCTCCCCTGCTAGGTGTGCCCCTCTCCTGCTCAGGTGTGCCCCTTCCCTGCTCAGGTGAGTCTCTCCCCTGCCAGGTATGCCCCTCCCCTGCTCAGGTGTGCCCCTTCCCTGCTCAGGTGTGCCCCTCCCCTGCTCAGGTGTGCCCCTCCCCTGCTAGGTGTGCCCCTCCCCTGCTCAGGTGAGTCTCTCCCCTGCCAGGTATGCCCCTCTCCTGCTCAGGTGTGCCCCTTTCCTGCTCAGGTGTGCCCCTCCCCTGCTAGGTGTGCCCCTCTCCTGCTCAGGTGTGCCTCTCCCCTGCTCAGGTGTGCCCCTTCCCTGCTCAGGTGTGCCCCTCCCCTGCTCAGGTGAGTCTCTCCCCTGCCAGGTGTGCCTCTCTCCTACTCAGGTGTGCCCCTCCCCTGCTCAGGTGTGCCCCTCCCCTGCTCAGGTCTCTCCCCTGCTCAGGTGTGCCCCTCTCCTGCTCAGGTGTGCCTCTCCCCTGCTCAGGTGTGCCCCTCTCCTGCTCAGGTGTGCCCCTCCCCTGTAAGGTGTGCCCCTCTCCTGCTCAGGTGTGCCCCTTCCCTGCTCAGGTGAGTCTCTCCCCTGCCAGGTATGCCCCTCCCCTGCTCAGGTGTGCCCCTTCCCTGCTCAGGTGTGCCCCTTCCCTGCTCAGGTGTGCCCCTCCCCTGCTAGGTGTGCCCCTTCCCTGCTCAGGTGTGCCCCTTCCCTGCTCAGGTGTGCCCCTCCCCTGCTAGGTGTGCCCCTCCCCTGCTAGGTGTGCCCCTCCCCTGCTCAGGTGAGTCTCTCCCCTGCCAGGTATGCCCCTCCCCTGCTCAGGTGTGCCCCTCCCCTGCTCAGGTGTGCCCCTTCCCTGCTCAGGTGTGCCCCTCCCCTGCTAGGTGTGCCCCTCTCCTGCTCAGGTGTGCCCCTCCCCTGCTCAGGTGTGCCCCTCCCCTGCTCAGGTGTGCCCCTCCCCTGCTCAGGTGAGTCTCTCCCCTGCCAGGTATGCCCCTCTCCTGCTCAGGTGTGCCCCTTCCCTGCTCAGGTGTGCCCCTCCCCTGCTAGGTGTGCCCCTCTCCTGCTCAGGTGTGCCCCTTCCCTGCTCAGGTGAGTCTCTCCCCTGCCAGGTATGCCCCTCCCCTGTTCAGGTGTGCCTCTCACCTGCTTAGGCTCCCCTGCTCAGGTGTGCCCCTCCCCTGCTCAGGTGAGTCTCTCCCCTGCCAGGTGTGCCTCTCTCCTACTCAGGTGTGCCCCTCCCCTGCTCAGGTGTGCCCCTCCCCTGCTCAGGTCTCTCCCCTGCTCAGGTGTGCCCCTCTCCTGCTCAGGTGTGCCTCTCCCCTGCTCAGGTGTGCCCCTCTCCTGCTCAGGTGTGCCCCTCCCCTGCTAGGTGTGCCCCTCTCCTGCTCAGGTGTGCCCCTCTCCTGCTCAGGTGTGCCCCTTCCCTGCTCAGGTGAGTCTCTCCCCTGCCAGGTGTGCCCCTTCCCTGCTCAGGTGTGCCCCTTCCCTGCTCAGGTGTGCCCCTCCCCTGCTCAGGTGTGCCCCTCCCCTGCTCAGGTGTGCCCCTCCCCTGCTAGGTGTGCCCCTCCCCTGCTCAGGTGAGTCTCTCCCCTGCCAGGTATGCCCCTCTCCTGCTCAGGTGTGCCCCTTCCCTGCTCAGGTGTGCCCCTCCCCTGCTAGGTGTGCCCCTCTCCTGCTCAGGTGTGCCTCTCCCCTGCTCAGGTGTGCCCCTTCCCTGCTCAGGTGTGCCCCTCCCCTGCTCAGGTGTGCCCCTCCCCTGCTAGGTGTGCCCCTCTCCTGCTCAGGTGTGCCCCTTCCCTGCTCAGGTGTGCCCCTTCCCTGCTCAGGTGTGCCCCTTCCCTGCTCAGGTGTGCCCCTCCCCTGCTAGGTGTGCCCCTTCCCTGCTCAGGTGTGCCCCTTCCCTGCTCAGGTGTGCCCCTCCCCTGCTAGGTGTGCCCCTCCCCTGCTAGGTGTGCCCCTCCCCTGCTCAGGTGAGTCTCTCCCCTGCCAGGTATGCCCCTCCCCTGCTCAGGTGTGCCCCTCCCCTGCTCAGGTGTGCCCCTTCCCTGCTCAGGTGTGCCCCTCCCCTGCTAGGTGTGCCCCTCTCCTGCTCAGGTGTGCCCCTCCCCTGCTCAGGTGTGCCCCTCCCCTGCTCAGGTGTGCCCCTCCCCTGCTCAGGTGAGTCTCTCCCCTGCCAGGTATGCCCCTCTCCTGCTCAGGTGTGCCCCTTCCCTGCTCAGGTGTGCCCCTCCCCTGCTAGGTGTGCCCCTCTCCTGCTCAGGTGTGCCCCTTCCCTGCTCAGGTGAGTCTCTCCCCTGCCAGGTATGCCCCTCCCCTGTTCAGGTGTGCCTCTCACCTGCTTAGGCTCCCCTGCTCAGGTGTGCCCCTCCCCTGCTCAGGTGAGTCTCTCCCCTGCCAGGTGTGCCTCTCTCCTACTCAGGTGTGCCCCTCCCCTGCTCAGGTGTGCCCCTCCCCTGCTCAGGTCTCTCCCCTGCTCAGGTGTGCCCCTCTCCTGCTCAGGTGTGCCTCTCCCCTGCTCAGGTGTGCCCCTCTCCTGCTCAGGTGTGCCCCTCCCCTGCTAGGTGTGCCCCTCTCCTGCTCAGGTGTGCCCCTCTCCTGCTCAGGTGTGCCCCTTCCCTGCTCAGGTGAGTCTCTCCCCTGCCAGGTGTGCCCCTTCCCTGCTCAGGTGTGCCCCTTCCCTGCTCAGGTGTGCCCCTCCCCTGCTCAGGTGTGCCCCTCCCCTGCTCAGGTGTGCCCCTCCCCTGCTAGGTGTGCCCCTCCCCTGCTCAGGTGAGTCTCTCCCCTGCCAGGTATGCCCCTCTCCTGCTCAGGTGTGCCCCTTCCCTGCTCAGGTGTGCCCCTCCCCTGCTAGGTGTGCCCCTCTCCTGCTCAGGTGTGCCTCTCCCCTGCTCAGGTGTGCCCCTTCCCTGCTCAGGTGTGCCCCTCCCCTGCTCAGGTGTGCCCCTCCCCTGCTAGGTGTGCCCCTCTCCTGCTCAGGTGTGCCCCTTCCCTGCTCAGGTGAGTCTCTCCCCTGCCAGGTATGCCCCTCCCCTGCACAGGTGTGCCCCTTCCCTGCTCAGGTGTGCCCCTCCCCTGCTCAGGTGTGCCCCTCCCCTGCTCAGGTGTGCCCCTCCCCTGCTAGGTGTGCCCCTCTCCTGCTCAGGTGTGCCCCTTCCCTGCTCAGGTGAGTCTCTCCCCTGCCATGTATGCCCCTCCCCTGTTCAGGTGTGCCTCTCACCTGCTTAGGCTCCCCTGCTCAGGTGTGCCCCTCCCCTGCTCAGGTGAGTCTCTCCCCTGCCAGGTGTGCCTCTCTCCTACTCAGGTGTGCCCCTCCCCTGCTCAGGTGTGCCCCTCCCCTGCTCAGGTCTCTCCCCTGCTCAGGTGTGCCCCTCTCCTGCTCAGGTGTGCCTCTCCCCTGCTCAGGTGTGCCCCTCTCCTGCTCAGGTGTGCCCCTCCCCTGCTAGGTGTGCCCCTCTCCTGCTCAGGTGTGCCCCTTCCCTGCTCAGGTGTGCCCCTTCCCTGCTCAGGTGTGCCCCTCCCCTGCTAGGTGTGCCCCTTCCCTGCTCAGGTGTGCCCCTCTCCTGCTCAGGTGTGCCCCTTCCCTGCTCAGGTGTGCCCCTCCCCTGCTCAGGTGTGCCCCTCCCCTGCTCAGGTGTGCCACTCCCCTGCTAGGTGTGCCCCTCCCCTGCTCAGGTGAGTCTCTCCCCTGCCAGGTATGCCCCTCTCCTGCTCAGGTGTGCCCCTTCCCTGCTCAGGTGTGCCCCTCCCCTGCTAGGTGTGCCCCTCTCCTGCTCAGGTGTGCCTCTCCCCTGCTCAGGTGTGCCCCTTCCCTGCTCAGGTGTGCCCCTCCCCTGCTAGGTGTGCCCCTTCCCTGCTCAGGTGTGCCCCTTCCCTGCTCAGGTGTGCCCCTCCCCTGCTAGGTGTGCCCCTCCCCTGCTAGGTGTGCCCCTCCCCTGCTCAGGTGAGTCTCTCCCCTGCCAGGTATGCCCCTCCCCTGCTCAGGTGTGCCCCTCCCCTGCTCAGGTGTGCCCCTTCCCTGCTCAGGTGTGCCCCTCCCCTGCTAGGTGTGCCCCTCTCCTGCTCAGGTGTGCCCCTCCCCTGCTCAGGTGTGCCCCTCCCCTGCTCAGGTGTGCCCCTCCCCTGCTCAGGTGTGCCCCTCCCCTGCTCAGGTGAGTCTCTCCCCTGCCAGGTATGCCCCTCTCCTGCTCAGGTGTGCCCCTTCCCTGCTCAGGTGTGCCCCTCCCCTGCTCAGGTGTGCCCCTCCCCTGCTCAGGTGTGCCCCTCCCCTGCTCAGGTGTGCCCCTCCCCTGCTAGGTGTGCCCCTCTCCTGCTCAGGTGTGCCCCTTCCCTGCTCAGGTGAGTCTCTCCCCTGCCAGGTATGCCCCTCCCCTGCTCAGGTGTGCCCCTTCCCTGCTCAGGTGTGCCCCTTCCCTGCTCAGGTGTGCCCCTCCCCTGCTAGGTGTGCCCCTTCCCTGCTCAGGTGTGCCCCTTCCCTGCTCAGGTGTGCCCCTCCCCTGCTAGGTGTGCCCCTCCCCTGCTAGGTGTGCCCCTCCCCTGCTCAGGTGAGTCTCTCCCCTGCCAGGTATGCCCCTCCCCTGCTCAGGTGTGCCCCTCCCCTGCTCAGGTGTGCCCCTCCCCTGCTCAGGTGAGTCTCTCCCCTGCCAGGTATGCCCCTCTCCTGCTCAGGTGTGCCCCTTCCCTGCTCAGGTGAGTTTCTCCCCTGCCAGGTATGCCCCTCCCCTGCTCAGGTGTGCCCCTTCCCTGCTCAGGTGTGCCCCTTCCCTGCTCAGGTGTGCCCCTCCCCTGCTAGGTGTGCCCCTCTCCTGCTCAGGTGTGCCCCTTCCCTGCTCAGGTGTGCCCCTCCCCTGCTCAGGTGTGCCCCTCCCCTGCTAGGTGTGCCCCTCTCCTGCTCAGGTGTGCCCCTCCCCTGCTCAGGTGTGCCCCTCCCCTGCTAGGTGTGCCCCTCTCCTGCTCAGGTGTGCCCCTTCCCTGCTCAGGTGAGTCTCTCCCCTGCCAGGTATGCCCCTCCCCTGCTCAGGTGTGCCCCTTCCCTGCTCAGGTGTGCCCCTCCCCTGCTAGGTGTGCCCCTCTCCTGCTCAGGTGTGCCCCTTCCCTGCTCAGGTGTGCCCCTCCCCTGCTCAGGTGTGCCCCTCCCCTGCTAGGTGTGCCCCTCTCCTGCTCAGGTGTGCCCCTTCCCTGCTCAGGTGTGCCCCTCCCCTGCTCAGGTGTGCCCCTCCCCTGCTAGGTGTGCCCCTCTCCTGCTCAGGTGTGCCCCTCCCCTGCTCAGGTGTGCCACTCCCTGCTCAGGTGTGCCTCTCCCCTGCTCAGGTGTGCCACTCCCTGCTCAGGTGTGCCTCTCCCCTGCTCAGGTGTGCCTCTCCCCTGCTCAGGTGTGCCCCTCCCCTGCTCAGGTGTGCCCCTCCCCTGCTCAGGTGAGTCTCTCCCCTGCCAGGTATGCCCCTCTCCTGCTCAGGTGTGCCTCTCCCCTGCTCAGGTGTGCCCCTCCCCTGCTCAGGTGTGCCCCTTCCCTGCTCAGGTGTGCCCCTCCCCTGCTCAGGTGCGCCCCTCACCTGTTCAGGTGTGCCTCTCACCTGCTTAGGCTTCAGCTGTGGCAGCGGTTTTGTAGGAGGTGCAGGTCTGAGCTGGGGGAGGAGGAGAGGTCAGGGGGCCCAAGCCCAGCTCGACGTTCGTCCAGTGTGGGCCTGGGTGATTCTCTGGGGGTCCTGGCCCATGGCACACAGAGGGGTCCCACCAATCCTCCTCCTCCCAGGATATACGTGGATGCCCCCCGATGCCCGCTGCTCTCGAGCTCAGCCTCTGCTGCTGCTTACCTGGTCTGGGGCCTGCCTTGTGTACACAGGAACTGTGTGGGGAGTGCCGGGCAGGGGAGCTGGAGGCTGCAGAGAGGCAGGGGAGGGGTGTAGGGCTGCATGTTTGGAAAGGCTGAATCAGGGCTGCCCCCCACCCCAGGCTGGATACCAGAGGCCCTGTTCTCCGGAGGAGGAAAAGTGAAGCTTCGTGTGCGTGTGTGCACGCAGCCACCCATGTACATGAATGTCTGTGCATCCATGTATACATACATGTATCTGTGTGTGCATGTGTATATGTACATCCCGGTGTGACTGTGTTATGTGTGCCAGGTGTGCGTCCACATGCATGGACACATCTGCCCCCACACAACTATGTGTACATGTGCCATATGCATCCGTGTGTGCATGGACCTACGTACACATCTCTGCGCACCTGATCTATATGGGCAAATGCGTCTTGACACACGTCTATGTGCACTGTTTACTGGTGTAAACACACGCACCCATATGTGTGGACATGCATGTGTCCAGGCCAAGGTGCAGATGGCCATGCTGGGCTCGGGCCTACACACGAGTCCAAGCTCCAGCTCATGCCAGTGCCACTACCCTCAGGTGGCCACGTACAGCCTGTGTGCTTTCCCTGGCAGAAGCTGGGGCAGTGGGCTGCGCCCTGTGGGAGGGGACACGTCTGGGAACCGCCTTCCAGCTCTGAGACCCAACCCACGAGAGAAGTCAGACTTACAGCGGGCGGAGGCCGCTTGGGCGTCACCGCGGCAGCCATGGGCCTGGGGGACTGCATGGAGTGGGTGGTAGAGGCCAACTCTGGGAGGCCCATGGCGCAGGGTGGAGGCCTCCCATTTGCTGGCGTGCTGCCCGCTGCGTGAAACAGAGGATTGGAGAGTCCCACAGCTGTCTTGGATGCCGAGCTCCTAGGGGAAATTACGCTGAGATGACAGAGTGTCGTGGTCCCTGAAGCCAGGACACTCAAACGTGGCCTGTCCACCAGCTGCTGCAGCCCACACATCACACACAGCCAGTGCTGGGGCCACGCACGGAGAGGGGAGGCACATGCAGGCCATGGGGAGGTTCCCACGTGGCCAGCAGGGGACCAACGTCCCCACAGGCTCAGAGCACAGATGCCCACCGGGTAGGGGGACCTGGCTGCCTGTGACCAGGCGGCTTCTCGGGCCAAACTGTGCCAACTGTCAGGTCCCTGCTGTGTACGTGCCAGCGGCTCAATGGGGGACAGTTCCCTGCAGACACTGCCCCCGCACAGTGCTTACCTTCTCCGGAGGAAGAAGACCACACCTGCCAGTCCCAGCGCCAGAACCACCAAGACCCCGGCCACCAGCACACCCACTGGGACACTGCGGGACACTGCAGGCACAGAAGTCACCAGCAGGGGGCTTGGAGGGTCCTTCCAGGGCACAGCCAGGCCCCGCTGACCCCCAATGGATGGGGTGGGGGCCTGAGGCTGTGCCCCAGGCCCTCTGATCCCGCTGGATGGGTGGAGTGGGGCTTAGGTGCCTGAACACCCTCAGGCTGCCCCAAGGTGGGAACCCACCTGTCTGCACGCCTGGCAGTGGCTGAGCACAGTGTGGGGGAGCCCAGCCGGGGCTGCAGTGGCACTCCTGCTTGTGGTTGCACACCTGCGGGTGACACAGGACAGACGCGGGGTGGGGGGGGGGAGAACATCAAGCCTGCAGCTCGGCTCACCCATGCAGGCGTAGTATCACATACACGTGCACAAGCCGATACTCACGTGCAAGGCAAATGCTCACCGGTACACAGATGCACGAACACGTTTGGGTACAGTACGTGCACTAACACAAAAGACGCCTATGGTCCTGTTCTTTGTTTCCGTCTTGCTTTGGGGGCCACACCCAGCGACCTCCCCGCTGGACTACCGCTGGCTTGCTCGCTTGGCCCCTGCAGCCCTGTTCTGGCACTCCTCGGTGAGCACTGGTGTCCTACCCACCCTGCAGGCCCTGCGCACCGCCCCGCCCCGCCCGGCCCTACCCCGCGTCCGCTGCACTTGGCCGAGCAGTTCCTGGGGCCGTAGACGCGGAGGTCCTCGCAGCGGCCGTCCCAGCACACCTGGGGGAGGGCGCAGCCAAGCTCGGACCCAGCCTGCGCCCCACCCCGCCGCCCTCGCCAGGGGCCGGCCGTGCACTCACCCTGCCCGGGCCACAGCGCGTGCCCTGGGGCACCGGCACGTAGGCCCCGCTGTCCATCGGGCGGAGCGCCTGGCAGGTGCCCGAGGCCAGGGTGAGCGTGCAGGACGCGAACTCAGGGGGCAGCTGGCCGCCCGCGCAGAACAGGACCCCACACCTGCCGGCACTAGAAGGGACGGGCGGGCCGCGGTTGGGTCCCGGCCGGGCCGCCCGCGACCCTGCGCCCGCCGGCCAGGCCCCGCGCTCACCCGTCTGCGCCCCGACGCGCGGGGCTCCTGCAGTCCGGCGCGAGGGCGAAGCTGTAGCACGTGTCCGCGGCCGCGCGGGCACCTGCGGGGCAGCGCGGTCAGCCTGGCCCGCGCCCCCGCCCGGCCCCGCGCCCGCCGGGGCGCCTCACCTGGCCCCCACAGGTCCCGGCACGACCCGGTCAGCGACGGGCAGGCGCCGGCGTAGCAGTGGCCCCCCGGGCAGGGCGTGCCGTTCTCGCGGAAGGCGTCCTCGGGGCACTCGGGCTGCAGCCCGTCGCAGTGCTCCTCCAGGTCACACGGGTCCTTCGCGGGCCGGCACGACGCCCCCGCCGCCTTCACCTGCCCAGGGAGCCCACTCCTGCTCTGCCGCCCTCCAGGCCCCAGCAGGCCCGGCGGGGCCACGGGAGGCTGTGGGCGGCGCCGCGGGGGCGTGGGCAGGAATGTGGGCGTGGCTTCAGGGAGGGGCGTGGCTGCGGTGAGGGGCGGGATTGTGGGAGGGGCCTTGGCGAGGGGGCGGGCTGCAGGGAAGGGCGATCCGAGTGAGGGGCGGGGCCTAGCATGCAGCGGGTGGGGCCTAGGGCCAGGCCGTGCCATCCGTGGGCGGGGCCTAGGGCCAGGCCGTGCCATCCGTGGGCGGGGCCTAGGGCGAGGGGCGGGGCGCGGCCGGCTCACCCTGCAGCCGTGGCAGCACGCGCCCTGCCCGCACTGCGCGCCTGGGACAAGCTGGCAGGTGGTCGAGTTGCAGCAGGGGCTCCGGCAGTCCTGCGAGGACATGGACTTGGGGGAGGGCCGCCTGCACGGGCCCGCGCAGGGCTTCAGAGGGGCGGGGACCCCGGTCTCCCTCCCCAGGAGGCCGGGGTGGAAAGCCTCCCAGGGGTCAGGAGTGTGGCTCTGGGCATGGCAGGTGGGCAGAACCGGGTCGGAAAGCCCCGTGCTACGTACCTGGGGTGAGCCGCAGTCACACTGCTCTCCCTCCTCCAGGAACCCATTTCCACACACGGGGCCGCTCACCAGCCACCTGACATCCGGCTCATTCCTCAGGCAGGCTGCACCCTGTTTCCCCACAAAGGTCTCCAGGTCGGCCTGGCTGCAGTGGCTGAACATCCTGGGGTAGCTGGAGCTGCGGAAACCGGGTGTCAGGCAGCTGCTGCGAGTCCCTGGCGCAAGCCGTGCCGTTCCGTGCCGGCGGGTGGGCCTCACCTGATCCTGGCCGCCATGACGCAGCTGCGGTCCCCCGTCTCTGGGCAGTAGCAGCCAGGCACATTGTCATCGTGGTCCAAGCCCAGGTTGTGGCCCATCTCGTGGGCCATGGTGCACGCCACACCCACGGGGTTCTGGTGGTGGTCCTGAGGGAAAGCTCGCTCCAGGCTCGTGCCCTGCCACTCTCCGAACCGCCCGCCAAGGGACGCAGCTCAAGTTCTCCCACAGGCTTATCCCGGCCGGCCTGCATCAGACCCGTCAATGCCAGCCCCTCCACTGGGCACCACCACGACCGGACCACCTGCTTACACACCTGGTTCACAGCCCCCGAGTGCTTGGAACACATGGTGGCCACCTTGGCCAGCCCCACGGTGCTGCCAGTGAAGTCCAGGGCACTGCAAGTGAGCAGCACGTGGGTGCAGGGCGCGCCTCTCCCACCCACCGTGCAGCCCACACCTGCCCTCAGGGCTGACAACCAGACATCCCCGTGCCCACCCATGAGACCACGCACGTGATGAGCTGTACGTTGTCATACGGGTACTGCTTGGGCAGGCCCTGCCACCAGGCCAGGAAGTTGTTGAGCGTGATATCAGGGTCGGAATTGACATGGATCTTGTCCCCGCTGTTCCACACCTCCAGCCCCACCAGGGCCACGCGCATGTGGAGCTTCTGGTAAAGCTGGGCAGGGAGGGGCGACTCAGGACACCAGCCAGCCAGCGGCTCCGCCTGGAAGGGGGCCTGCCTGGTGCTCCCCAGCACCATGCAGGGTGCCGAGGGCTGGAAGTCACCGTGGGGGACAGGGGGAACAGCACCCACCTTGTCCACATGGTTCACGACCTCCAGGACACGGCTGCGTACGGCTTCCCTGCTGCCCAGCAGCTGGAACTGAGAACAGGACCCTCAGAAGGGCTGGGGCGCCCACCATTCCCCCCATGTGCCCCCGTGGTACCTCACTGAAGTCGGTGACCACAAACAGCTCCACGTAGCGGGTTTCTCGGGCCGGTGGCCAGTCCTAGGAGCGACGAGGTGACGTGGGTTGGCAACGCGCCATACTGGCCCTTCCCTTCTCCCCTCCCGGGTCCCAGAGCTGGCGCCCCCAGCCCAGAATCCCCCGTGCCCAGGTGTGTGCCCTCCCAGGTGCAAAAGCTGAATGGATGTGGCCACGACACGAGGGCGCCCCTCACCCGGGGCCTGAGGGCAGCTGAGGTCCGAGGTCCGAGGACACGGGCCAGCGTGGAGTGGTTGACCCCACAGGTCCTGGCTGTCTGCTGTAGCTGGGTCTCCTGGTACAGGGCGTGTGGCCCTTCCTCACTGGCCCCTTCCAGAGGCTCAATCAGATGCATGGCTGGGCCCACCAGGAAGAAGCCCCTGCAGGCGGGAGAGCTGAATTAGGCCTGTCCGGGGAGGCCCAGGACCAACTGCTCGGGTCCTGGTGGGTAGGTCAGCACCCAGCCCGCGAGCCCCAGCCCTTGACACACACGCACGCGTGCGCGCACACACACACACACACACACACATACACACACACACATACACACACATTTGCTCCCTAGTCAGCCGGGAGCAGTGGGGGGCATCTGCCTCCACGGGTGCACACCTGAGGCCGGCGCAGGTGCTGAGGCTGGCAGCCGACTCAGGGTGACCCTCCACGTGTCCCTGGTAGAAGCAGTGATCCTGCAGGAAGAGGGGATCAGGGTCCCTCCTGCCACTCCTGGGCCCGGACCTGGAGGCCCTCACCTACCTGAGGCTGCAGCTGCTCAGTCACCTGGGAGCCATTGGCGGCTGCGTAGGTCTCTGTGTAGCCGGACGCCACCAGGTCCCTGGGAGAGACTTAGTGCAGGGCCTGCCCACCCCCAGAAGCCCAGGGTCGGGGGCCCTCTGCTCACCTATTCTTCCGCAGGTGCAGGGTGAAGGTGTGTCCCGGGGCCCCAAGGACGTAGCTCACACTCTCTGGGTAGGGGACCTAGGCAGGGAGTGGGACCATGTGGGCACACGCTTTCCCCTGCCAGGGTCAGTCTGGAGCTCCTCAGGGTGCCCCTTCCTCTGAACCCAGAACTGACCTGTGGGCCACGCATGCCCAGACAGGCCCTGTGCCCACACACACCCAGGAAGGCAGGCTCCCCTCTCAGGCACACACCCATGGGCCCAGGAAGGGCGCCTCCAGCCCCATCCAGACCCAGCCTGGGGAATCCCGGCGCAGACGCCCCAAGGTAGGCGGTAGGACTCGTCACCGTTACTAGCGTCACCAGCGCAGTTGCTAGTGGTGAGCTGGCCCCGCCCCTCCTGAGCACAGTGGGAGTGTCGGGGCTGTGTCCCGGGGGTGCGTGGCACCCTGGGATGGAGGGCCCCTCTCCTGGTCACCCGGCCGGACTTCCAGTCCTGGGGGGCAGAGGTCTGACACCCCCACCCTCCCCCACCTCGACTTACCGTGTGGGAGGGGAGGGCTCTGCGCGGGCGGGGTCCTGGCAGGCGCTGGGGCCGCACCACCACGTAGGGTTGCTCCGGGGGCAGGGGGACGCCCGGGCCGACCGCTGTGGGAGAGGGCGGGGCTGAGAGCCTTCAGGCACGCACTCAGCACTGCCTGCCGGGGAGGCCAGACCCTCTTGGGTGGGGGGCACCCCCCTTCCAAGTCTCAGACCTCCAGGGGGAGGGGAGGGGTGGGAGGGGCCGGGACCCTTTCCCCTCTCCTCCCCACCCCCACACCCTGGCCCTCCAGGCTGGGGTCTGGTGGAGCCGACCCCGCCCTGCCCCCGCCCCGCCCCCACCCCAGACTCACCCCCAACCCAGGCTTAGGAAACGCCGCTCCGGTCAGCCCTCAGTTCCCCTTTGAGGGTTCCCGTCTCCCTCCCCCACCCCAAGCAACCACCTCCGCAGAGACCAGGGCCAGCCCCAGTGCACTGCCCAGAGGCTGCGGCCAGCCCCAGTGCCCCCTGGCCACGTGGACGCGCTGCCTAGAGGCTGAGGCCAGCCCTGGTGCCCTCATCCCGGCCGCGTGGATGGCACTACCCAGAGACTGGGGCAGCTCCGATGGTCCCCTGGCCGCATGGTCGCGCTGACCAGAGACTGAGGCCAGCCCTGACGGACCCTTGGCTGCGTGGATGCGCTGACCAGAGACTGGGGCCAGCCCCTATGGTCCCTTGGCCGCGTGGACACTTTGACCAGAGATTGGGCCAGCCCCATGGTCCCCTGGCCGCGCGGATGCCTTGCCTAGAGGCGGGGACGAGCCCCAGTGTCCTGGCCGCATGAATGGTGCTGCCCAGACTGGGGCCAGTCCTGAACGCTGCGTGGACAGCACCGCCCAGAGATGAGGGCCAGTTCCAACACCCCCCGACCGTGTGGCTGGCACTGCCTGGAGACCCCCGCCTCAGGGGAGGGCTGCAGTCCTGCCCTGGACATTAATTGATGGAGACTCACCGAGCAGCCAGAGAGCCCCCAGCAGCCAGAGCCTGAGGCCCCGCATGGTGAGGCTCCGGAGGCTGGAGGTTCGGGTTCGAGGGTCTGCGGGCAGGGACAGGGATCCCGGCGGGTGTGCTGGGGTGGACTATAGTGACTGAGGTGCCTGGGGCAGCTCTTTCCGGAACACGCCCCAGTCTGGCCTCAGGCCCAGCCCCTGGGAGGGGAGGGGCGGGCCAGCCCCATCCTGATTCCTGATGGAAGGTGCCAGGGTGCCCTGGGGCCCCTGAACCTGCCAGTGCCCAGAAGTGAAGCAACCCTGAGTATGTGGGTGGAGTTCGAGGGCCCTGGGAGCCGCCTACAGCCCCTGGGGTCTGATTCCACAGGGGCTGGGTCGGGGCAACCTGACCCATGTGGTCCCACCCCTGCCAGGAGTCACCCCAACACAGCAGGTTAGGAGGCGGAGTCCTCCTGTGGGTGGGGCTGGCCCATGGACAGGCCTCTGGGACCTTGCTGGGAGGGGCTGTGGGGCTCCAGCAGGGGCCTTTCCTGGGGGTGCAGGCCCTGCGTGGTGGGCTGCAGGCACCCATTCCCGGTTCCCACCCACCCTTGGGCCCAGCACACTGGGGGGGGGGGGCATTCCTGCCGCAGGGTTGCAGCCCCACAGACACTGTCCCTTAGCCACTGCTGCAGGGCAGTTAAAACCGGGGTGCAGGGTCCCGTGACCCCCTAAGGGGCAGCGCGGCTGTGGGGTGCAGGGTCCCGTGTCCCCTCCTTGGGCAGCTCCAGGCCCCAGTGCTCTCTCCCTGGTGTGTCCCCTCCTCCCTCCCAGCCCTTGGGGCCCCCACTGCTGCCCTCCGGTGCCCTGAGCCCAGGACTGACTCAGCAGCTTTTGGGGGGCCCATGGCTATGGGCCTGGCAGGCACAGGCCCCCCTTTGCCCAGCACCAGACAATCTCCACACTCAGCTCAGGGGTTTCATTGTTTATTTGGGGGCAGAGAGGGTGCAGGGCTCAGCCCTGCCAGCAGGTCGGTTGGTGGTCGGCGACGCAGCAGCAGCCCAGGGTTTCGGGAGGGCAGAACAGAGTGGCCCTGGGGCTCACTGCGCAGTGACAGCGACCCGGGGGGCTGGCGCCGGGGGCCCCCGTGGGCCCGGCACCTGGGGCACTGTCCTCTGGCTCCTCTCTGCCGACAGGCGCTCTAGGCGCTCAGTGTAGAAGCCGTTAAAGTCGAGCCTGCGGGAGTGGGGGGCTCAGCCAGTACCCGACGCAAACACACACGCAAGGGCACAGGGACACAGATGTGTGTACAGACACACACAGGCACAGGCCTGCACGGACAGTCAAGCACCCGGTTCCGCATGTGGGCCGTGACACCTCCGAACGGGGCCCCCGGGACGGCCCACCCCCCTGGCACCCGAGGCTGGAGGCCCCTGGGCTAACCCAGGAGCCAGGCGCACCTGGAGATGACGCTGGCCATGCCGTGCTCACAGTCGCTGGTGCTGTACACGCTCAGCCGGGCCAGGAGGTCCAGCAGGTGTGCGGAGAAGTTCTGGTCAAACCTGCTGATGGTGGCCTCGAAGCTGGAGTCCAGCTGGGGGGAGTCCGCTTGCTCGGCCAGGTGCTGGGGGGCAGGTAGGCTATGAGGGGACACAGGCCCCGCCCGCAGGCACATGCCAGGAGTCGCTCCGTGGCCATGCCAGAGGCTCCGCCGCGACAAGCCTCAGGCCGCCCGCCCGCCGCACCTTCCTGGCGAGTTCCTTCCTGGTGTGCTCCTCTGCCCGCTCGGCCTCGGTGGGCGGCCCCAGCATGCCACCATGCTCCAGCGCCCGTGGGCCCAGCTCTCCGTCCAGCTTCATGCTCTGCGTGAATCTCTGGGGGTCGGGAGGCGAGTGTCGCCAGGCGTGACTGTTGTCCCCGAGCCCGTCTCCAGCCGGTCGCTCACCCCCAGGGTCGGCCTAGGTGCAGTTGGCGCAGGTGCTGCCCGCCCGCCCCGCGTACCTGCATGCAGTTGGTGAACATGACGCACACGGACATGAGCTTGGAGAAGACGCGCAGCAGCTCGGGGTTGGTCAGCATGCAGTCCTTGAGGCACGAGTCCAGGAAGCCCGTGTGGTGGCCCAGCACGTCGTCAATGTTGGAGGCCTGGGGGGCGGACACGGGCCTCTCAGAGGGGTCCGTGTGTGGAGCGGACACAGGGCCTCTCAGAACCAGCCCACACGTGGGACGGACACGGGCCTCTCCCCGCTCTGCCCACGTTTCCAGCTGCATCCCTCAACGGGGCCCAGGCAGCAGTTCCAAGGCAGTTCAAGGACCACAGGTGAAAATCAAGAGGGACTGCGTGTGGACAGGGGCCAACGGGTGAAGGCCCAAAGCCCAGGAGGGAGAGACGGCCCCTGTGCACACGACCTCACCCACATGCGGGTGCTGCGTGTGGCCCTCCTGGACACTGACCAGTCACTGAGGCCCAGTGCCCGCTGCTGCCTGCCCCCCCGAATACAAGGGACCACTTCCCCTCCCGACAGACCAGGCAGTGCCCCCGACCCTGTCCTCGCTACAGGACCCTCTCAGGGAACACCCGGTGGGCGCAGCCTCACGGGGGCCCAAGGCCTGGCCTTGCACGTGGCTGACCCAGTTTGCTCCCAGCGACTCACGGATCTCAGGTTCTTCTCCAGGATGTGCCAGGTGGGCTCCATCACCTCGAACATCATGTAGTACTGGATGTTCTGGACGAAGTTCAGCATCCGCTGCCGCAGGGTGAAGGCTCCAGCCAGCCTGCGAGCACGGGTCATGGCAGGGCTGCCCGGGGCCTGGGGACGGGCCACAGGCCAGCAGGCACAGAGCCGCGGCAGGAGGAAAGGGCAGGCCCGACGCACACGCGGGGCGGGGGTGGGGGTGGACCGGGGCTGGAGGGGACGCGGGGCGGGACGTACCACTTGGCCGAGTGCAGCGAGCACTGCTTGGCCGCCTTGTTGCTCACCCACACGTTGCACAGCTGCCGCTCCACGTGTTTGCAGTAGAACATGTGTCGGAAGAGCATCTGGTAGCGGGTCAGCGCTTTCCTTCAAGACAGAGCCAGGCCGCGGTGGGTATGGTGGCGCCGCCTCACCCGTGGCCACTGGTCCCGCCCCTGGCGCCCCACAGGGTTTCCCGAGCCCCACCAGGACGAGAGCTGAGCAGGGCCGGGGTGGGCCAAAAACAAAACTACCGAGGCTCAGAGGCTTCACCACCTCTCGCTGGCTGAAAGCAGCAAACCTGTTTTTTTCTTTTTTTGCTATGGAAGGATGGAACACTCACATGTGCAATACCCAGACTTTTTGACTACAAGAAAATGTGTCCGGGCTGGAGTGATAGCAAAGCGGATAGCGCTTGCCTTGCACGCGGCCGACCCGGGTTCGATTTCCAGCATCCCACAGGGTCCCCGAGCACCGCCAGGAGTAATTCCTGAGTGCAGAGCCAGGAGGAACCCCTGTGGATCGCTGGGTGTGACCCAAAAAGTGAAAAACAAACAAAAAAACGTATTCAGTAACTCCCCTGTAGGACCATCAAGCTTGCCAGAAGTGATCCCTGAGTACTTAAGAGTGATCCCCGAGCCTTCAGTGTTGCCCACCCCAAAGGGAAAAAAACATGCTCACACTGGGAGCGGGGTGTGGTTCAGTGATGGCAAACGCACTGCCTGTGTGGAGTCTGGAGTTCAAGAAGTAAGCAGAACGGACTGGAGTGACAGTACTGTGTGTAGGATGCCTGCCTTGCCGTGGCCAACCGGGGTCTGATTCCCAGCATTTCATGTGGATCCTGAGCACCCCAGGGGTCGTTCCTGAGCGCAGAGTCAGGAGTAACCCGGGAGCACAGCCAGGTGTGGGCCCCCAAAACAACCCAAACGACACAGGCGTGCATGGATGGCACGTGGAGGTCCGGTTTCCAGCACCACGTGGTCCCCTCAACTCGAAAGCCGCGGAAGAAGAGGGGAAGAGGATCAAGGGTCAGGCCAGAGCCCAGGGGTCTCTGCTGGTCACAGCTTGCAAGCGAGATGCCTGTGTGCAGGCAGCTGGGGGACTGCAGGGACATCGAAGCACATGGAGCCGCCGTCCATCCTTCCATGAGGTGGACGCCGGCCGAACGCAGTCCTGTCACGGGCACGGGACCGCTCACCTGTTGATGATCAGTGAGAGTGGCCACTTGACCACGTAGTCAAAGGAAAAGGCCTCCAGGCCACTCAGAGTGAGCTCTGTGGGGTCGGCCTGGACCATGGCCTTCTCCTGCTTGGTCTCGATGGCCAAAACACGCAGCAGCTGAGTGATGAGGTCGTGAGGCATCAGATCGATCTGGGGAGAGGAATCGAAGGGCCAGGTCCGACTCCAGCCCCAACACAACCCGGCTGAGCTCAGTTCCACGAGTCTCGGGCTGAGACCCAGCCCCATGTCCACAGACAGCCCGCCCAGAGGCGGAACCACCTCCAACGGGAACAGGGAGGCTGAAGGAGCCGCGTGGGCACACCCCACAGGGAGCACACGTTCCGCACGCAGGAGCCTCCGTGCCATCCTGGCATTTTGCGGCTGGGGCTGCCCAGACACCGAAACGGGAACAGAAACCAGCCCGCCGACACTGCCCTGGGCTGGGCCTGTGCCGATGGACCAACAGACGTGCAGCTGCGGAGAAGGGGAGGGACACTGCTGGCAGCCGGCGAGGCGGCCTCAGCGATGGGACAACCAGAGTGCCAGGAGACAGCGGCACCAGCTCCTGCAGCGCGTCCCCAGCGCACCTGCTCAGCCCACCTTCAGGTCGTCCTTGAAGGGGTCAGTGTTGGCGGTGCTCATGCGCAAGGCCAGCTCCAGGAGGGCCTCCAGGCGGGAGGGTGCGATGTTGTCCACGGGCTTCTTCAGCTCCTCCTCCGTGAGGTCCATGAAATGCACGAAGAAGTCCCCCTGGTCCATCAGGAAGTAGCGCTTGATGGACCTGTCCAGGGGGGTGTCTGCTGTGAGGCCTGGGCGCTGCAGGGGGGCTCGGAAGCAGGTCTAGGCACACAGGGCGGGCGGCTGGGCCCATGGCAGGACAGAGGGGTTCGGGCTGCAGCGGGGGCCCACTGGTGGCCCCCAGCAGAGCCACAGGCCCGTGAGAGCGGCTCTGCCCTGCAGACCCAGCACGGTCACCTGAGGTGTGCCACCAGCTCCTGCTCCTGCAGCAGGAAGCCCAGCAGCACCTGGCTGGCGTAGCTGAAGGCTGTCTCAATCTGCTCCACGTAGGCACGCTCCTTCAGCGTGTACACAACTTCCTTGGCGGCGGGGCAGGTGACGTCGCGGCCACACTCCCTGACCACATTGAGGTACTTCCCTGCAGGGGAGCACAAACCAGGGTCTCAGACTCGGCCAGCAGCCAGGCTTGCAGGACCCGAACCCATGGTCCTCTCAAGTTCTCGGGTCCCGGGAACAAGCTAACCCCAAAGTTCCCTTGGACCCCCACTCCCCCCACCTGTTCAGACACTGCTGCTGTACAAGTCTGGTCAGCCCAGCAGCACATCCAGGCTCCCCCGTCAGCCTGGTACAGGGCTCGAGAATGAACTAGCCAGGGGCGTGACTGGGACACGTCAGTCAGTGTCCAGTGACTCTTTTCCTGGACACTAGGTCACAAAGGATGGGACAGAGGCATGTCCGGTCTTTGGCTGCCTGGTCCCAGAGCCCTGGCAGTTCCCACCCCCCCCAAACAGGGATTCAGCACTCAGGACTCCCCTCCCCCAGCCCTCCCAAAGGCACCAAGGAAAAGGAGTCCCAGGACCCTGACATATAGCCCACTGGGCCCAGGGTGGGCTGTGTCTACAACAGAGTTGAAAGGCAACAGCAGGCAGAGACAGGGCAGCAGAAGCAGAGCTTGGTCACAGTCAGGCCCCAGCCATGGCGAGCCAGTCAGGTGCAGTCACACTGTAGGCACAGTCAGGCACAGTCAGGTACAGACTGTCAGGCGTGATCAGACTGACAGGCGCAGTCAGGCACAGGTGCGGTCAGGCAGTCCGGCATAGCCAGGCACAGTCAGGCACAGCCAGACTGTCAGGCACGATCAGGCATAGTCAGATGTGGTCTGGCCTGGTCAGGCGTGGTCAGGCCTGGTAGGAGGCTGGTTTGGAGGACCTGCGCACCTGTGCTCAGGACCTTGCCGGCCATCTTCTGCAGGAAGGACGGGATGTGCCTCTGCACCACTGTGTAGCGCTGCTCCCAGTACTTGTCGTTGTAGTCCTCCTGGATCTTCTCCTTCTGCAGCTCGTGCTCCTCCACCATGAACTCACTGCAAGCACACGGTGGCTCAGGGCCAGGACAAGCAGGTCTGCCACAGCAGCAGCCCTCCACTCCACTGTGCAGGACGCCAACTGGGGCTCAGGTGCGAGCGGAGACCAAGGGGAAGCATGTCCCGGGCTGGAGAGGCCTCCCTTCTCGTCTCCCAGCAGCCAAGCCTCAGCCCACGGCGAGTGGCTGTCACACAAGACCGAGTGCACGTGGTTTCCAGACAGGCCAAACCTGGCAGCAGGTGGGGCAGATATCTCCCTGGGCTGAAGCCGGGTTTGATTTGGTGCCAAGAGCAGACTCCTGCACAGAGCCAAAGTCAAACCCAAAGAGCAAAGAAAAATAAAGGCATGTCAATGAAACCACTTTTTTTTGGCTTTTTGGGTCACACTGGCGATGTGCAGGGGTTACTCCTGGTTCTGCACTCCTGGCGGTGCTCGGGGGACCATGTGGGACGCTGGGGACTGAACGTGGGTCAGCCACGTGCAAGGCAAATGCTCTACCCGCTGTACTATCGCTCCAGCCCCCAATAAAACAAACACAGGACCCTGACATATAGCCCACTACTATGGGCTACGATCCTCACACGATCCATCTTTGGCGGCTATGTGCTCTGGTGTGTGACGGGAGGTCAGGGCCCAACAAGGAGGCATGGACATCTCTGTCCGGCACAGAACCACCGAGGGGAAGGCAGCACCCCCTCCCTCCAAGACTGTCCTGACTACCCCCATGCCACTCCTGTGTCCGCCCTCACCTGTACGGGTCGTCGATGATGCCTCTGTAGATCCACTTCTCCAGGACCTCAAAGTAGGGCACGCTGGCGGCCTTGGTGAGGTAGAGGCACAAGTCCTGCGCCTGGCTGTCGCCCGTGTAGTTGAAGCTGCGATCATGCAGGAGGCTGAGGGTGGAGCCCCCCATACACTCACCTTTGTCCACGGATGTGGCTGCAAGGAGAAGGGGGCTCAGCACACGAAGGGGAGCAGCCCGGGGCCCGCGGCTCGTCACCCTTGCCTCTGGGGAAGACACGCTGACAGACCCTCCGAGTCTTCCCCCAGCAAGGCTCTGCCTCACCGCCCATGGGCAGCCAGCTCCTGAGGCGGAAAGCCCAGCCACGTCCCGAAACGGCCCCTCCTGCAGCCGCACACGCCTGGCTGAGGCGGCGGGCGGGCGTACCCAGAGAGGCCAGGATGTCCATCGTGCGCATGGCGGGCTGGACGTAGAACCAGAGCTTCTGCAGGGACAGGAGCCCCTGACGCTGCAGCTGCTCCAGCTGGGTGACCAGAATCAGGTACTCCTTCACCAGGGTCCGCATGGCTGCTGCCAGGGCGTGGTTCACCTGCCCGTACTCGAAGGAGGACTTCTCCTCGATGAACCTGGGGGCACGGGCAGCATCACGCACAGCCTCTGCTTGCACAGGGGCCCCGGGGGCCAGGTTGCAGCGAGAGCATGGTGACTTAGTCCTGGCTGTGCACACAGGGGTCAAGCCTGGCGGGGCCTGGGAGACCTCTGGGATGCCAGGGACCAAGCCCAGGCCAGCCACACTCAAGGCAAGTGTCCGCCCTGCTGCCCTCTCACTCAGGCCCTGCAGGGCTCTTTAGAGCCCTTTAGCTGTGGGATGCAGCCAGAGTGTGAGCAAAAGACCCTCGCAGCTCCAGTCTGGCACCTACCTGGTGACGGTGGAGTAACTGGCAGCCACTGGCAAGATCCTGCCCACCAGCTCCCGGATGGATAAGTCCAGGTTGGGGTCTAGGAGGAAGGTGCGGCTCTGCCTCCCGGTCAGGGGCTGGGCCGTGATGTACCTGCCATCTACGCCCACCAGTACGTACAGCAGGTCCTCCACCATGGCGGACTCCTGGGCGGCCAGGGGCAGCGAGCCTGCGGGCAGACATCAGCTCAGCTGGGACCACTCCCCGGCCACCCCACCCGCTGCCCTCCACGACCTCCTCAGAAGAAACGTGAGAAACCTCACAGAAATGAGAACAAGGGGCTGGAGGATAGCACAGCAGGTAGGGCATTTGCCTTGCACATGGCCGACCTGGGTTCGATTCCCAGCATCCCATAGGGTTCCCTGAGCACCGCCAGGAGTAATTCTGGAGCGCAGAGCCAGGAGTAACTCCTGTGTATAGCCAGGTGTGACCCAAAAAGCCCTCCCCCCCAAAAAAATAAATGAGAGCAAGTTACGCTGTCCCCACGGGCGGCAGCTGAATCCCCAGCCCACGACAGCCTTTAGTTGCCGGGGGATGCCGCACGTACCTATGGGCACGGCAGTGTCCGTGCCTGGGTCTGAGCCAGTCAGGAAGTCCCCGAGCAGTGTGGGCCTCTCGTACACCCATGCCGGGAAGACTGGGAGGTGCTGGCCCGAATTCTTCTTGTTCTGCTTGTCTCGAAGCATCTTCCTTGTAAGCTCCAGAGACTGGTGGCGTCACCCCAAGAACAAGGCCAGGAAGACAATCAGTACAACCAGTCTTTAACAAGCTGCGGCCTAGCATCGCTCTGCTCGGCTCTGGTGTGGGCACTGGCCATGCCACCTAGACACCAGGATGCTCTGTGCCCAGAGCTCAGGGTCGGACTGCGCCTCGGCCACTGTCCTGGGCACCTGCACTGTTGACACTGCCTTTGCAGGACTGAGGAGTCTGAGTGAGAGTGCAGGGGAGGACGGCATGTGGGGACAGCTCTGAGATCCTGCTCAAGGCTGGCGGGTGAGGGGGCAGGAACAGCAGGGTGAGGACCTCGGAGTGTGGATGAAGGACCAGAATACTGTGCCCAGCTCTGCAGACAGGCCCAGGCAGTGGTACCGTACCTGCTGCGGGGTGGAACCCGCCGCCATGCTGCCCAGCTGCTTCCTCAGCTCCTCAAGCTCCTGCGCGGAGATCTTGGAGGCTGTGGCCGGGGCACCAAAGCTGGGGGAGCTGCTGGCAGCGGCTGCCAGCTCAGCTCTTACCCTCGCATTGTGCTGGAGGTATTGCAGCGTCTGGAAGCGCAAAGCTGCCGTCAGTCTGCAAGGCCTGCGTGCACCCGGAACCCACCCATGCAGCTCACTCAGCGTCCAGGAAGGAGGCCAGAGGCTCCCGTGCTGTGCCCCCCTGGGCTGCATGCCACCACATGCCACGTCCTGAACACAAACCCCCAAGCCCGACCCCAGCGCTGCAGCTATTCCCTGCAGCAGGAAGACCACAGCCCTTCCAAGCCTATCCTGGTGGGGCCCCACAGCACAGACCCTGGGCCCGGGAGGCAAGCCGGGAGTGTGATGACAAGCAGCCTCCTTGGCGTCACGGGGCCTGGCTGCGCGTCTCCCCCAGGCCCCGTCCTTGGGCAGTGCGGCAGACAGAGGCACCAGGCTGGGCACTCCACCCGTCCTGAGCCCGGGACCCACCTCTCTGTCCTCTGTGAGCTTCGACAGCAGGTACACCAGCGAGTCCAGGTTCCTGGTGCTTTTGGACTTCAGTTCATCATACTTCTTTAGAAAGTCTTCCGGTGTACGAGAAAATTCTGCTATTTTAACCTTAAAAACACAAACAGAAACTATTTAGTGACAACCAAAGAAGCAAGTAAGGGGCTGGAGAAATAGCACAGCGGGTAGGGCGTTTGCCTTGCATGCGGCCGACCCAGGTTCAATCCCCGGCATCCCATATGGTCTCTCAAGCACCGCCAGGAGTAATTTCTGAGCGCCAAGCCAGGAGTAAACTCTGACCATTTCTGTGTGTGACCCAAAAATAAACTAATTTAAAAAACATATCTTGGGGCTGGAGAGATAGCACAGCAGGTAGGGCATTTGCCTTGCACACGGCCAACCCGGGTTCGATTCCCAGCATCCCATATGGTCCCCTGAGCACCGCCAGGACTAACTCCTGAGTGCAGAGCCAGGAGTAACCCCTGTGCATCACGGGGTTGACCCAAAAAAGAAAAAAAAAAAAAGGAAGCAAGTAAGTTAAAAACCAGAGTAAAAACCGGGCCTGAGGCGCCTGCACGGCAGGCAGACACTGGCCTTACACACAGGCTGTGTGAATTCAATCTGCGGAATCCCACAGGATCCTTGAGCACAGCTACAAAACACCGAAAACTAGAACAAAAGCCAAAGTCAAAAGTTTATTGAGGACAGTTAGTGATTGGACAGCTGCGGGAGGAATAAGAAAGCACTCACGCCGTGACACACTCACACCCAGCTCCCTGACAAGGGAGGGCAGAGGACAGGAGTCCCTGCATCCCCTTCCACAGCCTGACTCTCTCCCCCAGCCTGTCCGTCCGTCTGCAGTCTGCTCAGGAGCACGAGTCACTGACTCAAAAATCTCTCCTGACAGAATGGGGACAGCTCCTAAACTCCCTTCCACCCCGTCTCCGTCTCGTCTCCTACTGAAACACTGAGTGACCGAGGCTTCGGGACCCCCAAGCAGACCTGCAGACCTACAGCTTTGTCCCGAATCAGGGTTGCCGCTCCACTTGAGTACAAACAAAACGAGAGGCCTTCCCTCTTGAACAGGAGGTGGCACTGACGCTTCCTTTTTCACCGAGTCCAGTCTCCCCACAGGGCACAGGGCGGTCAGCTGGGTTCCAAGGCAGGCCCTCAGTGCAGTATGTCCCCTACACCTCCACCGACCCAGGAGAAACAGGGGAGCGGCGGCACGCGCAGTCCGGGCAGGTCGGAGCTGCCACCCAGTGCAGCTGGCTCACCTTGGCGCTGTGCGCAGACACGGTGGTGGTCACGTACGGGGTCCTGTTCTTCTGCAGCAGGTCGATATAGACCTCAGCGCCATCCCCTCCCGGCACACGCAGCAGGCTGAGCAGTTCATTGACATCATGGTGGATCCGAAACTCGCTCATACTTCTGGTTCTCAGATGACAGCAATGTCACATCATCCCGCTAGAAGGGAGCAGGAAGTCACTTAGAACAGCAAGGCCCAGCTTGTCCGGGGCAGTTCTGGACCAGTGGGGGCACCCCTCCACCCGCCAGGGGAGGGTTTTCTAGTCCAGCCGTGCAGTGTCGTGGGCCAGGGAAGCTTGACCACGAACGTGACTGCCCTTGTTCCCACATGAGCCTTCCAACCTGAGCAGGCCCGACTCTGGCCACAAATCAGCTCTACCCAGCCACCCCTCAGCTATGTGCCTGTGCTGCACGCTGACACTGCCACGGTCTCTCCTGGGTTTCTGATCACACCTGGTGATGCTCAGGGGACCATATGGGGTGACCAAGATCAAATCCAGGGTCAGTGGTGGGCCAAGGCAAGTCCCTGTCCATCTGTTCCCAGGCCCACATTTCCTTTTCCTACCCAAACTTTGCCCTGGTCACATGGCTGAGGCCATGGACAGAGCCTGCAGGGTGGAGCTGTCACTGACACCCCATCACGCAGAGTTGACTCAGTTGACTCAGCTATAAACACACGCTCATAGACGAACTCCACGTGTTAAAGCAACTTATTTTGACTTGAGCTCACAAACAGGGAGCCCAGGCCATCACAGTCACAGCTGCTTTGGCTGGGGGTGCAGCCTTTGCACTTTCAGCTGCCCCCTGGCAGAGCAAAGGGGTTTTATCTGTCAGTTTTCTGGAATCTTTCTTTTGGGGGCTACCACACCCGACAGGGATCACTGTGCAGGGCTCAGGAGATGACAAGAGGTGCTGGGGACCGAACCAGATTGGCTACTTTCTTTCCAGGCCCCTGAGATACGCATTTCAGTTGATGTTTGTTTTGGGGGGGGCCACACTCACAGCGGCTCAGAGGCTACTTGGCTCTGCACTCAGGAGCCGCTAGTGGCACTGCTCAGGGGGCCACGGGGGTGCCAGGGGTCGCAGGTGGGCCGGCCGCGGGCAAGGCCAGCACCCCACCCGCTCGCCGCTGCTCCCTAAAGGCTGGCGCCCCAGGAGAGGCCCGAAGCCCCTTCGCCAGCAGGCCCCGAAGAGCAGGACGGAGACCGGGCAGGCGCCGGGGGCCGCGCGCGAACGCGGCGAGCAGGTGGGGCGTGCGGGGGCGCCGGCGCGCGTTCGCGTCTCGGGGAGGAAAACGCGCCCCGGCCCGGGCGTCCCGGCGTCGGGGGGCCAGGGCACGCCCCGGGCTGCGGGGGGCGCCGAGGGGTCTGCGCCGGCCGCCCTGGCCTGCCCCGGCCCGGCCCGGCCCGCACGGGGAGGGGGACGCCCCTCCGGCCCGGCCGCCGCCCCCCACGCTCGCCTCGCGGGGAGGGGGCGCGAGGGGGCGCCCGCCCGACTCACCGCACGCGCGCGCCCGCCGAGCCCGCCAAAGCCCTCCCGGCGCGCGGGCGGCGGCTCGCGTGACGTCACGGCCGCCCTGGCGTCACTTCCGGCCGGGCCGGGCGCCGCGCGACGGTGGCCGACGGGTGCGGCGCCGGAGCGCGCGCCATGCAGCTCCCGCCCGCGCTCTTCTCCCGCTTGGCCGCGGGGCCCGGGGCGGCCGAGCCGCTGCCTGTGGAGCGGGACCCCGCGGCCGGGGCCGCGCCCTTCTGCTTCGCGGCTCGCCGGCTGCGCTTCCCGCGGGAGCACGAGTTCTTCGAGGTTCGCGCGCGGAGCCGGCTAGGGCGGCCGCGGCCCGCGGAGGGCGGGGCTCGGTGGGCGGGGCCCGTGGGGGCGGGGTTTGAGGGGCGGAGCCTGTCGGAGGGGCGAGGCCTGAAGGGGCGGATTCTGCTGTGGGCGGGGCATGAGGGGCGGGGCCTTGAGTGGGCGGAGCTCTGGGGCTGGGGCTTGTGGGTGGGCGGAGCTCTGGGGCTGGGGCCTGAGGGGCGGGGCCTGTGAATGGGCGGGGCCTGGGGGCGGGGCCTGCTGGATGGGGGCGGGGCCTGCTGGATGGGGGCGGGGCTCTGTGGGGCCGACCTGCAGAGCCTGGCGCCCACAGCATCTGTCCTGCAGGATGGGGACGTGCAGCGGCACCTGTACCTCCAGGACGTGCTCACGCAGGTGACCAAGGTGCCAGAAAGTCCGAGGTGAGCAACGTCCCAGTCATCTCATGTAGTGCCTGTTCTCCCTGGTGACCGCCCAGTTGGCCCAGGTATAAAACCTCTTCAGAGCGCAGAGCTCAAGATTGCAGAAGAAACTCCGGAGGTCTTGTTGGGCGTGTGGGCAAGGACAGAGGGTCTCGTCTTGCCTCGGGGGCTTAGCCCTCCGTGCTTCCTTGCTAGGGTGGCTGAGTTTCCCTGCCAGGTGGCAGGCTGCCGCCAGCTGTTCGACACGCTGCAGGCTTATGAGCACCACTACCACGCACTGCACGAGAATGTCTGCGCCTCCTGCAAGCGGGCCTTCCCCTCCAGCCACCTGCTGGACACCCACATCCTGGAGTGGCACGACGCACTGTTCCAGGTCCTGTCTGAGCGGCAGGCCATGGTGGGTGACGCGGAGCGAGGGGCGTGCCCCCGCACAGAGGTGTGGAGGAAGGGCTCTTGGAGCTGACCCCCTTTCTGCTTCAGTACCAGTGCTTGGTGGAAGGCTGTACCGAGAAGTTCAGGAGCAGCAGAGACAGGAAGAATCACCTGGTGACCAGTCACCTCTACCCCGCAGACTTCCGGTTCGACAGGCCCCGGAAGGGCCAAGGGTGTGCGAGGTGCGGGCACAGCCTTCCAACCAGTTTCCACGGGCAGCCAGGATGTACCGTGCCCCCCGCCATCCTACCCGGCTCCTGACACGTGGGGAGTCACTGCCCAGGGCCGCGTGTGGCCCCTGGCCTGTGGGTCTGGTGCTGGAGGCCTCGGGCCGCCCAGCTCAGCCCTCACTGCCTGAGCAAAGCTCTTGCTGCTTGGGGGCCCCGGGGTTTTGTTTGTCTTCCTGGCTAGGTTCACAGAGCTGACAGCCACCCTCAGCTGGCCCAGGAGGGCATGGGCAGGGGCCAGGGCCGCCTGGTCTGAGCTACTGAGCACTCACTGCAGTGGGGCAGGGTTTTCACAGCCCCTCCCTGCTGCAGTCTCTGCGCTGAGAAACCCACCCGTGCTTGCTGCACGCTCACCCCTGCAGGTCCCCCACAACACTCTTGCACCGCTGACCGCTGGGCTGGCGGGAAGCGTGTTCCTGCACACGCCAGGCCCACGTGGGTCGGTGCTGAGACAACAGAGCTGGTGTTTGTCCCCTGAGCTGGAGCCTTGGCAGAGTCAGGGTGGAGGAGGACGGCTGCTCCCTGGAGCTCATGCCCGGGAACGGCTGGGGCTCTGGGGGTGCCACGCAGCTGTCCACCCTCTTTCCTCGCAGCCCTACTGCCCCATGTCTGCCGACAGGAGCCCAGGGTGGTGACGGGGCACAGTCAGAAGGAGACGCCATGGAAGTCTGCTCTGCACACACAGCGCCCCCCGCAGAGCCTGCCCGCAGGTCAGTGTCCCCCTCTTCCTCCACACGAGGGCCTGAGCATCTGCAGGGCTGTGGGTGAGCTCTTCCCAGTTCTGGCCCGGAGCCCATCTGTGGTCAGCAGCCAACCTCACTCATCGGCAGGGTGGTGGTCTCTGCTGTCCTCGTGTCCGAGGAGTCCGACGTGGCTGTGTGAGCACAGTGACTCAGCTCTGACTTGGAGGTGGGACTCCCGTCCCCTCTGCTGCAGGCCACTGACCCTGTGTGTTCCTCCACCGGCAGGAGGAGCTGGAGCCCTGGGGCTGGGGGGCAGCCACTGCCGCATGCCTCCTGTGTGTCCACTGTGTGTGCATGCCTGCTGTGTGCACTGTTGCGTGTCTGCTATGTGTGTATTGTGTGTCTGCTGTGTGCCGTGTCTGCTGTGTTAACCGCGTGTCTGGAGCACTGCAAGACCTGCCCTGGGGAGCACTTCGGGCAGGAGAGCCTTGAGAGCACTGCGTGGGGGTGTGGGTCCATCACACTTGGAAACAAGTCCAGGCGGCCTTGACTGGGTTTTGGCAGGAAACAGTAGCTGGGGAGGGAGTCGACTCAGAGGGCGGAGCCTCTGCTGGTCACACAGAGGCCCCGTGCACTCGCCTGGGCCCACACGGGCGATGTCCCGGATCCGAGTAGACCATAGCACTGCTTTGGTCTCTGCCTTTCTTCCGTTTCAGAATTCCTTCCGTGATCTGTTTTGGCCAAGGAGCATCACGAGGGTTTAAAAGCACCAAGAAAAGGGGTAAACGTGTATGATGGCCAACACAGAAAGCCAGAGCCAGCCTGGAGTCAGCAGCTAACCCCATTCAGTGTCGGCTGGATGCCCCAGACCCCGCTTCACTCCCTCGCGTCCCCATCTCCGGGGCAGTGACTGAGGTGGCAGTGCCCTGTGGTCTGAGCGCCCGCCAGGAAGGTCGCGAATGAGCACATAAAGGTGTGTCCATGTGCTGTGCTGCTGGACTCAAGCTGTGTCTATTCTCAGCCATGCCAGGGCAGGGCTGTTCTGAGAGGATGCAAGAGGAGGCCTATCTCTTGAGAACCCGGATCTATCAGCTTGGCTGGGGGGGTGCTGGCTGAGTTGTGCCTGGGTTTGAAGGGGCAGGTGCCACTCTGCTGCCCTTTGGCTCAGATTGTAGGATCCCTGCCCCAGGCATTCTGACCCACCCCATGCTGGGAGAGGTCTGTGGGCACAGACGCGGGTCCACACAATGACTGGACGGGACAAGTTCCTTTGCCTTCAGCACAAAGTGGCCTTAAAGCAAGAAGGGCAGAAAAGGCCAGAAAGGTTGGTCCCCGGAGGAGAAGCTCCAGGGATGAAATGCTACCCGGAGTTCCAACTCCACATCTGCACAGAAGCCCCAGGTGGGGACAGCCTGAGAGACAATCTAGGAACCCACTCTGCGTCACTGGACCTCGTTGTGGATGTGTGCCCTGAGCTGTCCTCCCTCTGTGGAGCCTGAGCTCGTCCCTCTGCCTCCCCCGGCGTCCCTCCAATAAAGGGAGTCTGCCCCCGCCCCCATCTGCCGTAGACTCGTTCCTGCCTAGTAGGTGACACCCAGCGACCCTGGCCATGGGAAGGAGGGACTCTTCCTGCCAGGGGCGATCCCGTGTCCAGCCTGAGGCCATGGCTCCCTGGAGACTCATTGTCAGGACAGTGTCCACATCATGCAGGTGCTTCTGGCCTGGGATTGCTGCCCAGAGACCAGGAAGGTTCCGGCAGAAAGGCAGCTGCTCTGTCACGAGACGGGGAGCCCGTGCACACAGCTAGAGGGCGCCAGAGACCAGGTCAGGGAGCACTTTCACCTGGCAGGTGGGGACAGGGGCGCATGTCTCAGGGAGCAGTTACACTCCCCAGATGGGGTTTTGGGGAGCATGTACACCCACGGACAGACTGGCCTCAGGGACACTTACACCCCACAGATAGATAGGGCCTTGGGAGCACCCCACCCACTCTTGCTGAGGACCCCTGGACCAGCAGCTGGAAAGGAGCCTCTGGAGTCTGGTCATGGGCAGAAGTGGCCATGATGGGCTTGTCACTTGGGGGTGGACTGTCAGACCATCCAGAGGGACACACCTGCAGGCCTGGATGAGGGCAGGAGGGGCCAGGCCACCCGCCTCCTGGCTACTCTGCGTGTGGCTCTGGGTGGTCTCCCCACCGTCCCTGTCCAGAAGAGTCACGGTCAGGAGGGCAGGGAGGGCTAGGTCCTTTACCCGTATTCCTGCCCACAAAAGGGTCCACGAGGTATGATTGGAGGCAGGTCAGGGCTGTGGCCTGAAGCTGAAGCAGATGACCAGGACTGCAGAGCCAGAGCTGTTCTGCTCCGGGGGCCGTGAAGGCCCTGCAGGAGGGAGAGTGGGCTGCATGGCCTCCACAGTGCTGGAGCCGACAGGCCTGGGATGGGGGCAGCCGGGCTTCGATCAGGCCATGGGATCTGCCCTGGGGGCTTCAGTACCTCTAGGGCTCCCCGCAGTGACCAGAGAGCCATACGAGGTCCCCGGTCATGGCCTGTGGCAGACACCTGAGCCCTCCCGCAGCACTTGAGCCCTCCTGTAGCACGGTGAGAGTCACTGGGCTCTCACCGTGGCAGGGTGGGGCTGGCTCTCAGGGCTAAAGCAGGTGGGCTCCCGCGGCAGCAGAGGTTGGTCCCCATCCCAGAGAGTGCCTCCATGAGGAGAGCTGTGAGGGGCTCCTGGCCCTGCCCTGGCCCCCACAGGGTGGGCGCCCATACGGGCAGTTCCTTGGGCTCTAGCCAGGCTCTCCCTGGCTCGGGGGACAGGGTGCAGGAAACCAGTGGAGCCCACGGGCTCCTGACTGTTCCCAGAGCCTCTGGGGAAGGACAGGCAGGATGCGGCTGGGGGCCTCGACCTTCAGTTCACCCTCAAGGTCCTGCCTGTGCTTCCCACAGCTCCTGCGTCAGGGAAGCCCATGGCCGCAGCCCCTGCTCAGACAGAGCCCAGGGGCCAGTCACAGCAGGAGCTGTCTCTGAGAGCACTCGGGAGGACACTTGCTCTCACTCTCCCTCACCCACACTTCCTGTCCCTCCACACACCTGCTGTCTCCCCCATACCTGCTGTCCCCCACACATCCGCTGTCCCTCCGTGCAGAAAAGAAGCCTCTCTGCTGGGGTGAGCGCAGTGGGGAGGATGTTTGCCTTGCATGCGGTTGACCTGGTAAGTCCACAGCACCCCATATGGTCCCTTGGGCCAGATCAGGAATGACCCCAAATGCAGAGCCAGGAGTGACCTAGGGGTGCAGGGAGGCGGGTGGGGATGGTTCCTATGGCCTCTAGTCCCCCAGGTCTTCCTTCAGAACTTTCCAGAAGCCCCTCTGCTCCACATACTGAACACCTCTGCCCACTGCCCAGCAGGGAGGCTCAGGCTTGGCTGCCCAGCACACGCCTCGTCCACTCTCCTTCCTTGTCTAGAGCCTGACGCTAGGTGGGCCGCGGGGACCCCTCCCACAGCCTGTCCTGATGTGCCCACAGCTCCTGCCGCGGGGGGTCAGGAAGTTCAGCCCAGTGCCACACCCTGCAGACATGGCCCAGCCCCAATCAGGACTTGCTGGGCAGCAGGTACCACTCAAGGTGCAAGACTCGACCTGGCCAGGGCCACTGGCCTCCTGAGCCCAGGATGAGGGCCAGAGGGACTGTGGCTGGCAGCTGCCTACCTGCAGGGCCAGAAAGGACCAGCTGTGGCCCCACCACCCAGAGACCACGTGTGCCACACCCCACACACCAGGAGTGTGTGCTGCCCTCTGCCTCCCCTTGGCCCCCCCAGCACCCAGCCCTGACCCTGAGTCTCTCCTGAGCACAGCATCTGCAGCTGGTCTGGAGCTGGCCCAGGCAGTTAGGGCTACTGGGCATCCTATGCCTGGGAACAGGTCCTGGGTAGACGGGTACTGACCCCCTTCAGGGCCTGGGCCCCCTCTCCGGCTGGGGGAGCCTTCTGCAGGCAGCCCCCATGGTGCTGGCCAGCTGCACGCGGTGCCAGGGACCGACCCACGTCTGTCCCGGTGCCCTGGCGCTGTCTGGCCCTGGTCCTGCCTCGTCGGCCCAGCAGCTCTGCCCTGGCCTGGCCCAGCTCAGCTCAGCAGCAGAGGGGCTGCCGTGGGGACTGTACAGGTGTGTTCCTAGGCCACGTCCTGATCTTGGGGATTCCTCTGAGAGCTCTGTTGGGAGTGGCCCCCTGCGGGGACAGACCAGGGGACAGACAGGGTCTCTGCTGGTCTTGCTGAACTGCCCCACCCCCATCTGCCCAGTCCATCTGTTTGGGGTTCTTCCCTCAGTGGCATCCGGGTGCAGCGGTTCTGACTGCTCAGTGCCTTGCTGGATCCCAGTGACTCTGCCCCCGCCCTGCTCTGAGGGTGGCCTGCACTAGTGCGTGGGCAGTTTCAAGGCACGCCCACCCGGGACACCGGCGAACGAGCCAAGCCTAACCCTGTCAGCTGAGCAGACACCGTGGGTTCCGTGCGGCTCCGGGGCAGCAGCCCTGGCCCCCCACACGCCCACAGCCCAGCCTGACAGCCCAGCCGGGGATCCCGAGGCACCTTCCAGACCAGCCGTGCTCCAGGAGTCTCAGTGCAAGGGAAGATGCTGAGCACCTCTACAGAGCATCTGGGTGTGCGTCCAAGAGGCGATCTGATTGGCCCTTGTGAGCTTGTCTTAATGTCGGGTCTAGCCAATCAATCAGACGCGAGGGGCGGGGCCACGCAGGGTACAAGTACAGCCGGTGGTCCTGGGGCAGTCCCTCTCCTGAACGGAGGCCACTGCTGATGTCTGCTGCTCTGACACTGAGGGCAGGGGCTGGTTGGGGGACATTCTTACACTCGCTCCCCCAGAGCCACTTGAGCAGTTGCTGCTGACGCTGGTTCCAGCAGGGCAGAATGTTTCCTGTGGATAGTGTGCGCCTGTGTGGTCCGGAGTTATCTCTCTCCTCACCTGAGTGAGGACGGCAGGTTGGACAGACCCTCGGAGCCGGGTGCCGTGTGGACAGAGACCCTTGTTCTCTGCGGAGAATCTACCCGCCCACCCTCATAGCTGTAGTCACCTCCTGGGCCCACAGCTCCCTGAGTGAGGTCCATGTCTGCTGCCTGTAATACTGCCCTCCTTTGGGGAGTCGGACGCTGGACTTGTTCCCACCCAGAGCAAGTGGCACTTTCCCCGGGTGTTGGTCTGTGTGGTCAGACTGTGTCTGGGTCAGTCTCCATGGGGTCAGACTGTGTGTGGTGAGGTGAGGGGGTGGAATGTGGGGGTCTATGGATGAGGTGGAGTGGAAGGGTCGTGTCCCTCTCCACTGGGCACCCCTGTGGGTGGACGGGAGGATCCCAGGTCTCGCAGGGCGCATGCCCCTTAGTCTCCCGCCTGGCCTCGTGTTCTGAGCTCCTGCCCCCAAGTGGGCCTCTGTGGGGCTGGGTCCTGTCAACTAGGTGGGCGTGGAGGGCGGGTGGGGAGTGTCAGGCTGGCAGAGGTTTTGAGACCCTCAGACCCCCCCACCTCCCCTCAGGTGCCAAGGGAAAGTAAATGGGTCCTCAGGAAGTGGGGTGCAGCAGGTGCCCAGTGGAGAGTTGGGTGCCCAGTGGGATGAGGTGAGTGCCCCGTGGGGCGCTGGGTGTCCAGTGGGGTGAGGCGGGTGCCCAGTGGGGCACAGCACACCATCGGGCACTGGGCGCGGCAGACGGCGGGTGTGAACCTTTATTCAGAGACAAGCCGCGGGGCAGGGTGCGGGGTCTGTGGGCGCGGGGATGCGGAGGGCGCGGGGGTCGCAGGGCGCGGGGGTCGGAGGGGGGGCGGGGGTCTCCGGGCGCTGCGCAGAGGCGGGGCTGGTGCGCTGGACGGCTGAGGGCGAGGGGCGCGGGCGTCACTGGGGGCTCGGGGGCGGCGCGCTCCCCGCCTTCCCCGCAGCATCCGCGGCGGAGGGCCTCCCCGGGGGCCCGGTGGGCGCGGGTGCGGGGGTGGGCACCTTGGGCCCCTCCTTGCCCGCGCGGGCGCTGCGTCCCCAGGCAGGCCCGTCAGCCCCGTGCTTGCGGCCCAGCGGGAGGGCGCCCATGGCCGCCAGGATGCTGCGGTGCCGCTCGGGGTCCAGCTCGGTGTAGTACATCTCCAGGGTCACGGGGGTGCAGATCTTGTGGTGCTGGGGGCGGGGGAGGGGCGGGTGGTCTCAGCGCACCGCGGGGGAGGGGCCGGCGCACCCGCGGGACCCGCTCTGGTGAAGCCCCGAGGCCTCAGGATCAGGAAGGAGGAGAGGACAGTGCGTGGACACGCGTGTCCCCCATGCCCTGCTTACGGTGTGTGTGGGGGCATCCAAGGGGCTGGGCAGCATCCCCCAGGAAGCCTCCCGCCCACCCAGGCTTCTTACCCGGAGCAGGAAGCCGTCGGGGCAGGTGAACTGGTCGTACCAGATGGCCTTGTACATGATCAAGACACAGCCCAGGAGTGCCATAGTGAAGGCGATCATCCGGGCCGTGGGCAGCTGCCGGGAGACAGGAGTCCGGGCATTGGGGCCAGCCAGTGGCTTCCAGGGGAGGGGGTGGGGGAGGGGGCACAGGCTTCCAGCTCAGAAAAGACAAAAACCACCCCAGGCACCACCCGGGGCAGATGCCACCTTGGTGAGCCAAGGGCCAAAGCGGGGAGTGGTGCAAGTGTCACCAGAGAGCCAAGAGTGAGGCGTATGGCTAGGGAGGACACCAGGACCCAGGGCCCACAGAGGGGCCCCGCCTGCCTTCCTGGGGAAGTGTGTTACCCTGCGCCCCTCCTCTGAGTCATTGCCGCTCAGCTTCTGGGCCTCCAGATCGGAGAAGCTCTTGGCTGCATCCGGAGAGGACAGCTGGAATTCCGTCTGCGTCTTGATGACCACCTTCAGAGAACACCTGAGATCGAAGCTGGGAGGGACGGGACCCACGGCCCACCTGGCCGTGCGGGGTCAGAGGCAGCCTGGCCTGCAGCTGGGGCCACTCAGCACCACACCAGGAGTTCATGGCCATCTCAGGGGCCCGCCTGCCCCTCTGCCCTGCAGGCAGCAGCCAGAGCCAGGAAAGGAAGTCCCGGGGCCCGAGGCGAGGGCCCAGCTCCCTGCGGCCCCCAGGACGGGGGCACAGGCCCGATTTTCTGCTGCTTGCCCCACTGCCCTCGAGGGCAGGCCCTGTGGTGCCCAGTTCACCCCACACTTGGGCTCCCGTGTAGGCTGCTCCGGGCCCTCACCTGCTCCGGGAACGGTGGCTGCAGCTGGCTGACATCCAGGGGGCTGATGAGAGGGACACTGTCCACGGCAGCCCCGTCCAGGTCCCCGGGCTCCTTGCCCGACTTCCCAGAGAAGCTGCAACCCAGCTTCACCATGGTGTCCTGTGGAGAGGCGGACACGAGTTGCTTCCCTGGGCACCTGGGCACACTGCCCGACACGCCTCTGTCCAGAGTCCCTCCCCAGCGTGCCCTCTCCTGGACGTGCCTCTGCCAGCTGATGACCCCTCTGCCCACACTCGCCCACTGCCTGCACATGCCCACTGCCAGAGCTGCAGGAGGCTGTGGGCAGTGTGGCCACCTCCCTGGAAGACCAGTTCATGGCTTCTTCCTGGCCCTGCAGGGCCTTGGCCTGGGCCAGCCCACCAATGCCCTGGGGCCCACAGAGCTATGGCTGCCCTCTGGTTCAGAGCCTGGAGAGACGAGAGGACTCAGGAGATAGGACCCCAGCCCTGCTGCTTGGAGGGAGCCCCCTCAGTGAAGCCCTGCATCCCGACAGCCAGCCAGCTGCTGGTGGTCCTGGGGGTCGGGCCCAGGGTTTCCGTGAGCTGCCTCCCCAGTCCCTAAGTTACCTGCTCTGCTGGGGGCTCAGGCCCAACCCAGGCAGCCCTACTCCACGTGCAGGAAGCTGCAGAGCCTCAACTCTGCCGGTGCCAACACCCACAGGGCTCACCGGCCCCGTGGACGTGGGGACAAGTGCCACGGAGAAAGGCAGCTGGAAGTAAGGGTCACCATTTTCCCTCCCTCCACAAAGCGGGAGGAGGGCGGGAGGGATGCAGACAGGGACTTCCCAATTCTCTTTCCCAAAGAGTTGAGAAATAAACCCATTGAGCCAAAATCCAAAGCTCCCAGCCTCCAAGAAAATGCCTGTTTCACTGAAGTCTCACAGTATCAAAGGAGACAGCGTGAATTCACAGAAAGTCCTGGGGACAGGAACAAGCACCTGGAGCCAGTCCCTGAGCCTCAGCCTCCTCCCGGTTGGCACTGGAGGCCAACCCCACCGGTGGTCTGCAGGTCTGGGAGGAGCCATTGCATTTTCTTTTTATTTATTTATTTGCTTTTTGGATCACACCCAGTGATGCACAGGGGTTACTCCTGTCTCATGCACTCAGGAATTATTCCTGGCCGTGCTTGGGGGACCATATGGGATGCTGGGAATCGAACCCAGGTTGGCCGCATGCAAGGCAAATGCCCTACCCGCTGTGCTATCACTCCAGCCCCCTTTTTATTTTTTATCGGGGGAAGCGCATAGCAGATGGTGCTCAGGACTTACTCCCAGCTCTGCTGTTTGGTTCAGAGACTAGAGAAAGGACGGGGTTACTCCTGGCAGGCTTGGGGGACCCTATGGGATGCTGGGGATCCAACTTGGGTCAGCCACATGCAAGGCAAGCGCCCTGCCCACTGTACTGTCTCTCTGGCCTCTGTGTTAGCAGATGAAAGAAGAAACACATCTGGCCTGTTCCCACGGGCTGCATGGACTTGATGTTGTCCAACATGTGCCAACAGATTAAGCACCAGGGACCCTCCCAGTCTGCCTGGTGTCCCCACAGGGCAGCCTGGTGTAAATCCTTAAGTCCTGGCGGAGTGCCTGACACAGCCCTGCATGGCCCTTCATGGCCCCGGAAGGCTTAGCAGGACACAGGGCAGAAGAGATGGGTGAGAAACTCGGGGCTGGGAAGCTTTGGTGTCTTCTCACCCACATAGGCCACTGCCAGGGGCAGAAAGTGCCAGAGAAGTGGGGAGGGGAGGAAAGGGTGGGGAGCAGAAAGGGAGAGGGGAGAGGGGAGGGAATTCTGGACTGGGTTCAGAGGTCAGGTATGTCTGTGATGCCAGTGACCCAAACTCCCAGGTCCTGTGTATCTGTCCATGGAAACAGAGGGACCGTGGGGGGTGTGGCGGGAAGGGTCAGGGTTCTGAAAGACCCTGTGTCTGAAATATCGTCCCTGCGTTTATCTGTGGAATCCGTGAAGCCCTAGCGAAACTCACTGTGGGCTGGACAAGCACCCTGGCTGTCTATGAGGGCGGTGGCAGGGCCATGCAGGCAGGGGGAGGCCCGGGGGCACAGGCCCAGCCAGGCGACCCTCCTGTCCTGAGCTGGACAGCCACAGCACTAGCTGTGCTGGCTGGCCTGGTCTTGGGAGGGGTGGACATGTCCTTGCTGTGAAGGAATAGTCGGGGGAGCCAGAATACAGCCCACAGGGTCGCGCTCCTGTGGCAACAGGGAGCCCTGGGTTCCAGCCCCGACACCACAGTCTCCCGGGTACCGCTGGGCATGGCCCGAGAGCACAAAATGACCAACGAGCGACTGAAAGAAGGGCCTTGTGCTTATCCAAGAGCCTGCAGCCGACAGGGACTGGTGCGGAGGGAGGGGGCACAGGCACTTGAGGTCAGGGGCAGCACTGCCCAGTGTCCATGAAGTGAGTCTGCAGAGGTCACAGCCTTTCACAGGTCAGGGCTGGAGGAAGAGGCACGAGCCACAGTCCCCGGCCCTGATGCTGGAGGTGGTGAGGAGGGACAGAGCCTGTGCTGCCCCTGGCTCCAGGGCTACCACAATAGGGCAGCCGGAAGCCTTGTGGGGGCTGGGGGGGTGGGCAGTGGGGGCCAGTGTGGATCAGTGGGGGCCAGGAGAGTGGGGGGGGGGGCTCAGGGGGGTCAGGGGAGGCCATGGGGACTGTGTCCAGCAGACGCGGGAAATAACCAGGTGGGTCTGCCAGCAGGTTGAGGCTGACTACCTGCAGAACGCTGGCCAGGCTCGCGAAGGTCCTGGGCTTCAGTCTGGGGTGCAGTCAGGGCCGGCATGGGATGGGGGAGACGCCCTGCCTGCCAGGCCAGGGGAGAAGGTGCCCAGCCTGGTGGTGGGGGTCTCAGGCTGTGTGTGTGCCCGGGGAGGGGGGCTCAGGCTGTGTGTGGGTCTCAGGCTCTGTGGGGGTCTCAGGCTATGTGTGTGGGGGTTCTCAGGCTGTGGAGGGTCTCAGGCTGTGGGGGTCTCAGTCTGTGTGTGGGTCTCAGGCTGTGTGGGAGTCTCGGGCTGGGGGGGCACGAACTACTTGAGGTGTGAACAGGAACTAATTGCTTCCCGAGTGTGGGCTCTCGAAGAGGAGGTCATTTGGGCTGCAGCGGTGGGGCAGGGATTCAGTGCCCAAGCCCGAGGGGGTGTTCGGGGTCCTGCGCGGACTCTGGCCCGTGGGGAGGGTCCGCCGTGTGCCGTGTCCCTGCCGGGCCTGAGACAGCAGGACGCCCCCGCGCCCGCCCCACCGAGAGCAGGTCCCTGGGGATGGGTCCCAGGGGCGGGGGCGCGGGGGCTGGAGGGTCTCCCATCCCCTCGCCCCGAGCTCGGCGCCTACGTCCGTTTGACGTCACCGGTTCCATGGCAACCGAGGGAGGCGGGGACCCTTCCCGGCCAGGCTGGCTCGGGTCCGTCCCCGGCGGGCCGCGGCCCCTCGGAAAGGCCCGAGCGCTCGGGGGGCGCCGAGCGGGGCCGTGTCGTGTCGGGGGACTGGCGGGGGGGCGCCGGGACCCGCCGCCCGCCGCGGCGTCCGCTCAGGGCCGCGACAGGCGACCCCCGCCCCCCTCAAGGGCAGGCGCGGCCACCTGTGCGCGCCGCCGGGACCTGTGGCTGCGGGCCCCTCGCCGCGCCCGACCCCAGCGTCCCCGCCCGCCCCGCGCGGGGTCCCGACGCCCCTCTGTTCCCCACGGGCCGTGGGAATGGCACCCCCGCCCCGGGACCCCGCGGGAGCCCCCCGGGACCCCCGGGACCCCCGCGCGGCGGGGCCCACAGGGCAGCGGCGCCCGCCCTGCCCGTGGCCGGCCCCGCTCGTGGGGTCGCGCTCCGCCGCCTCTCGGCCAAGCCGGGCCGCGTGCGGACCCCGAGCCCCCTCCCCACCGTCAGCGCGGCCGGGACCCCGCGGCACCGGGGTCGGCGGCGCCTCGGCCCCGCGCCCTCACCCGCTCCCTGGGCAGGAACCGCAGCTGCTGCCGGCGCCGCGTCGGGGCAGGATGCGGAGGAAGATGCGGTTCCAGACGCGTCGCAGCCGCAGCCCGGCGGGCGGGGGAGGGCCGAGCCCCAGACCGAGGCTGCGGTTGCCAGGGAGATGGGGGAGGGGCGCCCTCCCACCCCCCGCCGCCCCCCACGTGACCCCGCCGCCGCCGGCTCAGACCCTCGCCTCTCGCGCAGCCCCGCGCACCGCGCACGCCCACCCACGCGCCGCACACACGTGCGCCACACAGTCACACACGGCCTCACGCACCGTACACATGCACCGCGCACCCTCGCACCACACAGCCCTCATCATGCACCACACACAACCAGGCGTTCTCACACAGGCACCGCACAGCCTTCCCACGCCCTCACACACCTCTCATACGTGTGCCAGATCCTCACACAAGCACCGCCACAACCACACGTGCACCCACAGATCGTCACACATTCACCCACATACGCCCCCCACACCGTCACACCACGCCCCCCACACACATATCACACTCTCACATGCACTACACACCTGACTATGTTCCAGATACCCTCACATACATCATGCACACCCTCACACATGCTCCACCACACTCTACCATATAGGTGCACACGCGAACTGCATACACCATTACACATGCACCACACCTCCACATGCAAACACTTAACCATGCACTGCACAACCCACACATGAACAAATGTCACACACATGCGCACTGTGCACACCTCAGACACTTCACACATGTACCACACATCAGACACCCGATACAATTCACCCACATGCTATACAGACATCACAGCCACCTCACTCATGCATCACACATAACAATCACACACACCTCACACATGCAGCACATGCATTGTACACAGCCCTCACGATGCACTGTGCACACTTCACATATTTCCATGCACATCACACACCCCTCACACATGCAGCACAGACATTCACCTCAGATATCTCACTCACCCCTTACAGATGCGTCACACCCTCCCATTTGCACCATGCACAGCTCCACATACACCATACACCACACATGCACCACACAACCCTCACACACACCACGCACACCCTCACCTGCACTATATACCTCACGATGCATGGAAACAATTCCACACCTCTCCCACAGCACCACACACACTTCACAGTCATCCCCCCCCCCCCACTGACACACACACATGCATGGTCCACACCACACACACTTGTCCCGTATTTGGCATATGGTAAGTGCTTAATAGCTATTTATCAAGAGAGTGAGTGTGGAATTAAATGAATGAACGAGTGTGGGGGGTGCTGACTCAGGAAACAGATGAGTGAGCATATGATCAGTCAGTGAATGGATGAGTGAATGTCTGAGTGGATAAATAAATGAGTGTGCGAGTGACTGTGTGTGAGTGACATGACAGAAGAGACGAATGTGAGTGTGTGTGTTCATGTGGCCGGCAGGACGCTCCAGGGTAAGGCTACGGCCCTGTGTGGCCGAGGGACACATGTGGTGCTGAGCAGCTGGCATGCTGGTGTGGTGTTGTTTTGTGTGGCACTGTTTGCTATGGCGTCTGCTGTGGCGTGGGCCTTGTGGTGTGGCCCTGTCTGGGGTGGTGTGTCTCCTGCATGTTGCTGCACCCTCCAGCAAATCTCGAGAATGCAGACTCTAGTGCTCCATGCAGGTGGGATAGGTGGGCTCGTGTTCCGTGCCGTTCTAATTCCTTGCCCTTCTCTTGGTTGTTGGTGTGATGGCGTGGCGGGGGGCTCGCACTCTTTTCAGTGGTGGTGCTCAGTGGATCGCGCAGTAGGTGGTGGCACTCACACCCTCCCAGTGTGGAGCTTGCCAGGGTTGCTGTGGTGCTCACGGTGCTGAGCAGGGGTCCCCTTCCTCGCACACCGGATTGGTGCTTGCCCGGATCTCATTGCCATGCCGGTCTTGGTGCTCTGGAGGGCATGAGAACATTCCACCTGCAAGCGCCCTGGCCTGTCACACTGTCTCTCCAGCCCTCGTTTTTCTTTTTCTTTCCTTTCTTCAAATTGGATGTCTACTTATCTTTAAGATATAAGCTAAAACAAGCTTTCTTTTTCTTTCTTTGTTTCTTATTGAATCACTGTGAGATACAGTTACTAAGTTGTTCATGACTGGGTATCAGTCACACAATGTTCTAATACCTGTCCCTTCACCAGTGTACATTTCCCTTCACCAATGTCCCCCAGTTTCCCTCCTGCCATAGCTGCCCCCCATCCCCACAGCCCCCCCTCCTCTCTTTCTTTTAGGCATTGTGGTTTGCAATACATATACTGAAAGCTTATCATATTTTTATCTATTTTCAGCACTTAGTTCTTGTCCAGAGCGATCATTTCCAACTGCCATCTTCATAGTCGTCCCTTCTGTACCCTAACTGATGTTCCCCGGCCCTCCTCCCCACCCCCACCACTTGTGAGAAGCTTCTAACCACGGACCAGTCCTCCTGGCCCGTGTTTCTACTGTCCTTGGGTATTAGTCTCTTAATATGTTTTTTTTTTAATGTATCCCACAAATAAGTGCGATCATTCTATGTCTGTCCCTTTCCCTCTGACTCATTTCGCTCAGCATGATATTCTCAACCTCTATCCATGTATAACACGCTCTATGACTGACCAAATGGTGCAGCCCTTTTGGAAAAGAATATGGGCATTTCTAAAAAACTAGAAATTGAGCTTCCATAGAACCCAGCAATACCATTTCTGGGAGTGTACCCTTGAGGTCCCAGAACACAGCAGAAATGTCAACTGCATTTCTATGTTTATTGCAGGACTTTTTCACAATAGCCAGAATCTGGAAACAACCTGAGTGCCTGAGAACAGACGACTGGATAAAGAAACTATGGCACATCTACATAGTGGAATACTATGCAGCCATCAGGAAAAATGACGTCATGAAATTAGCTAAGGCTGTCTTGTACTGAAATGCGCTTCTTTTTTTTGGGTCACACTGGTGATGTTCCTGGGTTACTCCTGGATCTGCACTCGGAAATTTTCCTGGCAATTCTTGGGGACCATGGGATGCTGGGAATCAAATCCCAGTTGGCCATGTGCAAGGCAAACACTCTACTTTCTGTATTATCTCTTCAGGCCTGAAATATGCACTCTTTTCATTTTTCCAGTGACTAAGATTTTTGATATTGTGTTTTTTAATTTTATAATTAAAAATTATTTTGGGGGGTCACATCTGGCAGTGCTCAGGCGTTGCTCCTGGATCTGCACTTCAGGATCACTTCTGGTGGTGCTTGGGGGACCATAGGGGATGCCAGGGATGAAACCTGGGTCAGCTGACGTGCTGTACTATCTGTTCCGCTCTACCTGCTGCACTGTCGCGCCAACCTCATAATTTGATTCTTTGGAAAATTTTAAAGGCCAGGAGAGATAGTACAGTGGGTAGGACACTTGCCTTGCACATGGCCAACAGGTTTGATTACTGGCACCTTATATGGCCCACCCACAAGCCTGCCAGGAGTGAGCCTTGAGCTCCCCACCAAAAAAAAAAAATAGAAATTGTTTAACATGATTTAAGTCAGGATGGAGAAATATGGTACAGCATTAAGGTGCTGCCTGGCACATGGCTGACCCCAGCTAACATGGCCCTGAGCATTTTGAGGAGTGACCTGAAGTAGCCCCTGAGCAGAAAGCGTCATTTTTCTTCATATCCTCTCCTCGAATCCCTTAAATGTGGTACACATCCTCTAATCGTTAGTTTGCTGAGTGCCCCTCCTGGGACCATTGGAAGCAGTTTCTCTTCTCTGTTTCCCGTTGGCCTCTTTGTCTTGCAACTTTGTGTACTTGTTTGTGTCGGGGCCACACCAGCAGTGTTTGGGCTACTCCAGGCTCAGTGCTCAAGGGCTGCTCCTGACGGTGCTCAGAGGAGCATGTGGTTTCAGGCAGGCTCCAGTCCACTGTGCTCTCTCCAGCCCGTGTTGTAATTGACCTCAGGAAGCAGATGTCATGTGTGAAGAGTGGAGGAAGGCCTGGAAAGGCTGGGTGGGGACTGGCACGTACCGGTCCGCTGCTCTGATTCTGAAATGACTAAAATGAATAAAGGTCTGCTCGTCACCCCCAGGCCCCTAGACTCCTCCGATCGGACGCACACACTCATACCTCCCCTCAACATCACACACACAGATGTCTCACTCGCACCACTCACACCACTCCTCTCTCACAGCACGGGGGACACACACCCCTCTCGGCGCAAGCCCTGGAGCTCTCTGCCCTCTGCCCTCTGCCCTCTGATGCTCCCTATGGCACTATGGTTTGCCGCTCTGCCCCTCTGGGCCCTGGGGTGCAGCGTCACCTCTGCCGCTTGTCCCCAGAGGCCCTGTATCTGAAGCTGTCAGGCCTAGACATCAGATGTGGGGCCGCTCAGGGCTGCTCATTCTTGGTCAGTGCCAGTGCGTTCCCTTTCCTGCCCCTGGGCCTCTCCCAGCCTTTGAGCTGACCCGCAGCAGAGGTCAGAATCCCACTTCTGTTTCCTCCAAGTCTGGGAGTCTGGAGCTGGCTGGGGTCCCGAGGCTCCTGGCGGGTCCTGCACAGTCTGCACCCTCTGGCTTTGCCCTGCTGCCTGCAGGGTGCCAGCAGCTCAGGGGCAGGGGTATGGGGGTGTGGGCGAGGAGGAGGCCGGTGGGCAGGGCAGGGTTGTTGGCGCCGGTGATGGGGAGGCTGAGGAGGTGTGGGAGGGGCAGGGGTGTGGTGTCCAGGTGACGGGGAGGCAGGTGGGCAGGAGGGCAGAGGTGTGGCTGTGCGGGCGATAGGCCCTTGCTAAGTGACATCAGGGGCTGGCCTGACCTCTGCCCAGACACACCCAAGGGCCAGAACTTGCACCGCACAAGGACCAGCTCAGGGACATCGGCCTCAAGTCTGCTCTGCCCCAGGAAGGGACCCACCATGAGGAGGTAACGCCACAGACCCTAAGCCTGGCCCCCACGGTGGTTCTGAGCCTCCCGGGCGTGGGCCTCTGGGTGGAGACGGGGTGTCTGTCGGGAGGGACCGTGGGCCCACTCAGGAGCAGGCCAGGATACCCCGAGAAGGGGGTGCTGATTAGGGCGGGTGGGGGTGAGCAGTGGCCTAGAGTGGGGGCTCGGGGTCTCCTGCCAGGCCCTGGACAAGGAGCCACGGCCTGTGCTAGGGCCTCCAGCAGGAGCCAGGTCCTGCCCTACCTCGGGATCCGGCCTGGACAGGGCCCAGCCATCCTGGCTGTCAGGATCTCTCCAAATGCATGGAACCCCAAAGGTGGTCTGTCGAGGGCTGTCCCAGGCAACAGCACATGTGAGATGCAGGTGCTGTGGGGACTGGGGGCAGGCAGTGCCAGGGTCCTGGACCCTCCTGCCCAGTGCTGAGTCATCTGCGGCACAAAGGTCTCTGGTGCTCCCGGGCACTGCCTACCTTGAGTCCCAACTGTCCCTGGTGCCCTGGAACCGATCTTCCCTCAGGGCTGGGAGCGCTGCCCACAGCCCTGCTCGGGAGAAACAGAAACAAACACACCAGCTACAGTGTGTCAGGGTCGCAGCAGATGACTGCAGAGTGGGAGGGGCTCATTGAGGCATTCCTCGGCTGCTGGCAGGCACAGGCACATTCCCGCTGTGCGACTCACACACGCCTACGAGCACACATGCACATGCACACAGACACACACTCGCCACGTCAGCGCTCACACATGCGCACACGCACGCACATACAGACACACACCTGCCACTGCACGCACACACATGCACATACACACACTAGCTGCGGTGGGCTCACATACATGCAAGCACAAATGCACACAGACTCACATACATGCACACACTCGCTGCTATGGTGTGCACATGCACACACACACATACCCATGCATACATGCGTGCACACTCACACCAGCTGTGGCACTTACTGACTGGCACTTGCTCACAGGGACTCACAGTCACGGTTGAGGCCGAGGCATTTTGGAGGCTTTGGTGCTCCCATCTCTCTCACAGCAGTGCTCTCACACACTTGGCTGACGTGTGAGCCGACAGAAGGCACACACAGAGCAAAGCTGTGCACTGCATACACGTGCATGCCACACAGATGTACACACACCTGCATGCAAACATGGACATGCACAAATGTGTCCACGGCAGATACGCATACCCTGTGTGCATGCGGAATTGCACACACGCGTACACACGCCTGCCTGCATGTCCGCTGGCCTCTGCTCTCCTGACTGCCGTCCTGGGTGATGTCACAGTCACCTCTGTCCCACCTCCGCATCTGCTACCTTTGCCCTTTGCTCCACAGCCCATATGAGGCCCCGGGCCTGCTGTTCCATCAACCAACCTGGGTTCCCGGGGGTGCTGCCCTGGCACAGACCACATCCCTCCGCTGTCCCCCAGTCCTGGAACACAGTTCGGCACCGGCCTGCTGAGGAGGGGTTTTGGTGGCAGCTGGGGCACCGTCCCGCACCCTCATCTCACCCAGGCCTCAGCTGGGTGGTGCCAGTGGAATCTGCCGGGTCGGGCCACAGGCGTGGGCGAGTGGACCTGGGGACAGGGATGCGTGTGCTGACCCGAGACTCTCCCAGGACTCCCGTGGTCCTACACCATCGGCCATGCCTGGCCCTCAGGGGCCCACTGTCCCACGCTCCCTCCTCTGTCCACAGGCTCCTGTTCACCGTCCCGCTGGTCCTGCTGCTCTGGGAAACAGGCACAGCTGCGACACCCCAGGTGCGTGCAGCTCCCCCAGGCCCTGGCGGTGCTGGGCCAGTGCACGGACACATGTCCACGAGGTCAGGGGGGTGGGGTGGGGGTGGTCTCACGCTCTGAGCATCACGCCAGGCCACACTTCTCTCTCAGGCCCTCAAGACCGGGAGCCCCAAGCAGGACACAGTGAAGTGAGTGTCCCCTGCAGAGTGGGAGTGCTGGGGATGAAAGCTCTGGGGGGATGGCCAGTCCCCGAGTCCCTACATGGCCAGACGGTCTCCCCAGGGTGGGCGCGGCCTGGCTGCAGGTGAAGGGAACAGCTGTGCAGGGCACCCCTGCCCCGGCTCTCATGCTGGGCTGTGACTTGCTGTGTTTGCAGGGCCCCGGCACCGCTCGGGGAGGACCATCCGCTCTGGGGCCTGATGCACTTGGGGCTGCTCCCGGCCATGAAGCTCCTCGCTGAGGCCCAGCAGCAAGGTGAGGGTCAGCCCTGGGTCGGGGACAGGGTAAGAGTTGGCCCTGGGTGGGGGATAAGGTGCGAGTTGGTTCTGGGTGAGGGAAGTGGGGGTCTGCTGGGGTTGGGGTGGGGCCTGAGCCTGGGAGGGATGGGTGACCCGTCCTGCCTGTCCCCAGGTACTGTGACCACCATGGACTCGGAGGACCCCCTCGCCAAGCTGCGGACCCCCCTGCAGGGCCCTGAACCGGACCGGGACCCCCTGCACCACTCCCTGCCCGAGGGCTCCTGGGAGGTGTCAGAACCAGAGCCACAGGCACCACTGAGACGCCTGGTGCTCGCAGGACCGGAGGAAGACCGAGACCACCTCCACCACGGGAGTGGGGGCTCCCAAGGGCAATGACCCCTCTCAGGCACAATAAAGCTGTAGAGATGGCACGTGTCTTTTCAGAGGGCCTGGTGGGGGGCTCATCCTCACCCACACCAGCACCTCCGGGTGGCGGGTGAGCCAGTAGCAGTCAGGGGAGGGAGCCCCGTGAGGGTTCCCCGGGGAATGGGCCGTGGGCAGGTGCTGGGCTGGGAGAACAAGGCAGGGTGGCTTCGACCCCCTGGCTCTCGTGCCGGGCCCTGTCCTCCGCAGGCCTGCTGTAGGCCTGGACCTGCTGCCACGTGGCTGTGTGTGGAAGGGTGCGCCGGCCTGCTGTGCACTCGGGTCCGGGCCCCTCTCGCCTGGGCTTCAGATACTGCCTGGGTTTGGGCCAGGCGTCCACCAGTGTCCTTAGCCTTCTTGCCCCTCAAGCCGGGAACAGAAGCCCTCACTCCAGAAGTGACCCCTCATGTAGAGGCCTCAGGGAACCCGAAAGTGCCCGTGGCATCCCTGTCCCAGTGAGAAGGCTGAGGCCCTGCCTTGAAGGGCAAAGTGGGATCCAGTCTCGGTCACTAAGACCGAAGGGGCAGGCGGAGCAGAGCACCCCAGCCCAGCTGGGCCCCTTGGAGCCGCAGAACCAAGACTTGGTCCAAGAGTCCAGGCCTGAACATAGTGCTTGGAGCCCCGGAAGCAGGACTTGGGCCCAGGGTCCAGGCCCAGACCCCTGGCTGCGTGGCTCCTCGGGGCTCTGCAGGGTGGTCAGGGACCCGGCTCAGTGCCCAGGAGGGCGAGCCTGTGGACAGTCCTGTGCTTCCCAGGTCCTGGGTAACAGGGTTTCTGCTAAGTGACTGTGTGTGAGCAGAGGGCCCAGGAAAGGGCCCCCGGCCAGTGTTGCTGGGTGTCTCACAGGCGCCTTTCTATCACGGGTCTCTCAGGACCAGGCAGTGCCCAGTGAGTCCAGCCCACACCGCACAGATGGTTCCCTCTCTGTCCTGCCAGTGTGAAGCCTCGAGAAGTCTTGCTTTCACCAGTCAATCGCTCTGTTCCTTCCCTGCCCTGTTAGTTCTGTTACCTGGAGACCCTGTGGGTGTATGTAGGCTATGGAGATGCTCAGGGACATGACCTGGGGTCCACGTGGGGCTGTTTCTGCAGTTAAGAACAAGGCAAGAAGGTGAGTCTGCGGCTGAGACAGGAAAGCCGGAAGGGTGCTTGCCTTGCACACAACTGATCAGCGTTTGATCTCTAGCGCCCGGCAGGGGTCTCCAAACACTGCCAGTTGTGGACCCCCTGCTACCACACACACACCCACACACCCCACCTGGTAGACAGCACACGTGGCTAGAAGCTGAAACTCAGACCAGAGTGGACGGGATGGTGCAGGAGTGTGGGTGTGGGTGCGCCGTTTAGTGGGGCGCACCCTGGACCAAGGGAACGGTTCTGGGACAGTTGTCCCAGTGTCCGTGAACTTTATTTTGACACACTACAGCAACAGATATATGGCAGCTTTTTGTCATGTGTATTTAACCAAATGAAACACTGAGCAGAAGCGGCTGCATTCACTTCTGCCACAGTAGTGGGCAGTACCTGTCAGGTGTAAGGAGAAGCATCTCCAGGAGACACTAACCTGTGTACCTTACGTAGGCACGTGGGGGCGGCACAAAGCTCTAGGAGGCCTGGAAGTGGGACAGGATTTATTCGGTAATGGTGAAAGAAGGCACGGCGTGATTTTCAGGCCCATTTTAGTCAACAGCGCGCAGGGAGCTGCCCACATGCCGCCACTCTTCCCTCTGTGTCACCTGCCCACCAGTTCCCACCAGGTCACCATCTGAGGTGCAGACAGACCACCTGCGCCAGCACCAAGTGAAACCCTCCCCATAGCACAACTCATTGGCAGCAGCCCTCACTGTGAGCAGAACTGCGCAAGGTCTGGGCTGCGGAACAACAGGGACATGCTGGCCCCAAGGAGCATCTTTCGGAGGGACAGACTTTGCTTCTGAGGCCGGCAGACTAGTTTCCTGTTGAAGTCGAGGCTGTATGGCAGATGCAGCCAGTTCCTACTGGTCTTTGAAGTCGGCCTTCCTCTTCTCCACAAACGCTGTCATCCCTTCTTTCCGGTCAGCCTGGTGCGAGAGGGAGAGGAGCAGAGTCGAGTCAGCACCCGGGGTCCTGGGTCCACCCTGCTCACTGTCCCCCCTGCTGCCCAGAGCCTTCCCGTCACAGCTGGTCGGGGACGGGGAGGGAGGACCAGCATCAGGCCCGGCCGGAACCCTGAAGGCCCCAGATTCCCTGACCTCCTGGCAAGGCCTGGGGTGAGTATTTTTACATCACCGAACCCCACCTCGCACCAACCATTCAGCACCCAGCCTCCGGTGAGTCCTTCACCAAATCAAGCTTACAGTAACATGTCCCAGAGCAGCCCAGCTGCGCAGACTCCTCCTGCCCCTGCACCTGAACCCACACCATAGCCTTGTGCTTCTCACAGGGGCCCGGCTAGAGAGTAGCTCATGGGCAGAGCCTGTGCCCCGCACACTCAAGATCCAATTCAATCCCAGAACACAGAGCCCCGAGTTCTACTGGGCCTAAGCACCTAAATACCAGGGCTGAGCACCTACCCAAGCCTGAGCACTGACTGAGCACTTAACCAAGCACCTAACTGAGCACGTAGCTATCTTGTTAGGCCAGCACTGCTGGGCACATCTGAACTCTCCCCCCCTTTATCTTTTGGGGACGGGGGCCGAGACCCAATCTAGTACACCACAGGGGTCCGCAACCACCGCCAGGGCTTACTCCTGAGCACAGCGCCAGGAACAGCCCCTGGACACTGCCCGGTGTGGCCCATCCAGCCTAAATGCAACCAAGAACCTAAAGCTGGGGAGGGGTTGGGATCCGGTGGCAGTGCCCTCTCCTGGCAGGAGGTTCTGGGTCTGACCCCCAGCACAGAAGCATGCATGAGCACATGCCCATTCTGGGGTTGCCTGCGCCCCAGCACGGCACTGCTTTTACTTTGCTGAACGCCCTCCACCTCCTGCCATGCATCCTGAGTAATTCTCATGCGACTCTTACTTCACTGTGCAAAAAGCACACAGTTGCACCTGGCTACATTCCAGGCAGCCACGAGGCTCCAGGAACGGGGGCAAAGTAGACTGTGGGGCCTTCTGTGAGGTGCGAGTCAGCCCGCCTGACAGGAACTAATCCTGTGACCAGTGAGGCTGACGGCCAGGGTACGGGAGCAGCTCACGGAGCCCTGGCCAAGGAAAGCCCAGGTGAAAGCCCCACTCACGGTGGCGAAAGTTGAGTAGAAGAGCTTCTTCTCCAGCTTATTTCCTTCGGTAAGCGTCATCTCAAAAGCTGAAAAGCAGCAGTGAGGTCAGGCTCGAACGTCAGACGTGGGGTGGACGCTCCTGCAGACCCACGGAACCTACACCATGGCCTGTCGCCAGCCCCTCAGTCCAGAGTGCTGCGTGGCGGCCTTCCTTCCCAAAGGCACTGCCCAGCTGTGACCTTCTGGCACAAAGAACTGCATGAAGGGAACTGGCAAGCCCCGTCCAAGTCCAGGGCAGGCAGCCAGCAGCCTGTGAAGTCTTGCAGGAGGGCCCCTGGGCAGCTGGCTCAAAGCAGGGCAGGTCGGGCTGGGCCCCAGGACCCTGCCCAAGGGCTGCGCTCTCAGCTCCCCCAGGAGCAGCTGCGTGCCCTGGAGGCGGGCTCACTCCCTGCCCTGTCAAGGGTAAAGCCCTGCCCCCACTCCGAGGGGCCGTGGTCCCTGGTGGTCAATTCTAAGCAAGAGGCCAAGAATAAGCTGCTGCACTAAAATTCAAGTTTTGGGCCACAGGTGGGTCCAAATTCAAAGGCCGTCTCCCCCAAGGTGAGCAGGCGGCTGCCTTGCCCTTTGACTGGTGAGCTGACCTCTGGGAGGCCCAAGGCCAGGACTGGCGCCTCAGGGCACTGGCCCTTCCTCAGCTGGGTCCAGGGACTCACAGCCCTTCTAGACCTCTTCCCTCTGATCATGGTTCTCCGCCTGGCCCCTGCTCGTCTGCTGAGAGTCAAGGGAGGCGCAACGTTTCAGCAGAACCATGAGTGTGGAAGGGGAGACAGCCCAGCACAGAGATTCGCCAGCCCATCTCAGTGAGCAGGACTAGATGCAGCCCGGGGTGGGGTGGGGTGGGGGGGAGTTCCAAGGTGCCCCCAGCCCCACCTGCGTTCACGGACTCTTTGGCCATTGCAGTAATGATCTTCGAGTTGCTGGCGATTTTCTCTGCACACTTGATGGCTTCTTCAACTAGTGTCTCAACAGGAAAGATCTTGCTCACAAGACCTGGACATGAGACAGAGTCTGTGAGGGGGAGGAGAGGGCACCGTGTCCCTGAGCCCAGGAGGGGGAGGGGAGGGCACCGTGTCCCTGAGCCCGAGGGGGAGGGGAGGGCACTGTGACCCTGATGGGGAGGGGAGGACATCGTGTCCCAGAGCTCGAGGGGGAGGGGAGGACATCGTGTCCCCAAGCCCGTGGTCTGGGAACATACAGAGTCCAGGGCTGCTCTAGTCACTGACGGTGTTGGGGGACCTGTGGGGCTCAGCTCTGGGTTTGGGATGTGCTCAATGTCCCTGACGGGTGTGCCTATCCGGCTGCCCTTCTCCCATAGAACAGAGGCAGTCAGTCCCACTCCCAGCCCCAGGCTGTGCTGGGCACTCTGTCCACTTGGCACCTGCTTGCTTGGCATCCTGGGCTGAGATCCGGTCGCCAGTGAGGACCATCTCCATGGCCAGTGACTTCCCAACGGCGCGGGTCAGTCTCTGAGTGCCCCCTGCACCTGCAGGGCAGAAAACTGATGGTCAGCTGGCTCCATGGCCAACACACATCCACAGTGAGCCCAGTGGCCAGAGGAGGTGTGGAGTGGGGGCCCCTCTTTCCCACACTCACCCCTCTTCACAACAGTGCTGCTCACTGGGCATGCGGGCCTCTGTGTGAGTGGTCTCTGGGGCAAGTCAGTCCTGAATCTACAGCATACTGGCCTCCGACTCTGGGGACAGGCCCCTCCTGGGTCACTCTGCCCCGCCCCGTGGATTGTGGTGCCCTGCCTTGGCACGGATCCCCCAACTCAGCAACACCAGTCACCCATGCCACAGTGGCCGACTCCAACACCACCCCAGGGCACAGCAAAGCCTGTTCCAGAATACTCTCTCCCAAGCCACTCCCTGCTCACACTGGGTCCTGCTCTGCAGCTGATACAGTTTAGGGGCATCTGGGCTCTAGGACAAGGCTGGGTGGTCAGATGGCCCCTCTGTGCGCCCTGCCCAGCCTTGGTGAGTGAGCAGTGCTGACGCAGTGCTGTGCAGATACCAACACTGTCCCACTCACTAGTGAGTCACCAGCTTCTTTCCTGAGCTGCTGACCTACGAGGGAGCCAACAAGCTGGTCCCACTCTGGGCCACAGGGCTACCCCAGCACTGCCGTGCCCACATGGGCACCAAGGGAACAACGGCACTAGCCACAGTCCACTGTTCCATCCGTTTGGGACAGGACTGTCCGGTCAGAAAGATCAAGTCCTTTTGTCCTGGGGGGTTGTCCTCAGCAGGGAATGTCCGGTCAGTCCCCTGAGAAGTGGGCAGATGTGCATGTCACCTGCCGAGTGGAGACAACACGATGCTTTACCTGGAATGGTTCCTAGCAAGATCTCCGGCTGTGCAAACTGGGCTTTCTCTCCAGCATAGATGATGTCGCACATCATGGCAAGTTCACAGCCCCCACCAAGCTGCAGGACAAAGGAAGGGGTCATGGGGAAGCCCTGGAACGTCACGCGAGAAACCGGAGGGGCTTTCTACCCAGCGTGTGCCGCCCGAGTACAGCAGATCAGAGTATGACTGTCCTTAATTTCAGTGGGCTGGGAGGGCGCTGGCCCTGCGTGAGGCTGACTCAGGTTCGATCCCTGGCATCCCACTTGGCCCCTCGGCACCACCTGGATAATTACTGAATGAGGATCAACCTTTTAGGCTGGGTGTGGCCCCAAAAATACCAAAAGAAAGGTTCCCCACATGTGGTGATATGGGCAGACAAGCACACATTTACCTCAGCAGTTTTGGTGGCCTTTGCCTTGGCCTCTCCACTCTGCTGTGGAGCTCAAAAGCACCACAGAGAATAGGTGTGCCCGTGGGCATGGTCACAGAATGCTACACTGTGCTGGTGATCACGGGCAGCGTTGCTTTATTTTATTTAGGCTTTTGGGTCACACCTGGCGATGCTCAGGGATTACTCCTGGCTCTGCAGATCACAGATCATCCTGTTATTCGTCGATTGCCTTGAGCAGGCCCCAGTAATGTCTCCTTCATCCTGGCCCTGAGGTTATATTCAAGGCTCTTTAGGAGAATGAGACCCATCATTGTTACTGGTATTTGGCATATTGGGTACGCCACGGGGAGTTTGCCAGACTCTGCCGTGTGGGCAGGCTACATTCGGTAGCCTACCAGTTTGTCCAAAGTAGGAATGAGACGTCATAATAAGATGTCTTATTATGACGTCTCATTCCTGGCTCTGCACTCAGGAATAAATCTCGGCGGTGCTCGGGGGACCATATGGGATGCTGGAGATGGAGCCCAAGCAAGGCAAACGCTGACCTGCTGTCCTATAGCTCCGGCCCCTGGGGAGTGCTTTATTAAAGAGCCAGATACTGACCTGCTCCCTACGCTCCACGAGCAAAGACCAGCCAGCAGGAAACCCCTCGGTGCCTCCTCCAGAGAATACAGCCTCAGGGCAATGAGAAAGGGTCGAGGGTGCAGGACACGGAAAAGCCACAAAAACCGTGCATGTGTGGAGTGAGAACCTTCTAGGGGAGTGACAGGCTGGTGGGACCTGGGAACTACACCACTCACAGGAGCCAACAGGGGACGTATGGTTTGAGGCAGAAGCTGAAACACCTGCTGAGGTTTCAGCAGGAAAGCCTCGCTGGCCCTCAGGTCGTTTTGTGAGTGAGCAGGGCTGCATGTAGACTCACAGCGTAGCCGTTGACAGCGGCGATGACCGGCTTCCTGACACGGGCCACCTGGTCCCAGTGGCTCAGGAACTGGCTGGAATAGCAGTTCTGGAACGTTTGGTTCTGCATTTCCTTGATGTCAGCTCCAGCTGGGGGCGGAAATGAGGCTCAACAGGAGAGGCCCCGCTCCCGTGGCACCCTGAAACCTACAGGTGTTCAGTGCCCACCGGGTGCAGCACCAGGAGCTGCTGAGTGAGTCTGCCCACCCTGGGGCCTGCTGTGTCCATGCAGAAGACACAGCAACGGAACCCGGCCCCTGATGGTACTCTGGGGCTTGGGGCTCGACTATGGGACGGCGAGCCTGGCACGGAGCCCGTTGACCCCCGGGACACAGCAGGGCTGGGTGCAGTCGCGGGGCCTCCCACACCCGACGATCCCTGCCCCGGCACCTGCAAAGGCTTTGTCCCCGCCAGTGAGCACGATGGCACCCACGGCCGGGTCCTGCTCGAAGGCCTCCAGCGCCTGGTTGAGCTCGGTGACCAGCCCCCCGCAGAGCGCGTTGAGTGCCTTGGGCCGGTTCAGGCGAATCAGCCCCACGCTGCCCACCTTCCCCTTCTTCTCCACGACGATGTACTCGAAGCCCGCGCCTTGGGGACAAGCAAGAGGGTCTCCTTGGCGCAGGCATCTCGCAGGGGCTCCCGCCATCCTGCCCCAGAGGGGACCCCGGCACCTGTCCCAGTGCGGACCCCCCACCCCCACCTGCCTCGAGGGGACCCCCCCACCCACACCTGCCCCGTGGAGACCCCCATCTACACCTACCCCGGTGGGGACCCCCCACCCACACCTGCCTCGAGGGGACCCCCACTACACCTACCCCGGTGGGGACCCCCACCCACACCTGCCCCTGTGGGGACACCCCCCCACCCACACCTGCCCCGTGGAGACCCCCATCTACACCTACCCCGGTGGGGACCCCCCCACCCACACCTGCCCCGCGGGGAGCCCCCTCACCTGCCTCGCAGGGACCCCCCACCCACACCTGCCCCGTGAAGACCCCCATCTACACCTACCCCGGTGGGGACCCCCCACCCACACCTTCCCCGCGGGGACCCCCACCTACACCTAGCCCAGCGGGGACTCCTCACCCCGCCCCGCGGACTCCCCCCCGCCCGCCCCCCGCCGGCCCCGGGCCCGTCCAGCGCGCGCGGCCTCCGGGCTGAGCGGGCGGCGCGACCCCCGGGCGCTCACCCGAGGCGAAGGCGCGCCGCGGGCGGGCGGGCGGGGGGCGCAGGGGCGCGCGGACGCGGGGCAGAAGGACGCGCAGCGCGGCCATGGCTGGACCGACTCGCCCCGCCCCGGCCCGCCCCGCGGAGCCGCCCCGCGCCGCGCCACTCAGCGGCCGCGCCGCTCTCGCGAGACGCGCGCCCCGCGAGACCCGGGCGGGCGGAAGGGGCGGGGCCGGAAGGGGCGGGACCCCGCGTGATGCGGAAGCCGGCGGGCGGGGCCGGAGGGGCACGTGACGCGCGGGCGGGGCACGTGGTGCGGGCGGGCGGGGCGAAGGTGCGCGGCGGCGGCGGCGGCGGCGGGGGTGGGGGGCCCACGTGAGCGGGCGCCTGGGCTGGCGGGTGGGCTGCGGGCGCGGGCGCGGAGCGTGCGCGGGCTCCGCCAGCTGGAGGGGAGGCCGCTGCCCGATCGCCCGCGGAGGGCCTGGGGCTACCCGACCACTCGTGCCGAAATGCGGGATCTCAGTCTGGGTCTGCCGGGGACGCCGCCCCTGCCCACGCGGCCTTGGCAGATCCGACAGGCCAGAGCGCAGTTTGGGTTCGATCCCCGCGCCCCGTGTGCGCCCCAAGCCTCTGCAGGAGTGGTCCCTGAGCACCGTGGCCGCCTCCACCCCCAAGAAGCTTTGAGGGACCAGGGAGCCAGAGCACGTGCCCTGGGCCTGAGAGATAGCACAGTGGGTAGGGCGTTGGATTCTAAGCATCACATATGGTCCCCTGAGCACTGCCAGTAGTAACCCCTGAGTGCAGAGCCAGGAGTACCCCTGTGCATCGCCAGGTGTGACCCTAAAAGGTAAAGGCCCTCCCGTTGTTCGTGGATTTTCTCCAGCGGGCCCAGTAACGTCTCCATTGGAGACTTTGTTGTTACTGTGTTTGGCATATCAAATCCGTCACGGGGAGCTTGCCAGGCTCTGCCGTGCGGGCGAGATACTCTCGGTAGCTTGCCTGGCTCTCCGAGAGGGGCAGAGGAATCGAACTCAGGTTGGCCATGTTGGCTGCATGCAAGGCAAACGCCCTACCCCTGTGCTATCGCTCTAGCCCATAACCCAAAAAGCAAAAAAAAAAAAGCACATGCCCCACCAGTGTCCGACCCCACGTGCCACAGCCCGGCCCCAGCATGGCAGGGTGTTGCCCTCCCTGGAGGCTTGGGAGCGCCACTGTGGTGGCCTTGGTGGCCCATGGCACCCAGGGGCTGAACGGCACACCAACCTCAGCCTGAGCACTCAGACAGGTCTCCCATGGTGTCCAGGGCTTTCCTGATAGGTCTTGAGGGGAACTGGTGGGCGTGGGGGTTGACGGGCTCAGAGGCACGTATGCATACTTCCAGCACTATCTCTGGCCCTTTAATTTTGTTTGTCTCTTTGAATGTTGAGATAGGTTTGTTTTTCTTGCCCAGGTTCTACCAATGCAAGGGGTGTGGGGTAAGAATACTGCCTAGGGGACTGGAGCAATAGCACTGCGGGTAGGGGTAGGGCGTTTGCCTTGCACGCTGCCGACCTTGGTTCAGTTCCCAGCATCCCATATGGTTCCCTCGAGCACTGTCCTTTGAGCATTGTCAGGAGTAATTCCTGAGTGCATGAGCCAGGAGTAATCCCTGTGCATAGCTGGGTGTGACCCCAAAACCCCCCCAAAAAAACAAAAAACCCAAAAAACAAACCAAAAAAATCAATAACGCCTACAAGTGAAAAGCAAAACGATATTTTCCAAAAAATAATATTTTCCAAAAATAATAATAACAGAGCTTCATTTCTAGCCTGCAGGTGGAACAGAGGTTTTCATGCAAATATACATTCGCACAAGCTTTTGCTGAAGGAGCTTCAGGGTCAGGTGAGATGCTTTGTTGGCAGGAGGACCCAGGGTAGAGTTGTCCCAGCTCGGCTGTAGGTCTGCTGAGACCTCAGACTGGGTTCTGGGAAGCCCCACAGACTAAGTCAGGGACAAAAGGCACAACCGACCTCTCAGCAAACTTCACCAAAATTAGCATGTATTTCAAAGAGCACCTGATGAATGAAGTGAAAGAAAGAACTCAGGATGAGGAAGTGTCTTGCAATTCATATATCTGACAAGGGCCGTATGTTTTGAATAAAAAAGAAAACTAAGCTCAGTAATGAGAAGACAAACCAATTTATTTATTTATTTTTTTGCGTTGCACCCAGCGACACACAGGGATTATTCCTGGCTCTGCACTCAGGAACTACTCCTGGCGGTGTTCAGGGGACCATATGGGATGCTGGGAATTGAACCCAGGTCAGCCGCGTGGAAGGCAAACGCCTTACCCGCTGTGCTATTGCTCCAGCTCAAAGACAAACCAATTTAGAAGTGGGCAAAGAGCCAATAAACACTTCTCCAGTAGAGGCACACAAGTACTGCTGAGCCCACGGAAAGATGTAGCTGGTCATTCAGGCAGATTTAAAGCTGACAGACACTCCTCCTCCTCTGAGGGCAGCAGAATGCAGGCTGGGGAGCTGTGGAGCAGTGGAAAAGTCCAGTACAGGACCGAGAGCAGGCTGCAGCTGGGGTTAGTTCCTGGACAGGAGGGGCAAATGAGGGCCGCCGAGAGGTAGTACGGGGGTAAGGCACTTATCTCTCATGTGTCCAACCTAGATTTAGTCCCTGGCACTGCTCAGAGCTAGAGTAAACCCTCAGTACAGCTGGGTGTGCCCAACCTTTCTTCTAAAAAAAAAAAAACCAAATAAAATAAAAAATAAGCATATGAATACCACCCTGGATCTGAGACTAAGCGCCCTCCAGCGTCACAGAGCTTCCTGGTTCTAGGACCCTGACATTCTGGTGACGCTACTTTGTCCTTCTTTAATCGCACCTCTTTAATTTGCTCCCAGATCTGCTTCCAGGTGAGGTCTGCCACGAGTGGCCCCGTGGGTCACAGCATCAGGCACTCAGTCAAGTGGCCCTTGTTATAGGCCGGGCAGGCACCCCCAAAATTGTTAGCTCAGGGACGCCAGCTGTGAGTTCAAGGGTGTGGCACATTTGGTGCCCAAGAACCTCCTCCCTAGGACTCCCCAGCAGAAGAACAAAAAGATGGGGGACTCACAGATATGGTCAAAATAACCTATTTAATTCCAGAGCTGAATAGCCTAGCTAGACGATCTGATGGGGTTCAAAGTACAGGACTGCACAGGTCAGGTGTGATTGATCGTTTGTAGAAGTAAAGCCTTTCAGAGGAGGCAATTCTCTTGGGGAGATTAACTCAAAGAGATGCTGTCTCCCTGGGGCAACTATATTGTTTTTCTCTTTCCCTTGCTGATAATACATATTGAACAATTAGGCTAACTTCTTATTAATACTTTCAGTTATTTGGATAAGCACAGTAAGAGATATAGATTCCAAAGCTTATTTTTCTGGGCTCCAAGGGCAAGCTAGGCTTTTAATTTTTTTTTTTTTTTTGCTTTTTGGATCACACTCAGTGATGCTCGGGGGTTATTCCTAGCTCTTCACTCAGAAATTACTCCTGGCGGTGCTTGGGGGACCATATGGGATGCCGGGGATCCAACCCAGGTCGGCCGTGTGCAAGGCAAACGCCCTACCCGCTGTGCTATCGCTCTAGCCCCGCAAGCTAGGCTTTTAATGTAGATCCCAACTAGGTAGGTCCTCAGGCTGGTTAACTTTTCCTACTCCAGGGGGTCCCATCTCTTAAGTCATAATGGCTTGCATCAAGACCACGCTTTATGCTTTCCAGATTGTCCCATTTCGATGCTGGGATAGCTTTGCTGATTGCCCCAGGTTCATCTAGAGGTTCCTTGGTGGGACCCCGCTTTTTGGGGAGTTAGGAACTTTGGCAACCGAAGCCTGAGTCAAGAAATTGTGACAGATGCCCAGGAGTAAATATATTACAGAATCAATTAACTCCCAAATACTAGGAGCATAACATTAATGTCTTTCTGTGTTTAAGCAAAGAACATTACTCTATAGTAAAATATGAAAAGGTTATAGGAGAGAGAGAGAAGCAAGTAATTCACTACAGATACGTGTCCAGAGTCACCAGGAGGTTTGACTTCATAAGTAACCAAGACTGACTTGGGGAATTTAATAGTTAACGATGAGAGGTAAAGCACAAAGGTTAGAGATAAACTTGGGGCATTAGGAGTGCTCATAAGAGCACTGTAAGCTTCTCTGGGGGGAGGGAAGGGGCAATTCACTGATGAAGCCTGAAACACTTAGGGTTAATATCCAACACAAAATATTCCACAGAGGGGCTGGAGTGACAGCACAGTAGGTTGGACGCTTGCCTTGCATGCGGCTGACCCGGGTTCTATTCCCAGCATCCCATATGGTCCCCTGAGCACTGCCAGGAGTAATTCCTGAGTGCATGAGCCAGGAGTAACCCCTGTGCACCACCGGGTGTGACCCAAAAAGAAAAAAAAATCCAGAGTCAGCGTTTAGTCTCAAATTAAGGAGTCTTTATCAGAAATCCAGCCTGGTTGAGAGAGGCAGCCCACCGAGTAAACAGCAAGTTTTTTTTAAAAGGGCAAACCACTTCCTGGAATTTCACTAAGCGAGCAAGTTTACAGAAGCTAAAAGAGGAGGTAGCTAAACAATCCTTTGATTAATACAGAAACCAAAAATAAAGTAAACAGGTAATAAAGTAGTCAAACAGATAAATATTCAATCAATTGGCTGACGCAGGAACTAAAAATAATAAATGGTTGGCTACACTCTTTATTGATCCACCAGCGGCTGGTGTCCTGTTTTTCTGTCAAGTGAGGATACACATTCTGTATGCTAATTTGTTTCTCTCTTGAGCCAACCAGGTCAGTTTTCCCTAGCCCTTGGCGTTGTGGGGCCTCATCAGTTAGTCAACAAGTGGGCTCCTCGGAGCATAACCTGTTTGAGCGTCATGGGCCTGCAAACGGTCAGAGTGTATTGCAGACTTGGTGACCAGGCCTGTGGGATCCCCTCCTGTCCTGGTCCTTCCCAAGCCACCGGGGACTGGCGGAGAGACCGCGCACCAGGATAGGAGCAGAGTGGGAACCTTCTCAGTCCCTACCGGAAGCTCACAGACTGCAAATCTGAAAGTGTGATGCAGGGCCATTCAAGCGCTGGTTGATGGCAGAAGAACAGAGACCCGGCAACCAGGAATCAGTCTATTGAGGGTCTGAGGACTGAAGCAGTGAGGCAGACTCCCTGAAAGGAGGTGAGCTGCAGGGGCGCAGCCGTGAGAGGCAGAGCCCAGTTACAGTGTGTGTGGGGGTTAGGACCCCTGGGAGGTGCCTAGCTCAGTTACTCTGCTTTCCCTGCAGCCAACACTGAGCGTCCAGGCCTCCGTGGGCAGCTTCCTGCAGGGATGGTGCAAGTGTGTCCCTCAGGCCTGCTGCTGAGGGAGTCTGAGCCTTTGCCCCTGCAAGAGGGAGTCCAGCCTCACCTCCCCTTGCCCTCATCCTTGGGCCCGTGTTGCACAGAGGAACAGGAGGGCACAGGGGCCACTCCTACGCGTGTCTCCTGGCAGGGCTGGAGGAGAGACATGGCTCCTCACCTCGGCCCCAAGCACCCGTTTCATGGCTCCACTACCTGACGGCTTCTAAAGACCTCGGATCGTCATGAGCAGGCAGGGAGATGTCTCGGGAGGCAGAAAGACCCCATATCCTCCTATAGATAAAATCCCAAAGGAAAACCACTTGGAGCAAAAGGCCCAGCGGGGACAGCTCAACCGAGTGTACCCGGCTACCTCCCCGGACATGGACATCTGTCCCACAGAGCATGGCAGAGCCAGCCTCGCCCTGCAGAGAGGCACAAGAGAACATTCGGGAACTGAGCCCAGTGGAGAGTATCCCAGAACATGCATGAAGGGCAGAACACAGGGAGTGTCTGAACATTCCCGGCAATTACAGGCAGAGAGTCAGGACCCAGGACTGAGCGAGTGTCGGCCTGGCAGACAGGATGGTCTGGCTTCACAGGAACTGAGCATGGTCCTGCCAGTTCTGCTGTCTGCCACCCTGGTCCACACGTGGGTCCAGCACCACACCTTGGGGTGAGCACCCACAATTCTGACAAGCACTTCAGCTCTCTGTCGTAACACCAGCAACGTGGAAGGGACGGGTGGGACTGACTCAATGAAGGGTCTTGAAAACAAAGGAATCCCTGGTAGAAGCAAAATGATCAGGGTGTTGGGGGCTCAGCGGGAAGTGCGGGTCTGCATTCATGAGGCCCTGGGTGCCAACCCTGCACCACAAGGCAGGTGCCCCTTTATTTTTTAAATCTAATTCTCTATACACACACATATATATATTTGCCTTTTGGGTCACACCTGGCGATGCACAGGGGTTACTCCTGGCTCTGCATTCAGGAGTTACTCCCGGTGGTGCTTGGGGGACCATATGGGATGCTGGGAATCGAACCCGGGTCGGCCGCGTAAAAGGCAAACACCCTACCTGCTGTGCTATCGCTCCAGCCCCCAACAGGAGAATCTTTTAACATCATGCCAAACAACCTTTTCCAACTCAAGGAGATCTTTGTGTGCCTACTTTCTAACTCCTAATTTAATCCTGACACTTGGTAGACTGAAAATTTTCACCATGGAAATTGGAAGTGCTATAAATCATAGGTTTAGCTATTTTTCTTCTTCAGGGAGTGCATTATCAATTATGTTTTAGCACACCATCACTTTGAGTTATTAAAAAATTAAGATTAGAGTTAGAGAGAGAATACAGTGGGTAAGTCCTGTGCCTTGCATGTGGCCTACTCAGGTTCCATCATACCGTTCCTGGCACCCCACTAGAAATGTTCCTTGAGCACTGAACCAGGAGTTCAGCCAGGCACTGAACCGCTGTGCCCAGCCAGATGTTGCCCAAAGTCCAAAAAAAGAAAAAAATTAAGGTTAATGGATTATTTTTTTAACTTTTTAAAATTATTGTTATCATTTCTTTTTCTTTTTGGGTCACAGCCGGCGATGCACAGGGGTTCCTCCTGGAATTATCCCAGGCTCAGGGGACCCTGTGGAATCGAACCCGGTTCAGCCGGGTGCAAGGCAAACGCCCTCCCCACTGCGCTACTGCTCCAGCCGCTTTAACGTTACTTTGAAACGAATCACAGTAACAGTTGCAAACTTGTTAGCGATTGGGTTTCACTCATATAAGGCTCCAACACGTGTCACCATGCACGGTTCCTGGCAGCAGTGTCCCCAGCTGCCCCCGCCTCGCACCCCGGCCCGCAGACACCTTCCTCCTCTCTCGGGGAAGCGCGGGCGGGAGCAGGGGTCCGCAGAGCGCAGCGCCGTGCGGGCTTGGAAACCCGGAGCGAAGCGGCGACCCCTCCCGCGGGGTTCCGCGAGGGGCGGGCCGCTCGGGCCTCCGATCTCCGGTCGGTTCCGAGGTGTCCAGGGCCGCACCGGCACGGGCCACGCGGCCCCCGGCGAACCCGCACCTGCAGCGAGGCTCGCGGAGAGCGCACGCCCCCGGCCTCCGCGCGCACGGGGGTGCGCAGCCACGCACGCATAGGCCGGGGGTCCCGCGGCCCCCACGCTCGGACGCGCATCCCCGGGCCGCGGGGCCTGAGAAGCCGCGGCGGACGCGCCGTTTCCGAGGCTCCTCCGAGGCCGGCCCGGCTCGCCGGCCCCTACCCACCCTCGGCCCTCGGCCCCGCCGCGCCCTCCGCCCTCGGACCCGCCCCGCCCCGGCGCCCTCCGCCCTCGGACCCGCCCCGCCCCGGTGCCGGGCTGCGGCCGCTCGCGCCCGGGAGCGGCGGGACGCGCGATGTCGGCGAGCCGCGGCGGCCCGCGGGTGCTGGTGGTGGGCGGCGGCGTGGCCGGGCTGAGCGCGGCGCAGAGGCTCAGCGGCCACCCGGCCGGCCCGCGCGTGAGGGTCCTGGAGGCCACGGCGCGCGCCGGGGGCCGCATCCACTCGGAGCGCAGCTTCGGTAACCGCCTCTCCGGGGGCTGCTCCCGGGCCGGCCCCGCTGCCGGCCCCGGCCCCTCCGGGAACTCCCCGGCCCTCCCGGAGCCCTCCGGAATCCCTGCCGGGCCCCTCTCGGACCCCGGATGCTCCCCTCAACCCCTCCCGGAACTGCCCCAACCCATCCCGGAACCCTCCGGAACTCCTCCCGGAACCCCTGTTGGGACCCCTGCCGGGATCCCTCTCGGCCCCCCTCAGGATGCTTCCCCCAACCTCCTCCCGGAACCCTCCAGAACCCCTGCCGGGACCCCTCCCGGAGCCCCTTCCAGATACGCCCCCGTGCCCTGCCCTGCGTCCTGGGAGTGAACCCTGGCCCCACCCACTTGATCAGAGTCTTGCGTCCAGAGGACAGCTTTGCGCTCCTGTGTGTACACAGCTGCCCCTTCCAGCCTGTCTAGTGGCCCCTTCCTCCAGGCCATCCCTCCAGTGACCCCCGCCCCCCCTCGTGTCCTTCAGGCGGTTCTGTCCTGCCCTGCACATTGATGGCGCCACAGGGAACCAGTGGGGACAGGCCCTCACGGGGGTGTCCTGTCCCCCAGGTGGCGTGGTGGAGGTCGGGGCACACTGGATCCATGGGCCCTCCCAGGGCAACCCCATCTTCCAGCTGGCGGCCAAGTACGGGCTCTTGGGGGAGAGGGCGCTCTCGGAGGAGAACCAGCAAGTGGAGACCGGGGGCCATTTGGAACTGCCCTCCGTGACCTACACCAGCGCTGGGGGCACTGTGAGCTTTGAGCTGGTGGCCGAGATGGCCAGTCTGTTCTACAGCCTCATGGACCAGACCCGGCTATTCCTGCATGCCGCGGAGCCCCCAGCGCTCAGCGTGGGGGAGTTCCTCAGGACAGAGATCGCCCAGCGCGTGGCTGGCTGGACTGACAGCCCCGAGACCAGGAGGCTCAAACTGGCCGTGCTCAGCACCCTCTTCAACCTGGAGTGCTGTGTGAGTGGCACCCACAGCCTCGACCTGCTGGCCCTGACGCCCTTCGGGGAGTACACGGTGCTGCCAGGGCTGGACTGCACCTTCCCGAGGTGTGCCCCCCCCCCCCCCGCTGTGCCCTGTGCCCACTGCCGCCTCCCCATGTGTGCCCCTCCTGGTGCCCCCTCCCTGTGCTCCCCCATGTGTGCCTCCTCCCTGTGTGCCCCTCCTGGGGCCCCTCCCCCTGCATGCCTCTCCCTGTGTGTGCCTTTCCCCGTGCCCTGCCCCTTCCCCACGATCCCCATCCTTCCTGGGTCCCTCTTGTGCCTTCCTCAGTTGAAATCATCCTGAGGTGCTCAGGCTTTAGAAGATGACGTGGAGGGGCCTATGAGACCACGTGTGTTTCCTGTTCATCCACTTGGTTGGCATCTCCTGAGGGGTCTTGGCTCTGGGCTATGCCCAGAGGCGCTCAGCCCTCTGCGGGGATCCCCAGGTCCACCTGGCTGTGGGAGCCCAGGGCTGTGGCAGGGTAGGGGCCGGACTCCCCTGACCTTGTTCACCTGTATACGGAACTGGATTTTGTTTGCTTGGTTTTGCACTGTAGCACTGTCCTCCCGGTGTTCATCGATTTATTCGAGCGGGCCCAGTAACGTCTCCATTGTGAGACTTATTGTTATTGTGCTCAGCATATCGGATACATCACGGGGAGCCTGCCAGGCTTTGCCGTGCCGGCGAGATACTCTCGGTAGCTTGCCGGGCTCTCCGAGAGGGGCGGAGGAATTGAACCCGGCTCAGCCGGGCTGGCTGCGTGCAAGGCAAATGCCCTACCACAGTGTTATGTGAGTTATTGTTAAACTGGTTCAGCTTAGTTTTGCATGTTTGAGAAAATGAAAAATCTTGGGGCAGAGCGACAGCACAGTAGGTAGGGTGCTTGCTCTGTACGCAGCTGACACGAGTTCGATCCCTGTCACCCTATAGGTTCTATGCCTGAGCTTAGAGCTACTAGTAAGCCCTGAGCACTGCTTGGTGTGACTCCAGAACCACAGTGTGAAGCAGCCCCCCAACCCCTTCTGGCTGAGGCCTGAGCCCACCCAGCTCTCCTCTGACTTCTGCACCACCTGCCTCTGTCTCCCAGAGGCTTCCAGGGTATCACGGACCGCATGCTGGCCTCCTTGCCACCAGACACCGTGGTTTACAACAAGCCCGTGAAGACCATCCGCTGGAGAGGCTCCTTCCAGGACACCGCGTGCCCCGAGCAGCGCTTCCCCGTGCTGGTGGAGTGTGAGGACGGGGACACCTTTGCAGCTCATCACGTCCTGGTCACCGTGCCCCTGGGTAAGATGCTGGCTTCGGTGTGGGCCTGGACTCACTGCAGTTCATGGGCAGAACCACTCTGCTTCGGAGTGACTGCGGCTTGGGGAGCGTTGTGGGTGGGCCGCTGGGGGGGGGGGACAGGTCGGAGGTGGCTGAGGAAGGAGGCGGGTGTGCTGCCCTGTCAGGTGGGGCAGGAGGTTTATGGACGGTGGAGACTGCTCTCAGCTGTCCCACCTCTGTGCCCTGCACACTGACCCCCCAGCACCCTGCTGGACATGGCCTGGTCCACAGCCTCCATGTGTGAGTTCCACTGGACCTTGGATTGGAAGAGACCTGGAGTGCTGCCCCGGGTCCGAGTCCCTGGGAGTGGTTCCAGCTGTGTCCCCCTCAGGGGAGCCTTGTGCAGGGGCCAGTCTCCCCCACCTCTGCCCTGAGCTCAGGACCGTTTCCAGGTGCTGCCCCAGTGTCCGCTGCACTCCCGAGGGCCAGGCCAGTGCTGCCTGTCCGTGTGGCCAGAGACCCCACTGAGGGAAGGTCATGGTCATCCATTTCTGTTCCAGAGGTTCTCGGGGCTCTTAGAGCTCCTACATGGCTGTGTGGGGGGCACATGGGTATGGGGACAGATGGGTGGGGCAGGGTTGCCTCATGGACCCTCCCGAGTGCGCCTGGTTTGTGTGGGTCTGTTCCTCTTTCCTGGGTCTGACGTTCTCTGTGTCTGGCAGGAAATGTCCAAATGTGTTTTGCTCTAAATGTGCTTTCAACCCCTTGTTGTTGGACTTGGGTTGAACTTGCATTTTTGTCATGGACATTAATTTTTCGGGGACACGCTTGACAGTGCCCAGGGCTTACTCCTGGTTCTGTGTTCAGAGATCACACATGTCGGTGTTTGGGGGATTGAACAGTCAGGAATTGACCTGGGGTCAACTGTGTTGGAGGAAGTTGCCCTGTCCCTGTACTTTGTCTCCATGGAGCTAATTTAAAAAAAGAAAAGAGTTTGGCAGTGTTCAGGGTTCATTCCTGGCTCTGCGCTCAGGGATCAGTCCTAGCAGTGGGGGACCATGTGGGGTGCTGGGGATTGAACCCGGCTGACCGTGTGCAAGGCCAGTGCCCTCCTCACTGCACTATCTCTTCGGGCCACAGAGATTCACTTTTCTGGCTTCTGGATAAAGCTTATGCATTTTGCTGAGATCGAGAGGATGAGGGGTCTCACCCTTTCACACTTGGTGAGGGTGCAAGCTGCCCCAGCTGGCCTGGGCCCTGGGCCCATTGTCCACGCGCTATGGCTGGGTCCTCGTTGTTGGATTCGGGCCTGCAGTAGACCCCGAGTGGTGGTGTGGCCGGCAGGCCCTGCCCAGAGGTGAGCTCACCTCGGAGGGCCAGGACGACTCTGGCTCCAGTTCGGGGCCTCAGTTTGGGGGCTCTGTGGTGCAAGGGTCCCCCTGTGAATCGCAGGTTTCCTTAAGGAGCATCTGGACACCTTCTTTGAGCCGCCGCTGCCCCTGGAGAAGGCAGAAGCTGTCAGGAAAATGGGCTTTGGGACCAACAACAAAATCTTCCTGGACTTCGAGGAGCCCTTCTGGGAGCCCGACTGCGAGCAGATACAGGTGGTGTGGGACGGCACATCCCCCCTGGAGGCGGCCACAGGGCTGGAGCTGAAGGATGCCTGGGTCAGGAAGCTCATTGGCTTCGTGGTCCTGCCGCCTTTCGAGTGAGTACGACACAGCTGTGTCTCAGGGAGCCCCACGCACGCCGCGAGCACTGGTGCCCCTGGCACGTTGCCACTCATCCCGGGAGGACCTGCAGGGACTTGGAGGCCTCTTAGGGCCCTGTAGACTCCAGTGGGCCGTGCCTCACCCATCAGCCAGAGGACCGTGTCCCCGGAAGTGGATGCAGGCGACGGGAGTGTGGATGCTCTGAGTGCAGAGCGACTGCACAGGTCCATGGTGAGGGCTTGACAGTAAGACCCGGTGGGGTCGGAGCCTGTCTGTCCTCCGTGGTGCTGATGCTGAGAGCAGGGGTGGGATGGACTGATGTCCTGCAGATGAGGACAGGGCACTGCTGTCAGCCGGCAGGCGTACAGTTCACCAGGTCTCGGCACATCTCGGGACAAGGTGGCACGGGCTGGCCCGCACACCCACAGCCCGTCTGGTTGGCACTGAAACTAGAAGTCTGGACCTGTGGCCAGCGTGGGGTGGCGTGCTGGGGATGGTTCCCCGGCGCCTGTCAGCCATGCTCTCTCCAGCCCCCAAAGTGCTCCTTCACATTTTGCTGCCTGTGGCTGTGGGTGTGTGTCAGCCCATTAGTCCATTCAGACCTACTGGGCATCATGCGCTTTATTTTGGGGGCCATACCCAGCAGAGTCTCAGGGTTCCCCCCCATGCGGGTGCTCTTGGGACTCTCCCCTTAGGTCTGCCCATGTCCTCTGCGGTTTCATTGCCGGGCACGAGTCTGAATTCATGGAAACGCTGTCGGATGAGGAGGTGCTGCTGACTCTGACCCAGGTGTTGCGGCAGATGACAGGTACCGGCCTCCGCCCTGGACACGGAGCAGTGTCCCCCGACACAGAGTGTCCCCTGACGCAGTGTCCCCCTGAACTCAAGGCAGGGTCCCCACTCTGTGACAGCAAGCTCTCAGCAGCTCCTGCTTTCAGACTGAGTGGATTTCGTGCACACTGTCCTTACCACTGCTGGGACAAGCGTCCTCACGGAGCCTCACTGCCCCGTGTGGTCAGGAAATGCTGCTCACCCATGGGTGCTGCTCCGGGGTCTCTGCCTCCTCGGTGTTTCCGGTGGAGCCGCGTGGCTTAGTGGGAGCTCCTGTCGCTGCCGTGCTCTAGGCTGGCCCCAACTCTGCGGTCAGGCCCAGACTGGCAGCGCTGTGCAGGCCCCATCGCCTGCTGGCTGACACGGCATCTCTTGGCACAGGAAACCCGCAGCTGCCAGCACCTCGGGGCATCCTGCGGTCCCGGTGGCACAGTGCCCCCTACACCAGGGGCTCCTACAGCTATGTGGCCGTGGGCAGCACCGGGGATGACATTGACCTGCTGGCCCAGCCTCTTCTCGTGGACAGCAAAGACCCCCAGGTAGGGGCCTGCTGCAGAGCAGAACAGACTCGGGGTGCAGGGGTTCACTGCGGCTGGCTTCTTCCTGCCCCTAGGAAGACTGGGGAGACTCAGCCAGGTGGGGTGAGGCGGGGACGTGGCCTGAGGCCCTGGGCAGGTCTCAGACTGTCTGCAGATTCCTGAGCAGCCGCCCGGTGCCCACGTGAGCGTGGCCTGAGCCACGTCCTTGGTGCTTTAAGCTCCTCCTGGGCTCGAGTGGTCTCTGCCCAGGGTCAGCGGAGTTGTCTTCTCTGGAGGCTGGCTCTGGATGGGGTCAGTCTTCAGATGGCCTCTGTCTCTGTGTGGGCTCTGGCACCCGTCCCGGGTCCTCACTTTGTCCCCTCCTCAGGGCTCCTGGCCATGGGACAGTCTGAGTTGTGTTTCCTCTCTTTTCTGTTTTCTGGGATTTGTGTTGCTTGGACGTTGGATTTCTGGACAGTTCTCAAAATTTCTTACTTTTTTTTTTTTTGATTTTTGGGTCACACCTGACGATGCTCAGGGGTTACTCCTGGCTCATGCACTCAAGAACTCCTGACCGTGCTTCAGGGGACCATATGGGATGCTGGGGATTGAACCCAGGTCGGCCACGTGCAAGGCAGATGCCGTACCCGCTGTACTATCGCTCCAGCCCCCAAATCTCTTACTTTTAACCTAATTCAGTTTCATTTTGGGGGCACACCCAGCAGTGCTCATGGGCGTGGTGGTGAGGCCCAGAGGCCACATGATGTCGGGGCAGGCCCTGAGCACAGCCTGCTGAGTCTTTCCAGCCTGTTTCCTCATCTCTCTCCTGATTGCTGCCGCCGTGGCCAGTCACTGTGGCGTGGGCGGCGGGGGCCCCCTGGTGCGGGGCTTGTGTCCCCAACTCCCCTACGCCCAGCGCTGTCTGCCTCTGTTGTTGCTCAGGTGCTGTTCGCTGGGGAGGCCACTCACCGCACCTTCTATTCCACCACCCACGGCGCGCTGCTGTCCGGCTGGAGAGAAGCTGATCGGCTCGTGGCTCACTGGGGCGCCGGGGCAGGGCAGAAAACCTGAAGATCCCCAAAGACCCGAGCCCTTTGACTGGGCCTCCCAGCGAGGCTGACCTTCTCACAGCCTTGTGTCCTCCGTGTGAGCCTGGCCAGGGACCGCACTATTCCGGGGAACCCTCCTGTTTGGGCTGGGAGGGCGCGGCCTTCCTGAGAGCCTCATAAAGTGTTCCTCCGGGCCTGAGCCACGTCTCCTGCTCTGTGGGTGCAGCCTCTGTTCCTCGTGTTTCCCCGTGGGACCTTGTGCCCCCACCCTCCACATGACTTGGCCTTGCTTCTCTCCACATGGTTGCCGGGTATGCCCAGGTGCCCAGCATCGCTGCCTAGGCTCTCAGTTGTCCACGGGCAGTTGGGTACAGGGAAGGGCTACGGGCATCAGTCATGGGCTGCCACAGGGCTTCTGTGTGTGGCCTCCCTCTGGTGGTCAGGTGAGGTGGGTGAGCACAGTTAGGTGCCATGATTTCTCTGGCGGTATTGGGGTACACATGTGGTACCCTGGTGGTTAGTGCACATGGGGACCGCTTCACTCAGGGTAGTCTGACAGCAGAACTCAGATTTTTGTTTTTAAATTTTTATTAGTGAAATACCATGAGGTACAGTTGTAGATTTACAATTTTTTGTGCTTGGGTTCTATACAATGATCAAATACCCATCCCTCCACCAGTGCCCATTTTCCACCACCATGGATAATATCTCCCCCACCCCCATCCCCCCATCCCACCCTGCCTCTGTGGCAGGGCATTCCCTTTTGTTCTCTCTCTCCTTTTGGGTGTTGTGGTCTGCAAAAGAGGCATTGAGTGGCAAACATCTTCAGTCCATAGTCTGCTTTCGACATGCATCTCCCCTCCTGGGAGGATCCTCCAAACACCCTTTATTTGGTGCTCCCTTCTCTATCTGAGCTGCCCTTTCCCCTAGAATGCCCGGCTGGCCTCTAAGCTATGGAGTAATCCTCCTGGTGCTGATCTCAGCCATTCTAGAACTCAGATTTTTTTAATAGATAATATATATAATGGATTTATGGATTTATATATTTATATAAACACCAAGGGTTTTACACACACACACACACACACACACACACACACACATTTTATTTGGGGGTTCTGGGCCCGACCTGCCCACACTCCTGCTACTCCTAGCTCTGTGCTCAGGTCTTAGTCACTGTGCTTGGGGGACCATGAGTGGCGGCAGGGGTTGGAATGGGGCCAGCTGTGTGCAAGGCAAGGGTCGTGACCCCTGTGCTATTTCTGCTCCAGAACCAAGACTTTAAAACGAAAATGCGGGGGCACCTGTGGGCCTCGGGCTCCTGCAGGAGTGATCCTGTGCCGGGAGTAATCTCCACGCATCGCCGGACGTGGCCCCAAAACCAAAATTAAAAAAGGAGCGAGCAAGAAAACATCCCAAACCACCTCCCACCCGGGACCTGCGCTGTGGCCTGCGCTGACCCCGAGCCGCGCCGGTCCGAGGCCCGCGCCTGCCCCCTGCCGGCGGAGCCCTTCACTGCGCCCTCGCGCGGCCGCCGGAAGCCGATGCGCGCATGCGCGAGCCGCGGCGCGGAACGTCTGGCCGTCGCGGGGCCGCGGTCCGTCGGTCCGTCCGTCGGTCGGTCCGCCCGCCCGCCCGCCCGCCCGGCCTGTGGACGCGGCGCCATGGGGCCGAGCCTGCGCGCGCTGTGCGCTGCCGCCGGGGCCGCGTGGCGCCAGAGCTTCCCCCTGGGCGGCCGTGACGTGGCGCGCTGGTTCCCGGGACACATGGCCAAGGGTGAGGTCGGCCGGACGGGCCGGGGTCCAGCCCAGCGCCCCCGCCCCCCGGGGTGGCCCCTGCTGCGTGCGGCGGGTCCGGGCCTGCCTCGGAAACGCGCCCCGGCCCCTGCGGGGAGTGTCGCCCCCGGTGTGTCGGGACTGAGCCTCGCACCCGCCTGCAGCCCCGCGCGCCCCCCCTCCCCGGTACCCCGCACCCACCCGCAGCCCCGTGCGCCCCGCTCCCCGGTACCCCGCACCCACCCGCAGCCCCGTGCGCCCCTCCCCCCGTGTGCCCGCAGCCTCCGTGCACCTCAGCCCCCGTGCCCCCGCCCCTTAACCTTGCGCCCAAAGCCCCACATTTCCGTGTGCTCCCCTCCTAGCCTCAGTGCGCCCCTGCGCTCTGCAGGCCTGCCACCCCGCAGGGCCTACTGTGCGGGCAGTGCTGGTGGCCGATTCCAAGCCAGGCCCACCGTGGGAGCAATGCTGTGGTAGCAGTGGGCAAGGAGTGGAGGAAGGCCTGTGTTTCATGGCCAATGGGTGGAGCCGCAGGGGACGTCTGTGCTCAGGTCCGGGCAGGGCCGAGTGGGGACCAGGAGTCCTGTCCAGACCCGTGCAGAAAGGAGGCTCCCAGAACTTTGCTTTGCCGTGGTATTGCCCAGATGGACCCGGTGGCCAATGGCTGCCCAGCACTGCCTGTGTTAGGTGTTGGCCGAGGGCCAGCCTTACCCTGCGTGCACATGCTTGGGAGGGGATGCACTTACCTGGGCCTCCACTCGGACTGCCCCCTCGGAGGCCTGTGGCAGCTGCTGTGCACCTCTTTGCTTCAGGTTTTAGCCCAGCGGGGCTGCTGAACTCAGGGGGGCTTGTGCCTCTGCCCGGGCTGAGTCCCTGTACCTCTCAGGTGACCCTGGCTTTGGGCCACTTCTGTTTCTCAGGGTTGAAGAAGATGCAGAGCAGCCTGAAGCTGGTGGACTGCATCCTGGAGGTCCACGATGCCCGGATATCCTTTCTTGCCTGTGAAGATGCCCAGAAAGCAGTGCTCGGCTCTGTGCTGGTTTCTGGCACAGGGCCTCTTAGAGCCCTGCGAGTCTTCTCAGTGCAGAGTGGTTGGGACTGGTTCGAGAGTGAGGGTCTTCTGGACTGTGCCCAAGGACCAGGACTAGCAGAGTCTCGCCACTGAGGGCGAGTGGGTCTTCCAGCCTCTCCCATGCCTTGGCTGGAGGCTTTTTGCCGGTGACTGTTGTGACGCCCCATGGTCTTATGGAGCATCCTTGCCACCCTCTGGTTTTACAGGGAGCACTGGGACCCGACTCTAGCCCCATTCCTGCCTGCCGGCTGCCGAGTCACACAGCCCTTTACAAGCCTTCTGTGACAGACCTGCAGTCTGGGTGCCTGGATCTGGGGGGCGGTCTCTGCGGCAGTGAGCTTCCCCTGCAGTGCCATAGTAGCCCCAGGTGGCAGGGGAGCACTGAGGTCTGGGCAGACCCTGCGTGGTGCAGGGGTCTCTTCTTGGCCAGACAGGCTGGGTCTGGCCTAGTTCTGTTAGCGCTCAGACTTTGGCATTTAAAGCTGGGGTCTCTCGGCCATAACGGCACCTGGCCCCATGCAAGCTCTCGGTCAGGGCAGGAGTCAGGGCCTTGTGGCCTCTGGGCTCCCTGGGAATGCCTGCTTGGGAGGGGGGTGAAAGCTCCTGCCTTTTGGTGAGAGTAGAGGGGTCCTCCATGAGTTGGGGGTGACCGTGCACCCCCAGAATGTAAGTAGCGTTGTTAGCCAGTGGTGAGTTAATGACTTTCTCAGTTTGGGTTGCACCTGGCAGTGCTTGGGGGCTGTTCCTGCTCTCTGGGGACTGCGGTGCTGAGGCTGGGACAGGGCCTCCTGCCACAGAGCCTCGAGTATCTCTCCGTCTTGCTGTTTTGCCTCCCGATGGGGTTTCCGCCCGGTCTCAGGCACGGAGAGGCGAGATGGGACCTTAGCCATGATTTTTTGTGTTTTTGGGGGCCACACATGGTGGTTTCAGGGGTTACTTCTGACTGCACTCGGAATCACTCCTGATATTTCGGGGGAGTGGGGTGTCGGGGATTAGACCCAGGTTGGCTATGTGCAAGGCACATGCTATCCCTGCCATGGCGTTGCTCCACATTGTCATCCTGCTCTTGTGCCTGAGCTCTGTGCTTTTTTTCGTTTCTTTTTCTTTTTTGGGTCACACCCAGCGATGCTCAGGGGTTACTCCTGGCTCTGCACTCAGGAATTACCCCTGGCAGTGCCCTGGGAACCATATGGGATGCTGGGAATCGAACCCAGGTCATCCGCGTGCAAGGCAAACGCCCTACCCGCTGTGCTATCGCTCCAGCCCTGTGTTCTTGTGAGATGATGGTTGCAGTGAGCGTGGCCACAGGCCCAGGGTGGAGGTTGTGGGACCATTCTCACCTTGTTGGCGGCTTGCTGGAGCCCCTGCAGCCGCCGCCCAGTTTCTTTCCTGTAGATTGAACAGGTCTAGTGCTGGCCATTGTCCTGAGCTGGTGTGTCTCCTGTGGTGATGTTCAGCGTGGGGGGACTTGGCTGTCGTCTGCCTTCTTGCCTGGTGCTCAGCACCGTAGGAGTTGAGTGGTGCAGGCTTCTGAGGGAGACGTGCCACTGACGCAGTCTCTGCTGTGGGGGTGGGACCCGGCCATCTGCATGCAGAGTAGGCCTTTGGGCAGCCCCTGGAGGCAGGGGTAGGGGGGTCCTTGCAGGACTTGGGGCGCTGGGAGGCTTCGCTGCTTCTCTTGCAGCCCAGGAGGCGTGTCTGGTTCAGAAGCCCGAGTTTTGTGTTCACTGCCCAGGCTGGTCTGAGCAGCCTCCTGCGGGTAGCCGTGTCCTCCATGGCCAGGCACAGCTGGGCCTGGTGCCATGGGGTGGCGTGTGGCTGTGAAAGGCTCCTCTCTGCCAGTTTCCTCCTGGGTGAGAGAGGAAACCGCTTGGTTGGCTGGGAGAGTGCTCAAGGAATTATTGGCCTTAATTTTGCCACATTCCCCTTTCTGGCCGAAACCCTCTATTTCAGGAAACCCTTGGACTCAAGCCTCACCTGCTCATCCTCAACAAAATGGACTTGGCCGACCTTGGGGAACAGCAGGTAAAGGGCACCCTGTGCCGTGGGCGGGACCCTTCTTTCTGTGGGCGCATCTGTGGCCCACCCTCTGGAGCTCCCTCGGCTGTGTGGGCATCGGAGACAGCGCTATCCCCACCCGGCCCCAGAGCCCAGCTGGCCAAGGCTCCCACATCTCTGGGCCAAGGAGAAGGTTTTGTCCCTGAGGAGCTTCCATGTTTCCCAGGGAAGTACCAGAACTGAACTAGGAGCTTCCTGTTCTCAGAGCCTGGCAGGAGGCCTGCGCCCGACACCCTCCCCACGCCAGGCCCGCGCCCGACACCTTCTCTGTGCCCCAGCCCTATCATTCCAACGTGGAGAGTACTCACGACCTCTGGGGTCAGAGTTTGGGGTCTCAGCCGCCCTGAGTTGAGACTCGTGTGGCAGTGATGGTTCTGGTTCCTCTGTGGTCCACCTGACTCCCCTCTCAGGTGCTTGGGGCCTGGGAGAGTGTGGGTCAGCCCTCGGGGCGTGGCATCCTCTGGGTCCTGTTGCTGTGTCTGTCATCTGTGCCATCCCAGCAGGCAGCTGAGCTGGTGGCTGCTGCTCACTCAGTTCTGTCCAGTGCTGGGCACCAGCAAGCCACACAGTGCTGGTTTAAGAACGCCGATCTCGCCTGTGATGGAGGCCAGGGAGCTTTTGCCCAGTTTTGCTTGCCGAGGGGTTGCACTGACTTGGTGGCCCCTCTCTGTGCGCGACTGGCCCTGCCTCTGTTCGCAGAGTGGCAGTGTGCGGCCTGCACGCGGCCAGCAGGGGTGGTATGGCCGCAGGCCTGGAGCCAGCTACTGGGCTGGAGCCCCTCCAGGCAGCTGTGCCCAGATGCCCGCCCCTTCCTGAGCCCCAGAGTGCGATGTCCACTCTCTTCCAGAAAATTCTGCAGCACTTAGAAGGACAGGGCGTGAGAAATGTCATCTTCACCAACTGTTTGAAGGACGAGAATGTCCAGCAGGTGGGTGCTTCTCGCCCCCCCCCCCCCCGACAGCCCTGCACACTGCGAGAGAGCAGGAGGGAGTCCCACCCTGCACGTGGGCCTGCACCCGGGTGGCCCCGAGTGCTGGTTGGTCTGTAGTGCAAGCGTGTGCGTGGGCGAGATGCCCGCTGTCGTAGGGCACGTTGCGTAGCACTGCTCTGGGGAACCTGCCCGGCTGAGCGCCCCAGCATGGCCTGTGCGTGTTGCAGGTCATCCCGAGGGTCATGGAGCTGGTCGGGAGCAGCTGCCGCTATCACCGAGGTGAGGTAGGTGGGCCTGGTGCAGCTGTGGGGCAGGGATGGGTCCTTAGAGCCTTTGCACGGCAGTGGACCTGGTGCCCTTGGCGGCGTGACTGACCCAGAACCACTCGGGCCTCGAGCAGGAGTGATGGCCGTGGCTCTCACGGCTGGAAGGAGGGGCTGTTGCCGTGACTCTCCTCGGTCCTCCCCTAAGCTGGCCCAACCCCGACCCTGCCTGTTTCTGCAGAGCCTGGAGTACTGCCTCATGGTCATTGGCGTGCCCAACGTGGGCAAGTCCTCCCTCATCAACTCCCTCCGGAGGCAGCACCTGAGGAGAGGTATGGCCATCACTGCACCTCCCACTGCCCCTGCTCAGAGTCCGTGAGCGTGTGTCCACGCCACACCCATTCCATGACCCCACTGCCCTCTGTTCAGGGCCTGCCAGCTGGCGGTACCTGGCGAAGCACCGCCCCAGGGCTCCCTCCAGCCCTGACTTGGGTTCCTTGCTCGCCCTTAAGGGCTGTCCGCTGGCTTTGCACCGCCTTGCGGGTGCCTTGAGCACACGCCATGAGCCACTGAACTCCCTCTTGGCGCTTGTGGTGGCCACCATGAGTGCGAGTGGGCCTGGCTCCATCTTCCTGTGGGCCCAAGCCCCATGCACGGCTGCTGCATCAGCACTGGGCACCAGGTGGCGCTGAGAGCTCAGACGAGCGCGTCACTGGCCTTTTCCATGGGTTTGGGGCCACCCCCGCTGTGCTCAGGGGTCACTCCTGGCCGGCCCAGGCAGACGCTGAGTTGCAGGGGGTGGGTGGTGGGTGCTCAGAGGGAGCCCAGCAGCCGGGCACTTTCTTGGGTGCGGGGCCGAGTGGCAGAGCCTGCACCTAGCATGGTGTCGGTGACACCGGGTGGGGGTCCCGTGGCCAGCACAGCCGCTGTTCCTCTTCATCCTTCCTGTCCCACAGGGAAAGCCACCCGGGTGGGCGCTGAGCCTGGGATCACCAGAGCCGTGTTGTCCCGGATTCAGGTAGGGCCTTGCCGCAGGGATCCAGGGCTCTGACGGCGTGGGAGGGGGTGAGGTTGACCCCTGGATTCCACCCAGTCACTGGCCGCGGGCCACATGCAGACAGGGAACTGAGGCCGTGTCTAGTCACCCTGGGCATGGCGGGGCTCTGGGGCTGCAAGAAGGGCATCTGGCCCTGCAGAGGGAGGGTCTGGGGGGCTGCCCGCACGCCTGCCTTGGGCTGGCTGAACGGCACCTCTGGCACTCTGCACGCAGGTCTGTGAGCGGCCACCGATGTTCCTGCTCGACACCCCTGGGGTGCTGGCCCCCCAGATCGCCAGTGTGGAGACAGGCCTGAAGCTGGCCCTGTGCGGTGAGCGTCCAGGCCCCACGCAGGCCCACCCCTGCTCTCAGTCACAGCTGTGCAGACGCACGGGAAGGCACCAGTGCGGTGCTGTGGTGGTCAGCAGCTGGGCCCTGGCCTTGGGGCACTGCTCACCTCACTGCTCTGTCCAGGGACCGTGCTGGACCACCTGGTGGGGGAGGAGACGCTGGCCGACTACTTGCTCTTTACCCTCAACAGACACCAGCTCTTCGGGTGAGTGGCCGCAGGGCAGTGGGGGGACAGTGGGCCCAGGTCACACTGACCCCGAGTGGCCCCCAACCAGGCCCCGTGGAGCTGCTGGTCTGGGAGGGGCTGACAGAGGAACGTGGTCCCGTCACGCCCAGGTCTGTGCTTTGTTGCTGCCTGCTGCCCCTGCCCCGTCCCGGTGGGCTTGGCTGTGGCTTCCAGTCGGGGGGGTGGGGGTTGTGTCCTCAGCCACGTCTGCCCGTCCGTGGCACTGGCCGTGCTCCCAGCCTGAGACACAGCTGTGGCACCCTCAGGGCCCGGCTGTCGGGGACACCATGTGCTGGGTGTGTGGCATGTGCGCTGACTTCCGGCTGTCCCTCGTCTTCTCTCCTTGGATCCTGTGTCCGGAGATGGTGTCTATGTGTGTGATTGCGCTGATGTGTGTCTTTGTGTGTCAGTGCTGATGTATGTGAGTGCTCACATGTGTCTGTGCTGATGTGTGTGTCTCTGTCTGTGCTGGTGTGTCTGCTGGTGTGTGTCTGTGCTGGTGTGTGTGCCTGTGTGTCCCCTCTCCGTTGGTGGGCTGAATCTCGGTGTGACTGGATGCGGCCCTTCCTCGTGTGCCCTCAGGGTTTGCCGCTGGCCCCGCAGCCCCTCGAGCACAGGCCCCTTGTCACTGCGCGCTTTCTCCTGCGTCCTGTGCGGCCTCTGCAGGCTGCTTGCTGGACGCTGTGTGCTGACTCTCTTGTCTGCTCATTGAGTTCACCTGGCTTCTGGCGTTGTTCTTCATTGAATCTACAGGAAGTGTCCCTTGGCACCTGTAATCCCCAGGGAAATGTCCTTTGAGTCTCTTGGGGACAGTTTCTGTGAAGTTTCCTTTTCCTGGAGCTGTTGCTCTGGCACACCTGAGCGGGGCCACCACCCCGCAGAGCGGCTGTGGCTGCCTGCACCCGGGCTGGCCCCGTAGGAGGGGAGGAAACCCCCTGCCCAGCTAGGGCCATGCAGGGACCCCCTCCCTGCTCAGAATCACCTGCGGGCTGAGTGGACATGGTGGGTGTTCGCAGGTACGTCCAGCACTACGGTTTGGACGAGGCCTCTGACGATGTGGCCAGTGTACTAAAGCAGGTGGCCATGCGGCTAGGGAAGACCCGGAAGGTGAAGGTGCTGACTGGCACAGGTGAGGTGGCCTGGCCCCGGGGGATGGGCGGAGGGTGTTCTGCCACCCCCCAGGACCTCCAGGCACCACTGCAGCCTCCCCTCCCGTGATCATCATCACCCCACCTGTCTCCTAGGGGACGTGAGTGTCGTCCAGCCCAACTACACAGCTGCCGCCCGTGACTTCCTCCGTGCCTTTCGCTGTGGGCTGCTGGGTCCCATGATGCTGGATCGGGACGTCCTCTAGCGCCTGTGTGGACGACAGACCTGTATTGGGGACGGAGCCAGCCCATGAGATCTGACTGGGTCTACGGGGACTGACCTGGCCCTGGCCAGCAGCTGGGCCTCATGCAGTGGCATCCCAGGTCTCTGAGCCGACTAAGCCGGCCCTAACCCTCCGTAGCATTCATGTTCTAGGCATGGGTTCTGGGAAGTGTCTGGCATCGTAGCCTGACCACGGGGGCCGAGTCCGGATGTCCTGTGGAGATGGGCCCCCTTGTGCAGGGACCCCTGAAGCAGCCTTGCAGGCAGACGCCTGGTCTCTGACTTGACTTTAATTAAAGGTCCATGTCTGGTCTTGGCCCTGGTGTATGCAGTGTCCCTGCCCCTCACAGATACATGGGGACACCGAGGTCTTCTCTGGTCACCAGCAGAATGTTTATTTCAACACCAGGAAAACGTGCACAGTTCTGGACACTGTCCTGGCCCCAGCCATGTGGGGACTGGGTCAGGGCTCACAGTTGTGGTCACTGGAGGCCAGGTGGCCTTCCTTCATCTGAGTGCCCAGCAGATATGGTCACAGAGGGCCACGGACCCAGGGCCCAGTGTTCCTGCTTATTGGCCAGAGAAAATCTTTTGTTGTTTTTTGGGGTCATACCGCAGAGGTGCTCAGGTCTTACTCCTGGCTCTGTGCTCAGAATAGTTCCTGGCGACCTCGGGGGACCATATGGGATGCTGGAGATTGAACCTGGATTTGCAAGCAAGGCAAGCGCCCTACCCACGTGCTATCTAGCCACAGGGGAGGCCTTGTCGGCATGCCCCCACCCCTCCCGGATCCTCCCCTTGCTGCCCTGTCTGGGTCTGACCTACTCCTGTGGCACCCCATGCCACCCTGGCGTGTTCTGCACTTACCCTCCCAAGTCTTTCCACTGCTGCCAAAACCTGGTGGGGTGGGACCTATCAAGGGCCGCACCTGCCCGGCTTGACAGGTGGGGAGGTGGCACCGGATGCCAGGTGCCGTGGCCACTGCATAAGCATGCCCCACGCTGCAGGCCTGGTCCTGCTGCAGCTCTGTTGTGGCGTCAGGAGGCCGAGATCTGGGTCCAGAGAGCAGCGATGGAGATGGTCCAGCTGCTGCTGGGACTGGGTGTGAGGCCAGGGTGGCCGCGACCTGAGAGGCCCCACCCCTGGTGGCCTTTATGGTCGGGAGCTCTGAGGGCCTGGCAGTGTGAGTGAGGGGCTGCAGGAGGTGTGTCCTGTGCCTATTGCCCCCTGTGGACAGTGTGCTGGTTCCTGGTCCCCTATCTTGAGCCAGGGGCAACGGGGGCAGGCCCTGCTGAGCACCAGAGGGCGGCCAGAGGAGCTGGAGGCCTGACCTTGGGACAGGTGGCATGTGGGAGGGGCAGCCCCCTGAGCCCTGCCGAGCTGAGGGAGGAGGTTGGGGATGTGGCCGGAGCCCAGGGCCAGCCCTCTGGGTGGGGATCCTCAGAGCAAAGCCAGCCTTGCTGATCGTCAGCTGAGCTTTTTCTGCGGGCAGTGCCTGCCTCAGCCCTGCTTCAGGACCTCTGCTGGGCAGTGGTGGCCTGTGATCTGAGCCTTCCTCCTTCCCCGGAGCCTCGGCCTCTGAGGGGCAGCACTGTGAGAACACTGAGCCACGGGATGGCCGTCCCTGGGCTCTGCAGGGGCCTGCTGGCTGCTGTCCTGAGAGCCTGGGCTGGACCCGGACAGCAGGGTCGGGAAGGCCTGGGCTGGAACCGTGTGTGGCCTCTCACGCCGCCTGGGGTCCTGGGAACTGTGCAGTGGCCTGTTCAAGTCAGGACGGAATGTGCAGTGGCTCCAGGTGGCACCAGAGGAGGGGATGAGGCTGCTGGCAGGACCACCAAGGGCCACAGCGAGTCCCTGGAGCCACTTGTGTCTCTTCGGCCGGGGGACAGCTGGGTGTCCTCCGCCCCAGCGAGCCCGGCCAACGTGGGCAAGTCGTGAGGCCAGATGGGTGCATCGGAGCCGGTCTGAGTGCTGGGCAGGTGCCTCCAGGGAAGACCCCGGTCCTGGGTCTGGCTGGCGCCGGCCACCTGCCGTGGGCCGAGTTGAGGGGCTAGAGGCCTCGCAGTGCCAGGGCCCCCAGCACGCTGCCCAGCAGCAGGCAGAGGCGCGGCCCGGTGGGCGGCCTGGCGCCCGAGATCAGCACCAGGTAGCTGTACACGGTCCCGTTCCCGTCAGGGCCGGCGTCCGCGTCCTGCAGGCCCCGCGCGCCGGGGTCCGGGGCCCGCCTCCAGGCCCCGCCGGCCGCCAGCCCGGCAGCGGCCCCCGCCGCCCCCGCGGCCGCCCCCGCCGCCGCCAGGCGCGCCGAGGAGCCCGAGAAGCGGGGCGCGGGCCGGACACGCACGCGCGAGGCGCCCCGCGCGCCCCCGCGCAGCCCGCCCCGGGCGCTGCCCCGCGCCCCGCCACGGCCGCCCTTGGCCGCACCGTTGTCGCAGAGGAAGGCGGCCACCAGCAGCAGGGCCCAGCACGCGGCCGCCGTCCAGTTCATGCTCAGGGACCTGCGGGCAGGGACAAGGGGCACAAGGGGCTCATTTTGGAGGGCAGGTGGGGGCAGGGCGGGGCCGGCGGCAGGTGGGGGGCCGGGCGGGGACAGCGGCAGGTGCGGGTGGGGGGCCGGGCGGGGACAGCGGCAGGGCGGGACACGGCGGGGTTCGGACCGTGCCTGGGTCCAGGCCGAGGTTCCGGCGACCCTCCTGGCCGGGAAGAGGAGGGGGAATGCGCTGGGGTGCGCGTGACGGGCTCAGCCCGCGCGGAAAGACCCTCCCAGGTCCGCGGGCTGGGCGGGTGGCGCGTGGGAAGAGTCTCGGCAGCCCCGACAGGCCGCGCGCGCCCGGGGGGCCGAGCCGGGTCCGGCCTGGGTGCGGGTCCGCTCGCGCCCACCCTCGCCCGCGCCCCCGCCCGCCGCGTGCGGCCTTACCCGCTCGGGCCTCGGTGGAGCCGCGGTCGCGCGTCGCTGCAGCCGGGCGAGCGGGAGTCTCGGTGCGCCGGGACCCGGGAGCCGCTGCGCGGAGCCTCCGCCCTAGGACGGGGGCGGAGCTCGTCCCCCACCCCAGATGGAGCCAGGGAGGAGGTGGGGCCGCGCCCAGCCGGCGGCTCCGGCCTCCTCCTCGCTGGGGCGCGCAGGCCGGCCCCAGACCCCCATCCTCAGGCGCGTCCACCGCGCGCACAGGGACCCCTAAACTAGGTCTGAGGACCGGGTGTGTGGGTCTCTGGGGGTCACCAGCCTATCAGCCCCAAGGCTGAGAGCTCCTAGATCTGCCACCTTTCTGGGAGCCAAGTCAGGGTTCTTTCCTTTCTGGGTGACTGCCCAGGAAGCCACCTGTGCACCCCTGGGGAGGGTCCCTCCAGGGCATGGGCCAGAGGCGCTGGCCCTGCGGGTATTGGAGGGGCAGCTGCCAAGGAGATGCCCACCTTGATGGAGACCCGGAAACTGGGCGGCAGAAGAGGGAGGCCATGCTCTGGCTGACGCATGGAGAATGAGCAGACTAAGAACTGTCCAAAAGCCGTGAGTAGGGCCAGAGTACAGTGGGGAGGGTGTGCACCTTGCATGCAGCTCACCCAGGTTCCATTCCCCACATCCCCTATGGGATGCCAGGAGTAATTCCTGAGTATCTCTGGGTGTGACCCCAGAAGAAAAAAAAAGAGCACGAGTTATAGTACAGGGGGGATGGCACTTGACTTGCATGCAATCCCTTGACTTGACTTGCGTGTTCAATCCCCAGGCCTCCCGTAAGGTCCCCTGAGCACCACCAGGAATGATCCCTGAGTGCAGAGTCAAGAGTAACCCCTGGGCACTGCTGGGTGTGGCCCCAAAACAAACAAGAAGTGTGAGTAAACAGGAGAACTGAATGATCAGGTGAAGGTGGCAGTGATGGATGGAGAGAAAGATTGAGGCAGATGCAGTGTTCAGAGAAACACTGACGGATAATCTTAGGAACGCTGACATGAGGAAGTCAGTCATGATTCCTGGAAGCAACACAAACTCAAGGCCGCAGAGCAGAGAGTGTGCCGTGGGGACCAAACAGTCTTCACAGTCTTCACACTTTCATATGTCTCCTAATCAGAGAAAGAGCAGACAGGCGCTGCTTCTCACCAGCAACAGGGGTAGCTGGCAATGCACCTGTGTGGCCTGCTGTGAGTGTCACCGAGCTGACCACAGACAGGGAGAGCTTGACCGCAGACTGGCCACAGCACTGGTGAAAGAGATTATGCAGTGCCAGCAGAAATGCGACTGGCGCCAAGCATTGTCTCAAATAAAGGCGCAATAAGCTTTAAAAACGGAGATAAAAGGGGCTGGAGAGGGCGTTTGCCTTGCACATGGTTGACCTTGAGTTCTATCCCCAGCATCCCCAATGGTTCCCTGAGCCACACCAGGAGTGACCCCTGAGTGCAGAGCCAGGAGTTAGCCCTGAACAGAGTTGGGTGTGGCTGAAAAACAAAACAAAACGAATAAAAATAGAGGCAAACAAACAACAACAAAAAGGCAAACCTTAATGGAGAAAAAGACAAAATGAAAATAACAAAACGTCAGATTTACCAGAATAATAAAACAAGGCTCATACGCACATGAACACACCACACTCACACACATGTGCACACGCACATAACCTCAATGACATAACCTCACAATATGAAAAGCCCAATTGTAAGTGACGATTTCCAGTGCGGAATCAGCGCACACGCGCCTGCTGTTCCCCAGGCGTTCCCCAGCGCGGGCACACGGTCCGCCTGGCAGAGCACATGGCTGGGGGAGGGTGCCTGAAGGCAGGAGCGATGCGACGGGCCACTTTCACCACCACAGTGGCTGGCGAGAGCTGAAGGGCTCCCTCAGCCGCGTTTCTGTGCCAAGGAAGAAGAAAAGGCACAAAGTCAGGGATCTGTTACTGGACCCACTGAGTTTTAAGATCGAGTCTTTCCTCTTTTTGAGGCGAGCTGCCACGTGTGTGGTCCATGGATGACCTTGGGTTTGCTCAGGATCCACAACTGATGTGAAGGGGACCAGCTGGTGGGCGTACGGGTGGGCGCACAGATTTCCGGGATGGGAGTGGGGCTGCTCCTTGCCCTGAGATGGGATAGGCAGGTCCTAGGTAGCAGGAGAGTTGGTGGAGAGTCACCTCTGTGAGCTGGAGTGGTCTTTTCTGGCCAGGGTCCTGTTGGCCATAGAGGGCAGCCAGACTGGCGCCTCATGTGCTCAGATGCCCCTGTGGCCCCTTGGAGCTTCCTTCTGAGAAAGGTGGGCCTGTCTGCATGGAGGTGGTGGTGGGTGAGTGAAGAATGTGGAAGCCCTCTCCCCCAGGCCCAAGCGGGTGCTCAAAAGGTGCGGGGGACCCGGAAGAGTTTCTCCAGAGCCCCCTTGATGTCTCGGTTCCTCAAGCAGTAGATGATGGGGTTGAGCAGTGGAGTAATGACTGAGTAGATCACGGACACGAGCTTGTTGAGGTCAAAGGAGCTGATGGCACGCGGGCGGGCGTACATGAAGATGGTGGTGGTGTAGAAGATGGCCACCACAGCCAGGTGGGAGGCGCAGGTGGACAAGGCCTTCTGGCGGCCAGTACTCCCCGGGACCCTCAGCACTGTGGCCAGAATGCAGGCGTAGGAAACTACGGACACCAACAACGAGGTTGCGAGCACTGCGAGGGCTGCTGCAAAGTCCAGCAGCTCGATGGTGGTGGTGTCGGAGCAGGAGAGCTGCAGCAGAGGAGAGATGTCACAGAAGAAGTGATTGAGGACGTTGGGGCCACAGAAGCTGAGCTGAGAGATGAGTGCAATGGACACAAAGGAAGCCAGGAAGCCCCCCAGCCAGGCACAGAGAGCCAGCTGCAGGCAGAGCGTGGAGTCCATGATGGCTGGGTAGTGCAGTGGGCGGCAGATGGCCAGGTATCTGTCGCAGGCCATGGTGGACAGGAGGAAGCACTCCGAGGAGCCGAGCGAGAGGAAGAGGAAGAGCTGAGTGAGGCATCCAGAGAAGGAGATGGTCCTGTCCCACGTCAGGAGGCTGGCCAGCAGCTTGGGGACAGTGACAGTGGTGTAGAGGGTCTCCAGGACAGACAGGTTGGCCAGGAAGAAGTACATGGGCGTGTGCAGCTGACGACTGGCTTTCACTGCCACCACGACCAGCAGGTTCTCCAGGACAGTCCCCACGTAGATGGCGAGGAACGAGCCAAACAGCAGTCCCCGGAGGTGGTCCAGCTCTGGGAAGCCCAACAGGATGAACTCGGCCACCACCCCCTTGGTCTTGTTGCCCATGGCCCTCCCGTGGGGACGTGGGGTGGCTGGGGGCAGAAGAGAACCTGGGCGGGTAGACAGGGAGGTGCGTGATGGGCATCCATGGGAGCACCTGCCCACCTGGTCGGACTTCCCCGCGCCCACGTACGCCCCACGCTCCCATCCGCTCACATACCCCCCACACTCCCATAGTCCTCGCAGACGCCCATGTTCCTGCATCCTCTCACGTACTCCCATGCTCCGTACTCCCAGTCTCTCCCACATACTCGCCGTGCCTTCATGTGCCCCAATGCCCTGTTCTCCCACACACTCCCCCTACCCCCATCTGCTCCAGCGCCCACACTCCCTTCTACTCACCTGCTCCCACACTCCCCGTGTCCCCCGACTCCTCTGTACTCCACAGCCCACATGCCCATACTTCGGTGCTCCCACACCCCCTACACTTCTCAAGTTCCCATACTCCCCCTTGTACTCCCGTGCGCTCCACACTCCCGTATACTCGCGGACTGCCACGCTCCCGCCCTTTTTCTTCCATACTCGCATGCTCTCCCATTTCCTCTGCTCCCCTCTCCTTGCTCCCACACCCGGCTCTGTCCAGCAGCTAGGCAGGGGCGGTCTCTGAGCCAGAGCAAGGGGAGGGTCTGCAGAGGAGGGGCTCAGCAGGCCTGGCTTTTGTGTCTCTAGCTTCCCACATTCCCGCGGGTTCTCAGGGGTCGGGAGTGAGAGGCGGAGGGAGGCCACCCCACCACTGATGTTCCAGAAGCCCTCACCTGCTCTTCTCTATTTTCTGTATTAGCTGCGGGGCTGAGTGGCGGCTGCTGCCAGCTCACCAGGAAGGAGAGGGGGACTTGGGAGCCCCGAGGTGGTGTGGGAGCGCAGGTCTTTGGAGACCCCCAGCCTGGGAGGGTCTTGCAGGAGGCCGCTCCTGTGGGGTGCCAACGAACGGCAGGACCTGTCAGTGGCGCTCCTAGGTGGGTGGGGCCGGCTTGGCCTGGGCTGAGCGGAGGACCGTAACCCCGGCACCCTGGGTACTGCCTTGGTAGCCTTGTCCGGACACAGACAACCAACGGCGGGGTTAGGAAGGAGGGTCTGGGCGCCCCTGGCTTTTACGGACCCACTGCCCTCAGCTGAGGCTGCAGCGTAATTGCAGATTCCCTCGCGTGACCCAGGCTGGGGCGCGTCCTGTCCCGAGGGCGCAGACTGTCTCCCAGCGCTGGGTCCCACGCAGACAGCTCCCCTCCAGGGGCTCTTCCCGGGAGGCTGGGGCGCAGA